GAGTGAGCGAGCCGCTACTCACCCCCGCCAGTCTTCCGCGCCTAGCTCGCTCACCTTTCTCCCTCCTCCCCCCGATTCACACCTTTTCCTGACGACGCAATGCCCTACGCGAGTCTACGCAAGCCTTCCGCCAACTCTGAACCTCATCCATTCCACTGCTTGTGCTCCTACTAGACGACTGGCGACTGGCTGCCGCCCTCGCGAGCTGCTGATTCGCTGCCAGCTCCGCGCAAATTTTCCTCGACATCCCTCACCGATTCGCCCTCTCATATTGGTCAGTATCCCTCCAATCGCCGGCCCGCGCCCCTTGACAAATATCTGATGCCGTCGTGCAGGTCTCTGTGTAATCATAGCCCGCACACGACTTGTCGAGAAGCCTCCTCGTGGCGTGAGCGCCCAAGCTGCAGTTCCACCTTGGGCACCCCACCGAATGCTGCCCGCCTCTTGTTCTGCCTGATGCAAGATACGTCTCGATTGATCAGCATTCACTCGTTCAAGTCGCTACTGTTTGGCCGTTGAGCAGCATCTAGGCTACCAACCTAGACCCTCTCTCACTATCACCATGGCGTCATCCGAGGTCGACCAGAAGTTTCTCGGCCGTCTAGCCAAGGCCGTCGAGCGCGACAATCCGCTCCTCTCATCTGTCCTCTTCAAGATTCTCGGCCTCTCGATCAACCTCTCCGGGCAGCTCATCAAGGCCCGGAAGCAGCGCCGTCCAGATGGCACATATCCTCCAGAAGCGACCGATCTCATCTGCCACATCATCTGGCTCTCGCGCGAGGGCCTCGTCCTCCTGCAGCAGTACGTCCTGCCCATGGTCGGCAACTATGTCGAGCTCAAGGTGCTGGCCTACAAGCTGCGCGCCTCCTTCTACCACATATTCGTCCTCTTCCATAACACTCCTCCCATTTCTTCAATCACGGCCGCAAACACCCCCGACACACAGTCCGTCTCTGGCCACCCATCGTCCTCGCGCGTCGATAAAGGGAAGGGCATTGCCCGCGACGACCTCTACGATGCCAGCAAATCTTCTGTCGGCCCACCCCCTGGCTTCGAGCACCCCCCTCCCCCGACAGCCTTCCTCTTGAAGCCAGGAAATTACCTTCCCGAAGCACACCAATATTTCCGTGAGGCGGTCCAGCTCGCAGAGGAACTCCTCTGGGGATCCCATTCTCTGCGGTTATCTGTAAAAACAGAGTACGCGGCCTTCCTATACGAATGTGTTCGTGACCCGGAAGCCAGCCGCAAGCTCGCGAGGGATACTATCGCAGAAGTGTATGAGGCGACAGAAGGGATCGATAATGATATGTTTAATGATGCCTGTGAGCTGGTGACAGTGTTAGGAAAAATGATGAAGAGAGGACTTGGATCGTCGAATAATACGTTAAAGGGTAAGAACAGTCCAGCGGTAGGGGTCCAAGGGACGCCGCCTGGCGTTGGGAGGGAGCCGCCTCCGGGGATGATATAGCGTGGGAGGTGTGACCGGATCTGCTTTTCAGGAAGCTGTGGGTCCCCGTTGACTGCGACATTCCTCCGTTACGACTGAAACCTCCCAAGCGAACGACTCCTGCGTCTCTATCGTTACGCACACCAACACACAAGGGTACCTCGTCGCTCGCGGAGTTTCCACGACGGTCACACGCAGTCCAACCTTCCTATATACCTACCTATCTCGACCATATGGGTGCATCGTTGTGTTTAGCATCTTTCACATACCCCACATACACACAGCACACTCCCGTACTGTCTCATTCGCGATGGAACCTTTCTGGAGTTGGAAGGAGAAAGGTGAAGCGGGTGACTGATCGGTCGGGTTTCACTAATATCTGCATAGTTTTCTATCTGTCTGTTTCTATCTGTCAGTTGTTTGGCGGGCATATCTGGTTCTAGGTTGGTCGGTCGGAGTGTTGGGATCATCTTGCATCTTTCATTATTTGCTTGTTTTAACTTTTTTTTTCGCTTCCCCGAGAGATTTTAGCGGTTGTTGCTTATTTCTTGCTTGTGAGAGAGTTTACTATTGATACCCGGGACGCGCTCAATAAAAGCTGGCGACGGTGTCTTTTTCCTCTTGTTCCTACATATTCTAGATTGTACGTTTCTTAAAAGCTTGTGCTGTGTGTTTCTGAGGAGTAATCATTGCATTTTTTTGGGGACCAGTGCTGGTAGATTTGGCTGGGTGTTGGGTGTTTGCTTGCCCTCTTCGGGGCGTTTGTCTCCCAAGAATGTTGTTGAGCCGCAAATACGACAGTCTTTTGGTAGAGAATTTCCTTGTAACATACGAAAATAGTGGAAATGTCTAATACACATTAAATGGAAACTATTGGCTTCAGGGGTTGCTGTTCTTGACAGTGTACCCGATCACCACTGCTCGACAGTCATCATGGAACAGAGGCAGCGACATCACCTTTATATTACTTAACGCTCATGCCATCCTAGTACACTCAGAAATCAAAAAAAGGCCAAGTAGGTAGGTGAACTCAACGCGCTCGATTTGTGATTGACAAAGGAAATCGGTCTGCTAACGAACGACTCAAGTTTGTTACACGCTCCGCACTAACCAATTTCGATCACGGCCATTCCTCAAGCTAGCCTTCCACTGATCCAACTCTCAACCTCCTCCCTAATTACCGGCTAGTTGATATCAACCCCTTTATCTGCCTTTCATTTTTTTCTTGCTCGCTGGTGAACTTGCCATCGCGCGAACAGGCAGAGCGAACAGAGCAGTAGACTATTGAGGAAGGTTTACTCGTTCTTGGCCTGACCCTCACCCTCCTTCTTATCAGAGCCCTCCTCCTTATCAGGACCCTCCTCCTTATCAGGACCCTCCTCCTTACCAGGACCCTTCTCCTTATCAGAGCCCTCCTCCGCCTTGGGCTCCAAGGATTCACTAAGGGAAATGGAGGGAGGGAGGTCGGTCACGGTGTTGTCCCCGGAGGTGGGGTGGGGGGTAGGAGCGTCATCGGACATGTTAATGGTTGATTTTTGAGAAAGGTGGCTGTGGTTGTGAAGGTTTGTATTGATGTGTGGATGTGGTTGTAGTCGTGTGTGTAGTGTGACTATGGAAGGTAATGTTTGAGCTGGGGGAAAGGGGTTATTTATAATTTTCCTGGTGGTTCCAACAAAGCCAGAGAGCTTTTATGAACCTCACGGATCTTTGTCCCGGATGCCCAGACCGTTATGGCAGTTGCTGTTCGAGGGACCTTTACGTTGGCCTCTTGAAGACACGATGAATCGCATTTGAAAGAGATTCTTGGAACGGAGAGGTGTTGTTGTCATGGTGTTTGTTTGCTGAGAAGGGGGTGATGTGGGTGTTGTCGGGCATACGTTTGACTCGGGAGGAATGGATCTTGATGCTGCGGTTTTTGAGCCGAGGATGTGATTCAAGATGACTATCGAACGTAGATGCATGGAGACAAGAAATTGTGTGAAGGGGGCTTGATTGTGGGCTGGCTGGAGTCAGAAAAAACTGGAAAGCCGTTGACGCACGGTCTTGAAGCAGTCCATAAGGTTGGGATTGCAATGGTTTGTATACAGAGAACGTTGTGTTGGCAGTGGGTAAAGTATCGAAGTTCTTAGAGATATGACGCATCGTTGCCACGTACACAGTGCGCAGGTCTTCGGCCAGCTAATACTGACTGCAGTTTTACCCAACGCAGATTCATCAATGTATGGTAGGTCACGCCCAGTCCCCTTCGAGACAACACTCAAACGTCCACTCCAGTTGAAGCTTCTTAGGGTATCAGTTGTACCCCGAGAGACTTTTTGGCCGTCTGCTGATAGGAATTCTACGGACTCCTGATGCACTTAAAATCAACATCTGCGTCAGTTTTGACCGGATTTCTTGTAGTTTCCTACCATCGAGCCACGAACGTTTCCCCGTTGTATAGGCATAACCCTAACCCTGCCCCCTGAATTTACCCCTGAGTTCAGATAAACAAACAGCGACACAACTCCAACCTGAACACACCACGGCATCACGAGGATTCCTAGTAGCCATATTCACCACAATTCGTCCATGCCATTATCTCCTTCATATCCTTCATCAGCGTCCTCCACAAAAGCAGGAAAATACCCAGCAGAATATCCGTTGACCCTCACATCGCTTGAGCCCAAATTATCGCATTCCCCAAACCGCATCGCTCTGTACCCGCTAAAATTTCTTTCACTCTTCCCTATCACCCCGTTGCCATTCTTTTCCACATCGCGACCGACATCATCTTCTCTACCGCGAACCCTCCTCCCATGTCCAACATCCTCGCTTTCTGATTCCCTGCCTCTTTTTCTCGCCCCATTTTCTCTCTCCTTCCCCTTGGTTTTACTCCCCTTTTTCCTCTCCTTCTTGCCAATAGCCGAATAATCCAGCTTCAGCCCCGCCCACGCCATATGATCGCGCTGCTCGGCATCGAGGCTAGTGTCGAGCTTGGTTGGTGCCGGGAAGGCCTCAGCAAATGTCGTGGTTGTGTGGGGGTGCGCCCGACGGGCTGCGGCGGCTGCGGATTGGAGGTAGGCCTTTGTATAGGAGAAGGTTGATGAGGACCGAGGAGGGAAGTGGGGTTGATGATGATGATAGGGGGATGAGTAGGGGTTGGTTGGAGAGGAATGTTGTGCGTGGGGGTAGTAGCTGTATGGATCGGATGGTATAGCTGAGCGAGGCGGGGGGTAGGGGTGAGAGGAGAAGGGGTAGGAAGGTTGGGGTGAAGATGATGTATGGTTTTGTTTGGCGAAGTTGGAGTCTAAGTGGTGTTAGTGACGAGGACTTGAGGACTGGATATCTGATGGCGTACCCTCGCTGAGACGGGCACAGCTTGAACAATGCCAGTGGCTGCAGATCTCATCGTAGATACCTTGATAGGGGACGATACCGTCACAAACGTGGTGAATCCCTGAGTTTGGTGTCAGACATTTGCAGCACGTCCAGCTGCCCTTCGGAATGGTGTATCTGTGGCTCTTGCTGGCGGTTTGTGTTCGGGAGGTCATGATGAATAGAGATGATGCTGGCTTTGAGTGGATCCTAACTAACAAACAAACAACAGATAATGGCTTTGTTTACTCATAGTTCTCTCGAAGTAAACTTTCGATGACACTCTAAAGCCTTTATACCCCTGACTTGATCCATGAACAGAGCACTGTTTGCTGCCGAATCACTCTCCGTTTGCGGCCTGTGTAACCTCGGCTGTAGATGGAAGCTAACATATATATGTCGCGGATGGCCTGGATTTAAGTGACCACTCACATTGTATGTGAGTAAAATGAGACAACATGTGAAGGAATGATTCAATTACCCCTGAATTGCAAAGGTCATATATGTAAGTGCGAAACATGACTCTCAGAGGCGAGGTTGCAGTTAGCTTTCCACACCTACGTCCACGATTTTGTCTCACTTACAATGGAGCACAATGTTAGACCTGCCTGGAAAGAGTCCAAGAGTCGAAGTCCGGCATTCTTTCTATTTGAAGCGAGGAAGCTCTGTCTTACCCCCACTCAGAGATCCCCCCTAGTCAACGACCAGTTTTACCAACCTCTTCCTTCTTCGAGATTTTGCCTACTTCCCGTCACAAAACACTTGAAGTGAGACACTTCCCGCAGCGGTAACATCCACACTGCGGAAACTCCATTAAATTCCTTCCAGTCCATCACTTGCCTTTGCAGGCCCTTGGGCAACACTTCTACATGTACCCATCTACAAGACAGTTGATGCATATTAGGTCATCACAATGCCTGTCGACCAGCTTATAAATACGCATCCTTGACACTCATTTGTCCATGTATTGAAAAGAGCATGCTCGCAGCAGTCGGAGCATTCGACGACACAGGCTGTATGGCCACAGTTTTGGTGTGCCCTTTCCGCAACACACGTGGTCGGCTGGCTTATGGAATGTTGATGTGTTGCTTAGTGATTGTGTTTTCCAAGAGCATTCAGTTTCAAGTCGTCGCCGTGGGCTTTGGTGATGACATCATATGTGAAATGTCAGGCGCGATGATACAGGTTGAATATCAGAACATTGGGCATATATTAAAAACGTCGGGAAAATTAGAATGATAGAATCTGTCTGATCTTCTTCGACGGCTTTATTCCACAGTTTGCCTTATGTTCGCGCGTCGACCTGGGAGCCGAGGCTAAACTTTCATGGAGTAAGCCATCATTTGCTTTTTTTAGCCTGTAGTGGTCAAAGCAGGAGGAGAAGTCTGCATATCCATGGTGTACTTCATCTGTTTCATCATCGAAAGGATACTTGATTTTTCGAAGGCCCTCAAGGGTAGGACCTACATTTCATTGCAGAAAATGGGGTTTAAGCCTCGAATGGACATTCCGTTCCAGATAATCCCAGTTTTCATAACAGTTTCAGAAACATTGGATTGCCAGGCGCTAAATTCTTCGTGACAACTACCATATTGACTGCATTTGTTGCGAGCGCATTATCTAATTAAGTGTGTCTCCTTGACTCGTAGAGTGGCACTCCTCTGGGTAGATTTGCTATTCACAGACATATCACTTGTTTAGTATCGCGCAAATCATCAACTTTAGCACAATTCTCATCCAATTCCACTCATATTGAAGACACCAATCACTTTTGGCAACTGCCACTCCGTAGCATGACCATAAGATGCAGCCATGTGCAGACTCGCCAACAACAACCACGTGTGCGAACACTAAACCATCTATCTCCGACATATGTAAGGCCGAAAGGTCCATAGCATTGAACCAAGTTGAGGAGGGCTTGCATATTTTGAACTTCAGATGGCTGACAATGAGGTGTACAACGAATTCAGCAGAAGGGGTTTCCTATACAATGGTAATTCGTAGAGTTGTTGCTGCTGTGGCGAATGAGTTCGCCAACGATATGTGGCCAGACCAAGGGCAATTCGAAGCCCTAAAGACTGAGCGGATCGTTTGTTGATAAGATCGCTGTACTTCCGGCAGTATGGTCCTGCTAACACCAAGGCAATGGTTTGTAGGGAAGGTTCATGTAAGAACATGGAGTTGCAGCACGGATATAAAGGGAATACAGGACATCCCGGAGCTTGATAATGTTCAAAACTCGTCCAGAGCTTTTTCCAACCAAGTTGAGCAGCCCAGAGGCACACTAGGCCTGACGCTTGCTTAGAGACTAGCTTTTCATAAAACTGTAAGTTAAGAATGTAATGCAGCACGTTGCAAAACGGTGACTCCTTTTGCATCATTGTCAGTAAGCTGACAAAGAGGTATTGCTCTACATCTCTAACAATATGTCGTGACGTCAAATGCCTTATTTCAGAGTGTTCGAAAAACAGAGCTCGCAAGACATCATTTGAATTGCGCTTTTTTAGCATATGGGTTGGGCAAGCAGGAGAAGGTATTTCAAGTACGCAGAAGTTTAGCTTTAGTTAAGTGAACTTTTGTGACATGGGGTTAGGATGATATGTCCACATCCAATCCACACTTACAATTACTCAAATGCCTAGCATTGGTGTTTGTGTCGCATTGTTTTCTCGAGTCAAAGAGTTAATCCCCAAGAATGTGCAAAAGATATGGTTGTTTCCAAGTAGATGTTGTAGGTGTAATATTGCGATTCACCTTTGAAGGTTACAGTCCTCTTCCAAACCACAAATCGCCCAGAGAAGCAGCAAGCCGGATACCTGTCTTCTGGCTTACTCAACTTTGGCTAGCGACTCGGAAGCCATTCAACGACATTCTTCTTACCAAGCACAATCGGCAGGATATTAACAACTAAACAGGACATAAGCCATTTCCACAACGACAACGGATTGATTGTTAACGAACTCCTCAAACCCTCCTTGTCATGGCTGTTTACGACTGTATACACCATTATAGCCCTAGCTGCGGCTGCGCATATTACGTTCAGAAAATAGCAGAAACTTTAAGACTGTAAGAAGGGTGATCGTGGGGGTGGTGACAGATTAATATTAGGAGTAAAGAGATTGAAATGCAGTCTGATGCCTGCTCCTAGGTGAAATATGCCAGGAGATTTATTCTTCAGTGAAGGAAAATTCATTGTTATTGAAAGTTCTATACAGTTTATTATGGTTCACCAATTACTTGTGCGAGCGCTTTGTTAAGAGAGCCGCTCTGTGTCTCTTTGTTCCTTAACTTTGTGAAAAACGATGGAATCTCTCCATTCTTGCGCTCTGTATGGGTCCGTAAAGTACATCAAATTACACACCCTGCATGCGGAGCTGGGGTTATTTTACGCGCCGTCTTGGCTGATGGAACCGCAGCGCCAGATCCGTGCCCCACCTGCAGCACCGGTACGCTGTGATGCGATCGACGCGTTCGCGAAGTCCTCGCAGCGCAGCAGATGCGGTTGAGTGAGAGTAACGTGCGAGAAACAACGCCAAGGCTCCGATTGTATGAGACACTGGCGATTTAAGCAGCCAATTGCATGATCTCTGATGGGAGGGTCATAGATGGGACGCGCGACGATGACCAGCTGATCCAAGTAGCTAAACCGCCGAGTTCCAAGTTCGATCTATCTCCCAACGAGAATCCATCACTTGTCGCTAGTCTGTTCTAAGTACGAAGTCGAGACTACCTACCTACGCCAATGCAAAAACATTCATCACCATGGTCACTGTCACGGACCCTTTGACAGCGCGCCTAGAGGCCGCCATCAAGGCCTGGTCTGACTTCTTTTCCGACGCCGAACACGAACGCCTCGATCCTGCTATCTTTGCCGACCAGTCGCAAACCCTCTTTGCTAACCACCCGCTGGCTCCCGTGCCGCTAGCTGACCTGTTACTGCGCCCGACACCATCGAACCGCGAGTGTGTCGACCAGCGCACGCTGCAATACCTCCAAGTTCTCCAGAAACAGGGGCGTATCACCACCGCAGCTGTCTTGCGCGCGCTGTATAAGTACTCGACTGCGCATACCCGCGCTCAGACACCAGATGGCAAGCCCAAACATGGGGCTGGAGATAGCAGCACTAATGACGCAGATGTCGGTGGCAGTTCGAAAGCCGATCTAACGAGCCGCATGGTGCGCTGGCGTAATTCATATATGGTAGAAGAGGATGTTCTATGGCGTCTTGCGCGGGCCGTAAACCATGGGACTGGGATCAAGACAAGCCATGACGTGACGGAGGTGGCCAAGGTGCTTGCTCGTTGGACGGCCCTGTTCGCCGAGGTCTCGGCGGCCATCTCGAGGGATGCTTTCAACTCGATGAATGGGCTGCAAGTGAAGGACGAGTCCGAGGATGCCAGAAACGCATTTGTATTGTTCTACTTTGCTTTCTGCGAGAATCAGCTGGTGAATGAGACGCTGAGCCAGCCGGTATGCAAGGGTAAGAAAAAAAATAATAATTGTGTTATTTTTGCATCAAGAGGACTAATGAGATGCCAGACATCTGCAGGAAGCTTTTGGACAGCTTAGACGCCTTTTTGCCTACACTTATGCATCTAACAGCCGATATCACTGGTCGGTTGGAGCATTTTCGTTCTGAGGTCCTTGCACGGTATGCGCCTCAAGAGAAGAAGAGTATGGATATGCCATCATTTATGAATGATCTCAGCATGAGCCTAGAAAGCTTTCAGGTTCCTGAGCTCCCCGTCGTCAACACTCGGGCAGGTCTATACATTTACCTCGGTGCTGCGGTAGGGATCCTTCTGAGAGCAGTATCAGTCGCTGTCGGTTCATTACTGATGTGTTGCAGCTCGTCGGTCGGCCCATGATCGATGATGAGGCCTTGTTTAGTTATCTTCACAACAGATATCAGGGCGACCTTCAAGCAATGGCCGTCCATCTTATCCTGGCATCATTTGACCTTTTGGCCAACGCCGTTTTCCGCAATGAGGGAGCGAAAACGGGACATCTACTCAAATCGTTTCTGATTAACAAAGTTCCCCTCATTTTGGTTCAGCTGGTTGCCTATGCTGCGACCACCATGTATCCATTCAACGCCGAGATGTGCATCACGGAAGCTCTGAATCAGGTGGACATCAACATGTTCCCAACGTTATCGGGCATGTTTGATATGCCAAACAACAACTCATTCAATGATTCAGTCCGTCAGGACTTTTGCTTTGCCTGCCAGCTCCATGGCCTGCTCTCACAGGCAGCAATTGAGACGCTGCTGGGTGATATAACTTATCAATCACTGCCACCTGAAGGCCGCTATGTGAAGGAACAGCTGGTCCAGGCCTGCCTTCAAGAGCCAGATCGGACTCTGAAGCTCATCGGGGAACTGGATAATATGAATGGAAATGTTGGTGCTGCTGCGCAGGCCATCGTCGAGGTAGGCTTGATCTCCAGGACGCTGTGTAAACAGGCACTGATTTTCTTAGGTTATCGGTACTCTTTGCCGTAACAAAGAGACTATGACCCTGAAACAGATCTGCCGAGACCTGGCTAGCAAGCCATTATCCTTGGACGTCCTGCTCCTGTTCGATAAGCCGCACAAAATCCTCCATCCTCTGTGCGAGCTGCTCGACAACTGGGCCGGATACGAAGAAGATCATGGCGAGTATCAGCCAGTCTATGAAGAGTTTGGATCTGTGCTTCTGCTGCTGCTCGCCTTCGTCTACCGATACAACCTCAGCACAGCCGACCTGGGAATTCGCTCGTCGGGGTCGTTTGTTGCAAAGTTGTTGAACGGCGTTGACCGCTGTCAGCCATTGGAGCAGCTTAGTGAACAAGAGAAGTCGCATCTGGGTGGTTGGATCCATGGGCTGTTTGATACCGAAGCAGGCGGTCTTGGTGATGAGTTGATGTCGTCGTGTCCACCGCAGGACTTCTATCTCCTTGCGCCGACGCTCTTCCACCAGATCGTTAATGCCCTGAGCGCTGGGTACTTAACTGATGAGATGCTTAAGGGCGGTCTCGAATACCTGGTGGATGTCCTGCTCCTACCAGCTTTGGTGCCGGCTCTTCTCTACCTGTCGAACCTGCTCTGGGCCGACAACCAGCCCATTCAGAACGCCGTTATCAAGATCCTTCAGCCTATCTTGAAACCGACGTCCATCTCTAATGAAGCATCCACTATGCTCTCCTCGGTGCTCAACATCGTCGCCAAGCCTCTCGAACATGCCCTCAAATCCTACCAACGCCAGGACCCCGAGTGCCAAAAGATCGAGCCCCTGCTCCTCGCTATTGCGGATAACCTTGCTGTCTCCCGACGCACTGGCGGCGCTGACCACACCGAGCTTGAGTCCTGGTGCAGCGCGCAGATTACGAACCCAGCAACTGGTGCTCTCATCCATGGTGGTTTGGCGGCTGCCGTCCGCACGACCATCCAGCAACTCGTGCAGTGGGCCCAAAACCCTACGCTTAACTCAATGAACGGCATGCCTGCTCCGTACACACATCGCCAGACACTTGCCGCGCAGCAAATACTCGGCCCACACCGCTTGCTAGGTATCATCCTTGACGAGCTGAAATCCAGTCCCGAGCCCGGCATCGCTTACGACGTCGTCACAACAATGATCTGCGCTCCGGATGTGCGCAATAGCACGATCTCCTCACCCTCTACCCAGTCCAATAACTCCTCCGACCACAACGATCAAGCCCAAAACCACCAATCCCAAGATGCCAAACACAAACACCCCCACCGCTTGACTCTCCGCGATGCCCTCCGTCTCGAAGCCCACGACTTCCGCGCACACCTCCGGGCCGACCCGGTTCTTGCCGAGACCGTTGTCCGCCTCTACCGCCGCGTTGAGGCACAGCTTACCCCACTAGCTTTGCCCCTCCCTCCTGCTGCTGCTGCGGCACCTGCTGTGGGCGTTAATGTCGGTGTTGATGCGGCAACTGCTGCGGCGGCTGCGGCTGCTGCCGCGATGATGCCGGATGCGCTGGGATTGGGGGTCGTTGGAGGTGTTGAGTTGGGTGGTATGGAGGGGGCTATTGCGGCAGCTGTTGCGGCAGCGAATGGGTCTGGTACTGGCGGTGCTGGAGGAGATGGGACTCAGGGAGGTGCTGGGGACGCAGGGATGGGGTTGGACGGACAGCAGCAGGGTCAGGGGGGAAGTTCAGCTGGGGATATGGGGCTTGGTGGGGGGACAGCCGATGATATCTTTTCAGGCTTGTCGGGGCCGGATGACTTTGGGGCGGATTTCGGCAGTTGGAGTATGGATTTGTCGTAGGCGAGAAGTTGCTGGGCTGGTAGAATGGGGGTATAGGAGCCGGTAAGGTTTGGAGTTTGGTCGTTGCGTTATTGGTTTTGTCATACTGAGGCTCATTTTTACTTTGCGGATCAAGGGAAACAACTTAGGTATTATGCTGAGGCTAAAACATATCATATTCGCGATGTCACTGGCAAAAGTTGAATGATGACATTCAAAAGTTGGCTGAGCTGTGAGATACCATGCTGCCAGTGTGTCCAAGCACCAGTAAACATCAATGTAATGGCTACAATATGACAAGGCGCTTCTCGGTCCCATCCCGTTCATCTGGTTTGGATTTCGATATCAAGTTCGAATGGGACGGACTGTTATATTTTCCCAAGTCCAATTGCAATGCCAAGCTCCGCAAGCTCAGCCCTGCAGCCCCACGGTTGCGCCCTAGGTGCGGGTCCCAAGCTGAGCCAAGACAAAGCCGAGACCTTTGGCTAGAGTGTTGACATGTATCATCACAGTACTCATACTGTCTAGATATAAGCCGGATTTCCTCTTCTGGGGCCTGACACAGTCTAGTGTTGACATCAACCATCTTTTCTCCGCAACTTGTGCTCTGTTTTTGGCTAAGCCCCTCATCACAACGCCAACAACCCTGTTACAGCACGTTGAGCATGCGGTAGCAACAGTTTTGCAGGGCTCCCGCATGCCCCAAGTTCTTTCGTTTCCTAATGTTTCTTCCCCTGAAAATCTGTCGAAGACAAGTGAATGGGCATTAACTTCCCATTGCTGAATGTTGGAAATTTGGCGAGCTGTCCACAGGATGGCGTGAATAATTTGAAGTCTGGACCGGAGCTTGAGGTGCCACAAACACACAGGTTATGTATACCAGCCACACTAAATCCAGGCTCAAAGCTCGGCGGGGGATGCATCATGCATGAAGACGGCATGGCTGGTATATTCAGGCCCGAAATTTGGGTCTGCTCTCTCTGAAAATGTTTACCAGTGGTCGCATCAAACGATCTCATTGTCGACAGCATTGTGCAATTCTTTAGTTGAACTCCGGAAAATTCCAAAGGACAAGAGACGTCATTCTTCTTCTATCAAAAAGTACGACAGGCATCAACACAAGGTGTCTTGGCGACGGACGTCTCTCACTCCGTCTTACGCTGCCTTCCGACCGCTGCCTGCTCCCCCCTCGTCTATCAAAATGAGCCTAACCCCGATCAGTCGCTCGAGAAGAGGGTGCCCGGGTCGACTGACGATGTCCACAGCCGACTGAGCCAATCATGGCATTTTCTCTGCAGCCAATGTCACCTTTTTTTTCTTAGCTGGCTGCGCGCTAAAAAGTCATGAAGCGAGAACTGGACTGTTGGTTTGCAGCCTCCTGCATCCTCTGGAAAAGCAAAAGCGACCCCCTGGCCCGCCCTCGCGGGTCTCCAACAAGACTCCCCGCCTTCCGCTCTTCCAGGGTACCCGATCATTTGGTCCCATTTTCTCCTTGCAACCATCTGCTTTCCATCATCGTAGATATGAAGGCATCGCTGGGCCTAGTGGCGCTGAGTTCTGTCCTGGGAGTCGTTGATGCCCAGCTTGTGTGGTGGCATCGCGATGACGAGCAAACGTACCATCCTCCTCAGCAAACGGAGCAGCCGCTCAAAGAATTACTCCAAAATGCCTTTGACCCGATGCCGACCCCTCCCCCAAAGGCCTCAATCTTACAGGCGCGCGCTGAACCCAACAATACTTGCGGCTTTATGAGGGGAGATCCAGGTTAGTAATTGTATCTGTGATTGTGTTGTTCCTAAGCGTTAATGTTGCCATAGACTCGGCTCTGTATTGTGCTCGTACCGAATTCTGTGCCTATCATGCGTCGCTCTCCCACTATTATCTCGGGTGCTGCAATGATGATGGCTTGTCATGTGGCCTATGGACGACATGCCTCGACTCAACGGAATCGAGTCGATTTACTCTTGACGGCACGACCATGCTCTGGTATGCTCCCAATTCGCTCCCATCCTGATAGGGACATACCTCTCACACATAACACTACAGCGATGACCCAGAGTTCCCTTACTGCTACACACACATCTACCGTGACCCCGTCTGGACTGGCTTCACTGTCCTTGGCTGTGGCGTCAGACGCGGAAGAGGTGACATCTATTACACCCCGTTGAGGGTGACCGATTCCAGTAGAAGTGTCATCTATACAACATCAACAACCTCTCGGTCAAGCTCAAGTCGCAGCACTTCTGACCCGATCTTTTCATCCTCTTCTACCGATCCCATTCCACCGCCTACCCCCCCTCCTGAACCCGAGGAAAACAACACTGGTGCCATTATAGGCGGCGTAGTAGGCGGCGTAGCCGCCCTCGGTTTGATTGGCCTGGTCGCCGTCATATTCATGCGGCGCAAAAAGCATGATGACAACCAGCCCAGCCCTCCGGCAGTGCCCGTCGTGTTGCAACAACCGAATCAGCCTTCTCCTCCCGCCCCGGCTCCGACGAACCCTCACATGTCCCAGGTTTATTCTATCCCATCTACCAGTCCAGCACAATCCAGTTTCGATCCGCGCCAGAGCATGGCCGCGGGCCAAACCGGCATCAGCCCCATGGGGTCTCCGTCACCGATCAGTCCCACGCCGCCGTCGGCTGCTTTCGGAACGCTGCAAACTACTCCAAGCCCGCAGTCAAGCGAGCAGCAACAACAGCAGCAATGGATGCAAACGGGCAATGTCCTCCCGCATACGAATCCGGCGTACGCTTCTGCCGGGTTCAACATGTATTCAGATCCCCATGCACCGCAGCTGCTTCAGCCCCAGCTGGCTGGGTACGGCCAACCAGTGCCGCAGCAGCAGTCTGTGAACTATGGGATTGCTGCTGTTTCTGGCCAGCAGGAGCCAAAGCAGTATACAGCTTGGCAGTCTGGTCCGGTTGAGTTGCCTACACAGAATTACAGGTATGACACGTCGGGGGTGAATGAGTTGCATGGAAGCGAGACCTTTGGAGAAGGAGCTGCTGGGAGGGGGAATGTGGCTCGGCATGCATAGAGAGAGCGGGAGATACATGGGAACTGAGCCTTGTGTAGATGATCATTTTGGTTTAGCGTTTTAGTATTGATAGTGGATCCTGGGTTCGTATATGGCTGTTTGGAGGATATAATTTGGGTTCTCACGGGGATTTTTGACTCTATCCTTGCAGCATTTACGCCTTTCGAGCAGGAAATGTCAGAATTCTACGGTACTTGCAGGTGCGGGACTTACGGGTGTCTTGGACTGGACTCGAGGCCCGGGAGCCCCTGACATTGATCGTCAATACTTTCAGGAATAATAAATATGTGCATTGCATCTCCAGCAACGATCAGGCTGTGATACTGAGAATACTCGATCTCAAAGCAAAAGGCCCCCCTCCTTTCCCCCAAATCTCTCTATACCCAACCACAAACTTCCTTCAAGATCAGAACTTCATCAATTCTCCCCCTTCTCATCCCCACTAACAGCCCTCACAACCAATCTCTTCCCTCTCTCCCCCAACGCTTCTACAACCCCCAACGCAAGCTCCCTTCCCCTCTCCCCCATCTTTGCCCACGTTTTGCGCAATATATTCACCCACTTGTCGTCATCAATCGCTGCTCCGTTTCCCGTTGTCGAGTACGACTCGAACTGCTGAGTCAGAAACACCAGGCAGGCTACGTCCTCGACGGCCTGGGCGTCGATTTCTTGTTGAGAGGGCGCAGTTTCAATGCTATCTCTGGGTTTCGTAGATGTAGCGCGTAGCCCTTCCTTTCTGACGAGCGAAGCGATGTACTCGATTTCGGATTCGGGGATGGGGGGGGTGATAGCTGGGGAGGAGAGGAGGGTTGTGAGGTGTTGAGCGGCCAGAGACTTGGCTTTGGCGCGCCACATGAGATAGCCAGAGCGAGTTTTGGGATAGGAGGAGCGGGGGAGTTCCCAGCTTTGAGAGGGCGTTAGTGATTGGATAAGGCGGCGGGAGGGACAGGGCAGGAAGGGTTGTGATTGCGAGCAGGTTAAAGATTCGAAAGGATGAGTGAAAGCAGTGAAGTGAGTGCTCACCGACGGAAGTGCTGCGCCCGACAAGCTAGCTGCAATGCAGGTGATGCATCGGGTGTGTGAATGGCCAGCCAGCGGGTCATCTCTTGAGCGTAGTGAAGCTCATAGGGGATGGGGCCCCCATCAGGGCCGGGGGTGGTGTTAGGGTCTTGGGCATGAGCCTCGTCGATAAGCTTAAGGGCAATGGCATAATTTTCAGGGAGTACCGTGAGGGTTGTCATTGTATTTGAGTGTACAAGTTTGGTTGTGAACGGCCAGACAGTAATATGAGAATCAACAGTTGTCCTTGGTGAAGTGAGCGATGAAAATGCGAATTGAGGTGAAACACCGAAGTCGCTTGCTTAGTCAGCAGGTGTTTAATCTCGGTCGCAACAGTGGGTAAGTTGCGTACCCCATTCAAGGGCTCAGGGAGTAGTTGAGTCAACCACCGATGATGCTATGTTCGGAAGATACAAACTACTGACATATTATGCTTAAGCCGGGTTTCTGGAAAACTCTGTCAACAAGCACAAAGTCACCATGTGCTGTAGGCGGCTATGACTTTGCTTTATTGCAGACATGGTGTTGCCACCGGCCAAACAGCCAGAGAAGAAATAAAGAGCGATGGAATGTTTTGGGTCCAACAACCGCTTTACCTGTGGCAATACAATGGAACTTCATTTTCCCTAAATGACCGCAGATATGTTTACAAAGTGAAAATGTCAGCAGCAGACCGTGGTTATGTCGCCGTCAAGATTCCCCGAAAGGAGGACAACGCATGCCTCGAGAACACCACTAGAAAAATGTCATATAAGGTCTCATGAAAGGAACGTGAGCATCGATTGCTAGTTAAATACCATGGCATTGACGAGAGGCGAACCAACTGATCGTTCCTACACATTCCAGAACTTTTCAAACACTCCAGTCGAGCTTAGGCGCCCCTGTATGCTCAACGAAACTGATTATCACCTATCATATCTGATTCGAGCAACAAACAGTTAAGTTCTAATAAGCCTTTAGAACCAAGTGTTGCTGACAGATGCGTCTCATTCTTCATACACTGCAAGATGTCGCGTGCGGAAACTAATGTGATAATGATGTGTGAACAATAGGCATACAGATCATTTCATAGGCCAACGCAACTGTTTCAAGGACATCAATCTTCTTTTCAATCCATAATTCAGTAAAATTCTCGAACACTAGGAATTGATACAGTTCTCCACCGGCCAAGGAGAAAGATTGGTCAAGATGTTAAATAATACAGGGGCGGTTTCTCGATGTAGGACAGCATGTAGTGCTCTTAATCCTGTTTGAAGGCAATCAACTGAAAGAACAATGGTTTTATATTCCTAAATTCCATACCAGCTGCCTTTGGTTTTTCTGCTCAAGTTAGCCTTAACTATGAAAGACATGTGGCTTGCAATCTGGCTGTGACCCCTGAAATGTTTTTCTTTGTGCATCAACTGCTCGACAGTTGCCATGAAACGAGTATGATGAGGGCGTTGATCTCATGTTTGGCCACAATAAAGAAGATACCAATGATCTCGGCACTACATATAACCCTAGTAGAGTCCAACTCATTCCGATGTTTACAACGGCGACGATATGCAGTAAGGTTCATCAAGATGCCAATCCAGCTGGAGTTGATTGTACGAATGGACAACGTCTGTGGGCATGTGGTTGTTGTCAACGACCCTTTAGAAAACCGCAGGGACCTGAGACTGAGTAAGAAGGACGTGCTTGACTGCTTTTACAAAAATGCGAGCAACATCGAGCATCCGTACAGCCAATGGCAATACAATACCTGGCCGCCTGACCGGCAGCTCCCCGAAAACTGGAACCGGTTAAAGCCGGTCATGCTTCTGGTCTCATTCGAAGGCATCGAGGAGCCTATTCTCCTTAGGATCTATCGTCACCATGATCAACGATACCAAAGGTGTGATCGGAAACCCTGTTTTGCCGATGACAGTTGCGACTGGATCTGTTGCAAGTGTGGAGCAGAAAACGATTACTTTGTGCATTGTGGTTACCTAAGAGGTCAATGCAAGCATGAGCGCTGCTGGGACTGCTATGCCAGGTACTCGTTCAGGGAAGTCACTGGAATCCGTGATGGTAACTTTCCCAAACCTTGCTCCAGGATCGTTTTACAATCATAATTGCTCACTGAAAGATGCTAACGGACTGATTAAGCAATCAGACTAGGGCGACGATTGAAGAATAACTTGTTCCCCTGCAAGAAGCCAGACGTCGCTCTCGTAGATCTCCCACAGAACTATGAAGATGATGATCAACGGGCGCTTCTCGGAGATCCTGGCCACGAACCCGGGACTCATAGGGACGAGGATCGAAGAGATGACGACACACTTTCTCAGGCAGAAACCCTGATCTGAAGCAAACCATGCGTCAAGGTTTGCCTCAGTAACAACAAAGTTGGAAAACAGGCTGGTCCATGGCGTTGATTACATTGCATCGGGTACTGCAATGTATGATCTGGTAATTAGGTACGTTCAATTTTAGGGAGCCAAGATAGTACCAGAAACATAAAACGATACCATTTCATGACCTATGAGGAACAGAACTATGTGAAATGACCAAAAATATATTAATCAAAACTGAACGCGGTGTCCTATTTAACTGGCCCATTTAGCCACTCCAACACACCCGAAATATGCGAAACCCCAAAGCACGCTCAGCGTTGGCGATGAAAAAAAAATGCGTAACACAAGACGATCTGGCTGACTGATACATACCTGGTTAAAGGGCTATCATGAGAGGCTGGAACTAATGATATGTGTAGTAGCCTCGCCATTTTCAAGCCCCTAACACTGCTTCAACTTGGACACCTATCTGGTGGGTATGCTTGTGTCCGCCTATACTTACCTCGAACTCTTCAATGTTTTGGGGCGTATTATGATTCTTTCTCGTATAATTGCACCTCCTTTCTTCACTGGCGCAGAGCTTCGTGATCTTTCCATTTATGCCCCTGACTTGGAGATGCCTTCTCTAGAAATCCCCACCCCCCGGGAGATTGTGGGAGATACATGGCTCAAGCACTGAGTTCCTGCCTCAGTTCTTCACAAACTTTTCGGTGTCACGGGCACCGTTGGAATCATATCGAATTTTACTTCGTGTTCTGTGCCACAGAAAAGGTTGCGTACCTTCACAATGTGATCGTTGAGATTAAAGCATTGCAAATTTTGAGTAGGTAAAAAATTTCATTATTAGATAGGCTTGACCCAGAAACACATGAATGGAGACGAGAACTATCCAAATTAGATCACTTACAGAAAACATACTACCGATCTGCGGTATCCAACTCGACTCCTCAACGCCGATATGCCATGTATTCTTGATAATACAAAACCTATGCTGGAAAACAACAATGTTGAGCCAGATCAGAATGCACCCTGATATTACACTCTTATTCCTCCAATACAGGCCCCCACTCCTTCCCAAGTAGCTCATTTCGGAGTCAGTTCTCATCTTCCTCCTTAATATCCACGCCCTGATCCGGCGCCCTAGGACCAAGCATCCTATTTGATCAGCAGTCAGTATCATCCCAAACTTCTCTGCTTTCTCAATCTCCGCATTTCTTTCAGAATCATATCGAGTAGTTACTTACCAATCTTGCATAGCTAACCACTCGCTCCACCCTTCCTCAGCAGCTCTTATCTCCTCTTCAGTCGCCTGCCTCAACGGTTTTAGAAACGGCACGGTTTCATCCACACCCATGTCGTATGCCTGCTTGACCTCCAGCCACGATGCTGATTTCGCGGCAAAGAGGTAGTTACGCCGTTCGTGCTCTTGCAACGGCTTCACACCGCGCTCCCAGTCATCGCCGAAGAAGCCGTGCAGAATAGCCGGATAATCCCAGCCCGTTGCGACAAGACGCCGGATGTAGGGGAGAATGGAGGTCGGAGGAAATTGTTGTGCATGAGCTGCTGTCACTGGATGAGGGACGCCTGGTGGTGGTGTTACCGGGCTTGGAGATGACGTTCGGGGGTAGAGGAGAGAATAGTTTTGTGGTTGGTTGTGGGTGAGGGTGCGTTGAAATGGCAATTGGATGTTGAGATATGCAGCAAGGGCCTGGACAGAACAGTCCCATTGAGCTGTGGTGAGAAAGTATCGGACGCAGGACTGGAAGGAGTGATACCAGGCGAGGATGTCGAACTGCTCGTCCACAAAAGGCTGGAATGAAAGTGTTAACTTCAAGGTCTCCAGTCTATAGACAAAGGAAAGACTGCTACAGCATCGTGGATGAAAAGGTGTGTTTGGTACCTGTTCCCTGTGAAAGGGCTGTTCACCCGCCTCTGACATTGGCATTTCCGTGATGGAGATGCCTTAAATGGCTGGGAAATAGCAAGAGCGGCTGAAGAAAGTGGTGAGGGAATTGAGTCGATAATTTTGCAGTCAACAATGTTTAAGTTGTGTTATGGTTTCTCTGTGACATCTTCAGGAAAGGGAAGCAATGATACAACCACGAGAAGCATGTAAGGTTTATATACTTTTCACTTATGACAACTCACGGATCGTGATATGCAAGCAGTCCAAAGAAGATCCAACGCTGTCACATACTCGAGCAGCTCATCGCAAGCAACGGCGCCATGATCCCCGGTACGACGACTACAATCCTGTCATGCCAGTTCAGCAGCACCGACTAGACAGGCGAGCCGGCAAAGAATATCGTTGTAACGTCCAGCTGAATGCCGATGCAGTGGCAGGGGAACAGAACTTCAGTCCTTGCACGGTGAACGTTGGATGTTGCTGTTTCGGGGATAATGATCGGCAAGGCCGGCCGCTCTTAACGCCCCACATATGATGTAGGCAGGTTGACAGGGAGGGAAGGGAGTATGTACCTGCAATCCAAGTCTTTGCCGCAAGTTCGCAAGTTCGGGTAGGCGCTTCCACCAATCTGATTGGGCAGCTAATCTTGCTGTCATTACAATGGTTGCGACGAGGCCATGCAGGTGCTATCAGTGTCATCATGGTGAATATAGAGGACAGAACTGCATTTTTTTGTCTCAATTTGTCAAATGAAAGTGGTTGCTTGCAAATATGATGGTGAAGGACAAGAAAACATTGAGTGTGACAGTACTGGTTGCCCAGACTTGGCCCTGGTTCCAACAAGCCACTGTTGCCATGCAGATAATTCCGCTGGAGTGTCCCTGATACCATGTAGGGAAGAGTTGACATCCTGCATCAGCTCGACTGGGCGATTGATAAGGTTCGGACAAAGGCTGCCATACCCAAGGCTACGGTTCACTGATAGCCAAACCACCATACCTATCACTGGTGTCACTCAAGGCTATGGGCCTGGCAGTACTGTCGGTATGTTAAATTCGATCGAGGTTGTTTTGAGGGGCGCAACTCAGCTCTTCAGGGTTGCGAAGTAGAAAATTCTCGGTCGACTCTGAGGGGTATGTGAAGACAGGCTCGGCTTGAGAAATTGTCTAGGATGTGGTTCTCGATTGTCCACGCCGAGCTTGCTCTCGGGCCCAAGTTCTAGACCAAAGCCGCGTCATAAGCAAATGCCAGAAAAACAACTGAAACCCTTTAGTGTTGGCAAGACATCGAGGAGCGAGAAATGAAGGTGAAGTTTGCAGATAGTTTGTAGGAATGCGCGAGTGCCTGGATGAGGTCCATTGTGGGGTTAGTGGGTGGGACGGAAGGTGGAGCCGGGGAAGCGCCAAGACTTGGGACAGCGGAGTACCCTTGAGTGGATCCCGATTCGCTACCGAAAGTGGGAGGGCATTGTCTGCTTTGCTCGTTGAAGACCTGCTCATGGCTAATCTCGAACCTCTCAAACCGCCACCCACCAACCAAACCGTTGTTAGACACCGGGAGGAGCAAAATACGGCTTTGACTTGATAGCCTCTTAAATTTCCTTACAATCACAGATGCCTAATGAACAGGTTGGACTGATGAGTAGCGCCCCCAACCCTAGGAACAGCCCCGTGACGTCGATCATGACTTGAGAGAGTCGAGACACATCAAACCAACAGCCACATCCAGCGCCGATCCAGGAGCCTGCTTGCAGGATCTGGAAATTTTCCGCTAGACGAGTTCCCGCGACGCGAAGTCAAGACACTTGTGGCGTTGAAACAAGTTCTACTCCTCGCAAAGTCACCAACCGCTTCTGCAAGTCCGGCCGGTCGGTCGGCTTTCATTCAGCTTGACAGGCTAAAAACACACATAACTCGGACAAATTCTCAGCACTGTTGTCGAAACTTTCAAAGCCCAAAGTACCGTTACTTGAAAGACTACTAAGTGCCCTATCTGACTGCCTGCGGCCTGCTCCGGTTTAAGCTTCCAGAGGGGAAGGATTATCAAACATCTGACTGGAGTCTCTCACTTGGCTCTTACATGAAATATGCAGCTGCAGCTGCAGCTGCGGATGCATCGAAGTCTTCGGCACATGGGAAGTGTGGCCGTGGCCAGCTCGCTGTCTCATTCGAATGCCACGATGCGTCTGCAGCCACGTTATATCGCGGCTCAAGCAGTGGATGTTGAGACGAACTCTCAGACAGTGATCCGAAACTATTCAGGGACACTAAGATAGAGCCGGAGGTTCAATGCTCGTGACGCACAGATGCTTGGGTTGCAACCACTGAAGCTTCCAGATAGCGAAAATGTACCGTGGCATCGCTAACCATGGACCTTTAAACGATAGCATGTCCCAGGTTCTCGGGTCAACTGGAGGTTGGTTAGCTGTGAAGTTATAGGATGACTTTGGCACATTAACCCGGTTTTTTATAAGCACATTAAGCTGTAGATATCTTTCTATCTTACTCTTGGCCTGTTCCCGGCTTTCATTCACCATGCCCCGTTTTGGGTCTATTAAGCCCTGGCTTGGCTTCGAAAACCATACGCAATAGCCAGGACTCCTGGGCTAAACACGTGGGTTTATTTAGATGTTCTTCAATAGGCCTGTCTAGATTGCTGGCAAAATACCTAACGCTGCTTTGGAATACCTCGACCTAGTGACCGCTACTATACAAGGCTCTGCACTCTGCAGCGGAGGACATGATCTGACACCGTGGGACTTTTCGGTGTTACTCATATCTACATATAGCGATCAATGAAAGGGCAATGCTAGAATGCCTCATCTGGACCACTAGATGGTCCGGAACTCTTACCATCGTGGTATGCCTCTCGACTGAGACATCACCACCGAAGGTCATCTCGTGACTGCTGCATTGGGCCTGCTGCAGAGACCGGTGAGTCGGAGCGTCTTCATTATCGACCTGGGATGACTTGTGGCTACTAGGATCCCCTGGCACAAGGCTTTCTAGAGCCAAACAGAGACGCTGCAAGTTTTGTTCTGCTTGCATGTTCCATGCTCCCCAAGACATCGGACCCCTTCTCCGGCTACATTACAAGAAAATGCCGAGGAGGTGAAGCATGTTGTGATGCTGAAGAGGAGTGAGACCCGTAGCATGCGGTTCATCACTGTCACGATGATCTAAAGGGAGAAGATTCGGTGCATAGAAGTAAGACCGTTACTATGCTTACTGGGAACTTGTTTTTGAGCATAGACATGTGGTAAATTGGGATGAAGCCTGCTCAAAAGTAACTGCTTTGTTCAGAACCGCTCAGTGGTTTCAAAGCCTGCAATCGGAGAATTTACGTCGATGGATAAGACACAAGTATAGTCATGTTCTATGACCGTAAGACCACTTCAGACTGCAATCCCCCTTACCACCAAAAAGGGGGAGAGTTCGTTATCCCATGACCTGTTTATGAGAACATAGAGGGCCGGGCCTACATGACATAGAGGACGAGGTGTGTTACACATCTTCATAGTCATTTACGTAACATCGATCCAGGAGAAGACAATCTTACCTGCGCCATTTACTGGCAATCTTGAAGTTGACAAAGAGTCCATGTTGGCGCACCTTGTTTCTTGCTTTCGGGACAGGTTTGAGTGTTCCGGTTGAGACAGAAGATATATAACTAAGTGATAAAGAGATTAGGGAATGCTGAATAGATTTTCAAGCCAAACGACCCATTTTTACCCTAGTGTTCCCGTCAGCTTACGTTCAGCACTGAACACGGGTAATGAATACTCACGGTTCTCGGGGATCACGCTATATTATCTGACTTGGCGCCACAGAAAATGTGACTGCAGAGCACAACAAGATGTTGCCTGTACCAAAAGTATACATCTCTGTCTCTTATCCATTGATAAATGGAGTGTTCATCGAACCTGCTGTGTGCTTCATGAACTCAACCCACGCAGGTCAACCTGCTGACCAATTATCACTCACTTCTCACGTTCTCCGATCACAGCAATAGTTAGATGTTGAGTCCGCATGATTGCTTGTTACCAAGCCATCAATCTGAGGTGGTAAGCACTTACAATTTCCTTTCCAGCGGTAGCCTATCTCGGAGCTCAGAAATATTATTATTCATTTAGCAGCCATGTGTTGTAGACAGTCTTCTGGCTATCTACCAGATAGTTAGCGAAAAATTATGCTTTGAGGAGAAAATTTAACAGTAAACATTCCAAGACCCAACCCCCACAAATTCCCCAAGGACAATTTCCTTTGTTACAAGCAAAGCTATGTGAACTTGACATCGAGTCGGCAAAGCAGAATAGGGAACTCTTGGTGGAAGACCAGGCCTTGACGCACTCTTCGCATGAACCCCGATATATGGATAGTTGGGGAAGAAGTGAACAAATAGTCTCCGGTGCCCCCACCCCCTGACGCACGAACCACCTGGGGGACTGCGCTAGCGCCAGTTGCCAGATTGCAACACGGCACGTTTTGTGGCATTGACTCGCTTGACAGCTGGCTCCCGTTGTTGCGTGTCTCTTTCTCCTGGAAACCATCAAAAGGACTCGCGCGTTGGGATTTCGCCGCTTCTTTTCTCTTCAGCAATCCCAACCTTTCTTCTTCTCTCCCGCTCCCTCTCCCTCCTTCTCTTCTAGGGCCCTTCCTTCCTTTCCTTTCCCAGGAATTCGGCACAATGGTTAATTTCAAGTGGTCTGCTCTCGCCTTGTTGGCTCTGCGCGTCGCTGCCGTGTTCGCGCAGGAGGAATCGGTATGTTGCACCGCTGACGATCCAAATCCCAGTGCTCCCTTTCCTGTATCCGATCATTGTGGATGATGGGTCGACTGTCTGTTCCTGATCAATTGCTGACGCGCGGTCTCTCCAGGCTGATGCCGAGCCCGGCGTCCTGAAGGAGGTGTCGCCTGACGAGCTCAAGGTCAGCATCGATACGACCTTCCCGGATGCCGACATCTTTGGCGTGAAGTTGGTCAACGGGCGGCCTACCAAAGCCATCATCGAGATCACAAACCACGAGGAGGTCCCCGTTGACGTGGCCTTCATCGGTGGCATCCTCAAGACCACCAAACCATTGCCCGAGGATGCGCCGCACTACGCCTCTATCGTGCGCAACCTGACGGCCGTCCGGTACGGTGTCCAGGTGCCCGCCGGTGAGAAGCACCAGCTGCCCTACCAGTTTGTCCTCGACATGATGCCCCAGGATGTCAACCTCGTCCTTTCGGCTGTCATTACCAACGCTGCCGCTGGCAAGATCTACGAGGTGGAGGCCCACAGTGGTCCTGCCAGCATTGTTGATCCTCCTACCTCCATCTTCGACCCTCAGATGTAAGCATTCTTCCCCGTCACCAATCATTCATAGTCGCCATAAAGTCACTAACCCAACCAAAGCATCTTCCTCTACCTCTTCCTGACCGCCTTTTTCTCCGGTATCGCCTACTGGGTCTACAAGACCTGGCTGGAGCAGTTCTTCCCCCAGGCCAAGCCTTCTCGCGCTGCCGGACCCGCCAAGGGCAAGAAGGCCCGTCGCGCAGGCGGCGCTACCTCTGATGCTGAGCCCGTCTCCGGTTCCGAGTCAGCCGGCGGTAACACCAGCGGTGCAGGTGAGAAGGAGTATGATGAGAGCTGGATCCCGGCGCACCACATCAACCGCCCTGTCGCTCGGAAGGTCAAGGGCGGCTCGAAGTCCAAGTAAGGGATTTGGAAATGATCTCTGCGACTTCCTGCCGTGTCTTGACTTTCTCCCCCTGTCTTTTGCATGGGATGGAATGGAATCTGGTTTGGGTTAGGGTCGGAGTGGGGGGGGGTGTCGGATGGGGATAGAGTCTGGGGCTGTTGTTGTGGCGGGGTTCAGGTGTGGCCGAGCATTAATAGATAAAAACAAAATACATTGAAGGGCGCGGGATCAGAATGGTATATCTACTGTATAATGTTTGCTTCCATGTAATGTTTCAATGCCCTGTACGTTTATTCCCGATGGTCCACGGTTTCGGATGGCAAGGTCAAGGAGATATACAGGCTGGGATCGGGAAGGGGACTCGGAAACAGGTAGCATAAAATGGAGGCAACTTGACTTGATCCTGGGACATAACTTTATGTACCTGACGACGACAATGGGAGAGGTGACATTTGACCCAACCCCGGACTCTGATTTCCATACTTTGTTTCTGCGATCATAAATGAATAATGTCAAGCGAGCGAGAAATCTGAAACCCAAAGAATTGAAGGCTAGCTTTATATGTATACCGTACGTACTCATCAACCAGAATTGCAACTAACCGCCTTCCAAAGAGAAACCCAAAATGAACGCCATGCCCATACACTTCTACGCATAGTCCTTCCTTTCACAGGACCCTATATCTCTACCTATCCTACGCCTTCATTCTCTACCCCGATTTAAAAGAATGACCTCCTTCCGCTGCTGGAAGGAGCACCAATCCTCTTCTTCAGGTCTCCAGCTCCCCTTAGTCCCAAAGTACCCGCGGTCCCACTGCTGATCCTATGCAGTTCCTCGATTTTCCCCAGGACGGTCTCTAACAGCTCCTTGCGCCTGATCAGATCCAGATGCCTGCGCACCTTGGGATCCTCGCGGGCAAATTTCTCGAGCCCGCCGCCAGCATGCATGTGCTCATGCAGCTTGGCCTCGACCTCGCGAGGGAAGCGCACATAGAAGTCGTTGAGCATCTCGACGTTAAGGAAAAGCACGGCGGTCTGGGCCAGCTTGGTCGCGACCGCATCGAGGAAGACTTCCGGACAGTAGTACTTGTTGGTCAGGGTTTTGCACTGGCGAGATTTGGCGGCTTGGATGCGCAGGGACAGGATGTCGGCGCGGTCGCGGAGGAAGACGGCTTCGCGGCCTGGAGATGGTTAGCAAGTCATCATATATGAGAGGGGGTCGTGGCAACGAGAACAGCGATCGGGTTTTACCTCTTGCCAACAGGGCGGCACTAAACCCACCCGCACCGCTGGGGTGATCTCCCTCAACGATAATCTCGCCCTTTCGGGCCTTATCCACAAAGGACATTACTTCCTTCAGCTTCTTTCTGCCGCCAACCGAGTTCTCGAGCGCCTTCATGGCCGCCTGACACTGTTCAAGCTCAGCCTGCAGGACGCCAACGACATGCTCCCTGCCCTGCGCCCACTCGTTCGGCTGGATATCAGGATCAAATTTGTAGGGTTTCAGCGAGATCTCGATGCCGTCGCTGGTCGCATACGACCGGTCAGCCAGCACGGTTGCCGCAGCATCACTGATGACTTTGCGAGCGGACGGGTGCTTCGCGAAGGACGACTTGTCCAGCAGCTTCTCGACGTGCTGCTGGATGGCCGAGGCCGCGACGGTGGCGGCCAGACGGCCAACGCCGAGACGTGTCAGGCCAGAGCATGCGGTGTCCAGCTGGCGATGCCAGTACGGCGAGTCAGGGTCGGCCTTGGGTAGGTCGATAATGTTGTCAGGTTCACGAGGAGCGGGCGAAAGATCCTCGATCGGACGGTTCCAGTACCGTGCAGCGAGCTGATCGAGAACCTTCTGGTCGAGGGCATCCTTAAGCAGGGTCTGGAGCTGCGGCCGGCCAAAGCTGGACGCGAATTCGTGGAACTGATGTTTGAAGTCATCCAAGCTAGCGGCGAGGTAAGACTCGGCGCTCATGGGCTGCTCATTATATTGCACCTTGAATTGGTAAGTGGTTTCCTCAAGCTCACGCTGAATGGCCTCGGTTGTCTCATTCAGCTTGGAAGACATTTGCTGCTCTAGGACCTGAAGTAGCTTCTTGCGGAGGGTCATGACGCCCGTGCTGACGCCAGAGTCGGGACCAAACTCGGTCGGGTGCGAGCCGAAATAATTCTTCTCGTTGCGGTTGATACTGGCAAGCAAGTTGCCGGTATCACGCCTGAAGAGACCCGACTGAGGGGGAAGCTTGGAGATGACACCAACGTAGCCCAATTTAAGGGGGTACTGCCTGTCGGAAAGTATGGCAGCACCCTTCTCCGGCTCAACCAGGTCCATTTTGGTGATGACACCGATGGTTCGCTCGCCACGAGGATCAACCCGACGGCTGGCCTGCAGCGCAGTAGAGTTGGCCAGATCTGTGTCGGCGGCAGAGATGGCCAAGATAATGTTGGGGCCGCGAATGTACTTGTCGCACAGTTCGGTAATCTTCCGCTTCAGCTCTCTAGGCTGGTTCTCGCCAGCGACCTGGATGTACCCGGGAAGATCGATGAGCGACAGATCCGGGATGTTCGGCGAGTGGATGGTGAGCCGGATCGGGTCGTCGGTCACACACTCTGATTCGGGGACTGACTGGTTGAGCTCGGTCAAGGTCTTTTGGATAAGGGAGAAGTCGGTAACCCTAGCAAGACCAAGGTCAGGAAACTCTCCGTAGTCGACCTTGGCCTCGGGGTCGTTGACCAAGGTCAGCTCGATGGGGCGACGAGTGATCATGTTGCTGCCCTTGGGCAGGAACTCGTGGCCCACGATGGCCTCCAGCACGGAACTCTTGCCGGATGACTGTGAGCCGATGACGACTATGGACGGCAGGGTGACGGTGCTGCCCTGGCCGACCTTCTGCAACAGGTTGCGAATCTCAATCATCTTTTTGGTGATAAACATCATGTTGTCGTCACGCATGATCTCCTCAGGCGTGCGATCGTCATTGTCGGACGCACCGTAACCATAAACAGTAGCCGAAGCCCCAGCGACGGTAGCAGCGCCAGCTCGGCTCTGCCTCGGGGGCTCTGGCCCTCCGTTCGGGCCGCCCTCGCCGGAACCGCTGCCCTCGCCGGCAAGACCCTCGCCCTTCATGATCCTATCTAGCCATTCCGGAATTTCGAACTGGTTCTTAGTGTTCTCCCATCCTCGTTTCGTCTGTTCCGCGATATCTACGGCACTGCTCCAGACACTGAACGCGGTGTCTGCGACGGTAGCCTTGATATTGCCGTAGAACTCCTGGGCGGAGTTGCTGACCTTGATGGCTTGATACTGAACCCAGCCGACGGCTCCCAACATCATGCCGCCGAACAAGGCGGGAACGCGAATGAACTTGAGGGCCAGCTTGGGCAGCAGGCGCGTGAAAGAGGCGTTTCGGACGATGACGGCATTGTTGTGATAGGCGTTGGCAAGGGCGGGGAACTGCACGGAGCGACGAAGGCCCCGGGCGGCAATCTCGACGCGCTGGATACCACCAGTAGGCAGATGATGGTAGTGATGGAAGCGCCGGACGGCAGCAGGCCCAGAGATGACGCGGCGGGCGGCGGGGGTGATGGCCGCAGCGGCTCGAAGCTGCGCGCTCATGGTGGGATGCGGGGTGCTGGTGTTTCAGGCGTCATACGGCAATGGCGTCGAGCAGGCGGCAGTCCGACTGCGCGGGCGTGGTCGGGGATATCGTCGCGATCGTTGGACGGCTCAGGCTGCAAATGTTGTGGCCGGGCTGTTGTTGTGGCTCTGTGGGTCGGGTATGAAGCTCGCCGAGCATCACTTTCGGTTCACAAATCGTCAGATGTCACGCACGACCCGAGAGTAGACGTCGGGCAGTTGTGGATTGTGGACGCCGTTCTCAGGGCTCCACCCTCGGCTGGAGACCCCATCTTGGCGTCCTGGCTTTGCAGCCCCCACGGCTTAAGCGCATATCGCGGCTTGCGCCGGGGTTATCCACGCATGTAGTCTAGACGAGATTCAACTCGTTTACAATGTTTCAGCTGGCATTGTTCTCTTCCGTCCCTTTCTCGAGATAGCTAGCAATTATTGCTGGTATCTCTTCGAGTAGCTCTAGCAATTTAGTTTGAGGATGTTGATTAGAACGGAAAACCTCCATAAGGAAACGTGAGGAATACTCCGTATCCGTATGTGAAGGCGGCCTTTTGCCTCCACCACAGCAACTGGCTCACTTAAGCCTAAGTTTACTGTTTGATAATCTTAAAACCTGCTGTCAAAGAGAGATCAAAATCTTGCTGTCTCAAGACAATCAGAAACCCCAGAACTCAACGGCAAGTTATCGAGCTCGTCATGGCACCCTTCCAATCTCCCGCCCCACCTGAACCCCGTTTCCCCATCGCAGCGGAAGCAGCTTGCCGCGGGTTACAGGGTCCTCTGCTATGATGCTACCTTCTGTTGCGTACTCCTTCACGAATGAATCTCATAATCGTCGGCTTGGCCTTGGAAATGAAGATAGATGTTCGGTATTCGGAAGTGTTGCAGAACGTTCCGAGAAATTAATCCCGCTTTCACCCCAGATTCCGATGCTGTGCTTCCCTTTGAGTGCCGAAATTCCAGGTACCGCGCTAAATTCTGGCCGTTGGTGTTGCCATTTGGCTGGGCGATTTCGTCAGCCCTGCGACCGGGGCCTTGCATCGAGCCACATGCCCCAGTCGGACCAGTCCTGGTCCCGTCCACTGCTTGGCCTCGTGTGTGACTCCTTGGGCCCTTGTCGCTACAACCGCTTGCCGTCGTTGCCAGGTCGTCGGTTTTGACACCCTCCCACACTCTGCATACCCTCCATAACCCGCCTCTGCCCAACATACTTCTTTCCCGCGGCTTTGCGCTGTGTTGTGACACGTTTGTGCAATTCAGGAACCGACCTCCCCCCCCCCCTTTCCTAGAATTGACTGAGCGACCACAAGTCGCCCAATTCCAATCGGTTCTCGCTATCATCGGGCTGCGCACTCGCCCCTGTCTAGGAGCCTGTCATCGGCCAGAGATTGCGGCTATCATCATTGCCATGTGCCGCTTTCTGGTATGTCCTCAGATAAAACTAACATACGCGACACATCTATTAACTGTTCTTGCCCCAGGTCTACAAGGGGACCGACGAGATCCTGCTCTCGAAGCTGGTTCTCGACCCCGCCCATTCCATCCTGAAGCAGTCCTTCGACTCACGCCTGCGGTTGGTGAGCATATCTTCGTTTAGCCCCAACAGCGCGATTTCCTCTGACAACATGTCTCCCTGCGATAGGACACGCGCCGCGGCCAGAATAACGCCGATGGCTTTGGTATCGGCTTCTACACCGATCCCAAGCACGGCCTTGCGCCCTGCCTGTTTACCTCGACCACGCCGGCCTGGAACTGCCAGAACCTCCATCGTCTTGCCTCCAAGACCGCCTCGCGTCTCATATTCGCCCATGTTCGCGCCACCACCGAGGGCACACTCAGCGAAGACAACTGCCATCCCTTCTGCCACGGCACTCTGATGTGGATGCACAATGGCGGTATCGGCGGCTGGAAGCAGATCAAGCGTCGTCTGGGCGAGCGCCTAGCTGACAAGTGGTACCTGAACGTGGTTGGCGGCACTGACAGCGAGTGGGCGTTTGCTTTGTTCCTTGACACCCTCGAGCGCATGGGCCACGACCCCAGCTCGCAGCCTGCCAACGGTTTCGGCCCGACCGTATTGAGAAAGGCAATGCTCAGGACGATCGCTATCATCAACGAGCTGATCGACAATATCCCAGAGAGCGTCATCCACGCCGAGAACGTTGACACTCGCAGCTTGCTCAACTTCGCCGTCACGGACGGGCATAGCGTCATCTGCACCCGCTATGTGAGCAGCTCGACAGATGAGGCCGCTAGCCTGTACTATTCCTCTGGCACACTATGGGAGACCCGTTCGCCCACTCCCGGCCAGCAGGCCGACTATCAGATGTCCCGCAGCGACAAGGGCGCTGATGTGGTCCTGGTTGCCAGCGAGCCGCTCACCTTCGAGAGAGGTAGGCTACCCGCCCCAGATCATCATATTCAGTTCTTGATCCCTAGTACTGACTCCTACAGAAAATTGGGTTAATGTCCCAACTAACTCGATCCTCACTATCCACAACCAAACTGTCATGGTGCATCCCATCGTCGACCAATACTATGCTCGCAGCCCCCATCACCGCCGTTCGACCGCTTATGTCCACACCAAAGGCTTCTCCGCCAATGAAAAAGACCTCTCCCGTTCCCCAACCCCTCTCACGGTCCCCCCCTCTCTCCCATCTCTCTCCGCCCTACCTCAACTCCACGATCACCGCCAACAGTCCTTCCTCCGCCCCACGATCCCAACTTTCGGCTCAAGCGTCTCCCGCTCGCGCACCCCGGATGCCTCTCGTTCACGCTCTCCTCTTTCCGTTACCCAGTCCGAGCCTGTCGAGTCATCCACGGCTGCTGCTGCGTCACAACTCCAACCTCCTTCTATCTCTGACATCCGGGAAATTACCCCTCCCCCTGGGCAAGCGGCAAGGTCGGGACAACAACAATCGCAGCCTGTACAAGGTAATATCAAGAAGAAGCGGGCATCGCTAAGCGCCATTGAGGGAACCACTTTCGGTGGCGCTGGACCCCTGGGCGGGCTCCTGATAGACATGCCGGAGCCAGTGAGAGAGTATACGAACGGGAATCCGAATAAGATTGCGCAACTGTTTCCCGAGTTGGCCTTACGATGATTTTCCATCTGTCCCTTTTTTTTATCTCCTTTCTTCTATCTACAGCTTGGGCTTTGCTTCGTTTGCTTTTTAGAGAAAATGCGCGGAGTTCGGGGTTGGCTGGTTTTCTTTTCAACGAGGATAGTTCCTTTTCCATTCTGTCTTCCCATGTTGCTACTTCCTCGATTAGAGAGTTTAATGGGTTGGCGTTTGGGACAGGTTTAGGGGATCAGTTGTTCGTTCAAGTTCTGTTCTCGCTCCGTTTTGAGCCTGTTTAGTGGAAGTTTTGAGATAAAAGAGAATGACATAGCAAGACATTGGCAATGCTTCGCGGCGTTTTTCTCAACTTAATCCACAGTACTTCTTGGCAAGATTAAAGTTGTGTAGTGCATGGGTGCATCAAACGCTTATTTAGAAGGCTTGTTGGGTTTCATTCATACTTGCTGAGGTTTGCTTACAGACTGTTCCACAGCCGAAATGGTACTGAATTGATCATATATATATAAAGAAATACTTCTGGAAGAACGTCCATAGAACAATTTCCGCTGGGATCAACACCTGCTCAAAGTATGTTGTTACGAACTGCGTGCTTCCCAGATAACTTCCTTACCAGTCCCTCAAAACTCCCTGGAGCACAACTAGTCTAGGAGAATTTCCTTCCGACCTGCTTGGGCTCAGTGTTGGCGAGAATATGTAACTCATCCTTCGAAGGGTACCCGTAGCCAACTCGCTCTGCGTAACCATTCTCCCACTATCTATGCCGCCCCTCACTGAGCGTACTTCATCCTCTCCAATCCGTTCAAGTAACGGTAGTTTGTATATCTCCAACGGCTGTCTCAACGAGGAAATTGGATTTCGTTATGCTCTTCACATGACATGATGAACTCTCTTTCCTGTGACACTTCATTCCACCATTCAGACTTAACGAAGACACTGCTATCACATTGAATACCAGGACTGATAACGAACAGCTGAGTGCAATCTCTGCTATCCTTATTGACAATGGGCGCGGTAACAACATGGGTGGTCGATGCTGTTCAAAAATTGTAAATACCCCAAACTAGGATCGCAGTTCAAAGCGGCATAACGACAGTTGGCTCAGGGTGCAGCCAGGCAGTGATTTCTGATGTCGATACATAGAAATCTTTTCTATTGCAGAAGTTGGGTGTCTTCGCTGTCGTTGTTCGTTTACATAACACTCTTTGCCATGATACTTTTGACAGAACAAAAAACCAGCGCCACACCATGCCAAAATCAGCTTTCTCATCGTTAATAATAGGTCACGGAGTATACTTCGCTATTTGTCTTTGCGCATCGTCTTCAAGGCGTACCCGGGGATCCCTCGGCACTTTATAGACTTCCTCAACCACCAGCGGACTATTATAATAATCCAATCAGCTAGGGGGAAAAGCTCAAAGTCAGGAAAATGGATGTAGGAGTGGTAGTTCAATAACCATATCTCTGATGAGCTTTTGGACGGGCTCTTGTTGCCGTTTCCAGAAATTGTTTTTGTTGCAAGAAGTCCTATCTCAACGGGGAAAGCTGGGATCATGGCAAGGGTCGTAAGGACAAGTCAGCAAACAGGGCAGTATTTCCTGAGCCATATCGTTAACGGTTTCTAATTTATCTGATAAACCTCGATTTTGCAAAATCACATTGATATGTCCAATGATTTATCATTGTATCGGTTCTCGAGGAAATAGAGGGGCCTAAGCCCCGACTGGAAAACGGAGCAGGCTCCGCAAAGTCTGTCCTTTGGGCTCCCTGTATCAAAAACTGGATACAGCCGGCAGAGCTTAGAGGGAGATTCGCAGTCAGGGAAAGCTTTCGCGGTCATTTGAGCTTCACAAAACACTCGAACCCGTGTCGCTGATCTTCCCCATGTGGTCTGCCCCGCCAGATGATTTTATCGACACTGCGTCCTGTGTGCGCTCGCTGGGCAGAGACAACAACACTGCAAGACACTCTCCACCAGAAAATGTCGGAAAACTGATAAAAAGGAACATGATATTACAGATAGATTTGTCCAGAATGATTGGGATGTGAAGAAGAAGCGGAGAACTTTTCATCACAACGGAAGTCGCACACCTACATCCCCAATCAGCACGAAGCCGCATGGCAAATGTGCCATACAGACGTCCCGATCGTTAACGCCCGACCAGCTAGAATTCTGACCAAAACTAAACTCAGCCCAGCTGTAGTGAGATGCAGCAAGATGTATGAAAGGAGCATCTAAAGCGCGGAGATTGGACTTGGCTTGAAAGGGTAAACCGCTAGTAACTTTCTTCCAGACAGCTCCGCTCCCAGCTTAGGAAGCCAAGGCTGTGAGGCTATGTGGCCTGTGAGATCTGGGTTCGCAAAGTCTGGGTACCGTACCCGAAGGACGGCGCAACGTCCGTGATGCAGAGGCAGGGCGGCATTGTCATGAGACAAGGACCGGAAAATTCGAACTTCAAAACTAAGCACATTGTGACCTAGTGTGTGTTCAACTGAACTTGGGACAAGACGTACCAGTACCAAAATCAGGGATGAAATGCCAGGTTCATGGGTATATACCCAGCAGCCATGGGCATAGCCTTCTCTGAGCAGCCTGCAGTTCGCCATTCTACCTCCTAAGGGTAGGTGATAAAACGCCGATTTCGTCATATCTACACGACCCAAAAGCGCAATCAATACGCAGGGTATACATTTCAAAAACCAAAAAAAAAATCATCATGCCAGCTCCCATTTTTTAATCCCCGCTAACCTGCGCATGTCTAAAATATTTCATCCCGACCCATGCCACAACAACCCACACCCACGCCATCACTCCAGTCAAGATCATCAGCGCAGGATAATACCCGACAATCGGCAATGTAGGGTCATCCTCCAGCTCGGGTGGTGCATACGGCGTCGTACCAACATCCCAGGCCCAGCTCCACACGCCCAAGCAGGAACCCATCCCGATGACAAACACCGTCCATGTGACGATGAGAATAATCCATCCCCACCATTCAGTCTCAGAATAGTCCCATCCCACGTCCTGCGGCGGGAGTCCCGATGCAGTGGACATTAACGCCAGTGGCGATTTGGCGCGTTGTTTCTGGCGTCGACGGACGTCAAGAGATGGAGTGAGCATGTTGGTAGTAGCCGTGCCAGCACCAGCTGCACCGCTGCCGTTTGCGGGGTTTGGGGAACCAGGCGCTGGCGAAGAAGTACCGAGGGGTCGATGGCGGAAATAGGATTCGGAACCAGAAATGGAGGACACAGAGGCGCGTTCGGGGCGAAGGAGAAGTGAGGTTGTGGAGGCAGATGAGAGAGATGGGGTCGTTTGTCGGGTAATGCTAGGGAGGGGAATCGATCGTGGGCGTTGGATGTGTAAGCTGTCCTCGTCATCGGTGGTACTGTAGCCTATAGTTGGGCTGCTGGAGCCAGGGATGGTGTAAGAAGTGGTAGTGATGTTTGGCGTACTGGTGTGGGGGTTGGGTGCCGTCGCGGCTATGGGTGTCATGTCGGGATCGGAGGTCGGCGTGGAGGATCGTAAGGATGAGTAGCCATCTACACCGGGGCGTGGTGTGAATTCTGAGATGCCAAGACCGAGAGAGGGGGAGTCGTGATCTTCGGTCTTGACGACGGGGATGGACCTGTGTGGGCTATTATTGTTGGAAGAGGTAGCATCGGGAGCCTTGGAGGGCACGCTCCCCACATGAATCTCTATCGGCATGCCGTCACCAGTTATTTGTATTTTTGTGTCAATGGTCAGGTCGCGGGCCTCGCGGCGTGCTCGTTGGACGCCTCGACCCAGGAGAGCGGCCTTGCGCAGCGAGCCTCTTCGTCGTCGCTGCTTAAGCGGCAGCTGGAGAGCGCTCAGTGGGAGTAAATGCGGCGTCGGTGGCTGTGTTACGGTACTTGATGGAATGGCTGCCGAAGTATGGCGCGGTGACCGGTCGGCTGGTAGGGTTGTGAAGGACGGGATCGGGGGGAACTGTGTCTGCGCGGCAGGCGTCAGATCGGATTCGTTTGTGTTACGACGTGAACGCGGGCGGTGCTCGCCCGACGAGCGAATGAAAGGCAGCTTGGACAACAGGCCGCCAGCTCCTGAGGAGCTGCGCTTGCGAGCAGGAGCTGGCTGGCGACCTGAGACAGGCTGTTGTTGCGCATCCGGGTTGGAGCTCGGCTGGCGCGACTGGCTCGACTGGACGGGACTGGGGTCGGTCGTCGTCGTCTCCATTTTGCGTTTGTGTCTCTGTCTGTGTGGCCACGGAGCCAAACGCGGAAGGCTAGATGTCGCACAGAGGAATGTACGCCGGGAGGGCCCTGCATTCTCGATCTGTAGTCTACTGGTATGAAGCAAGCGCTACGGATCCCATCCGTACTTCAGACGGGACTCAACCGGTCGCGTGCATGCCTCTGTTCAAATAAGGGAGAGAAGTCGAGCATGGAGCGGCTGAAATATCTCATCCAACGTCAGAGATGGAGCCGGTGATCAGGAGCAGGCACTGCATGCAGGCCCGAGTCGGATGTAGTTTGTCGATGAAGCCGGGGACGATGCAACGTTCAACATGCAGCTTGTCGAGATTTCGATCTCAGTTTGCGCAGCGGGCCGCCCATTGGGCGCAAGGAATGTGAGTTCTAGACCCTGCGATCGCGGCACATGGTGGGTCTGATCTCGGCTCACCCCGCTATTCAGTTTTATCCTTCGGCGGATAAAACGGTCTACATGCCTTCCGTTACGCAGGTAGAGTCGGTTCCGTTTCGAGCACATAAAACGGAAGCCCCTCCTCCCCGGCTCCTGAGTCAGGGGCTAAGCAAACATAACATTGGGGCACAGCGCCAGGTGCTCTCGAATATGTACCAGGTAAACCCGATAGGTCGCTAACAGAAACAAATAGGCACCTTCTATAGATAGGAATATTTACTCTGTGGGAGATGGCAAATATCCGGACCTGGTATTCACTTGCCTAATGAGAGTTTGAAAAGTCTGAACCTTACGACACGTACGCTAACGCTTCAGCTCGGTTTTGATGACTGGCTTGCATGCGGCAATTCCACGTGGTACGATACGCTCGGGCAGATAGAATGCCTGATGAACTTACCTAGGGATGTTCTTGAACTTTGGAACCATGGAGCTGTTTGAACATGCATTCTAGGCCTGCTGCATTGAAGACTACCGAATTGCCAGGAGTCTAATAACAGCCATGTTGGCTTGTTTCTGGTGTTCTCCCTACCCACTCACATAAGAATTGCAGTATCATTTCCAATTCGGAAGTATGGTTTGTTGACCTGCACAGAACGCTGCTGTTGCTGATGACCAGAGCTAGGATAAGGGAAGCAAACTCGAGATCGGTAGGAGGAAGAAAGAGGCAAGAATACAGCTCTGACGCAGGTCGAAACGACTCAATGATGTCGGGAGGACTGATTTACTCGCAACGAGAATCGGACCAAAAAAATTATAGACCGATCACATCAAATAACTGAGTCATAGTGGTGATAAAGAATATAGCCTTACAGATCTTGAGGGCCAGTACCAAAATCCTAAGCCATATCCGATGCTTATTGGTTACTGCAGCGGTCTGCTATGCCCTGATCAAGAGAAACTTCACGATCTACGCAGCCCAACGGTCTGACAGATAAACTGACTTGGTCTTGCCATGTTTTTTTGCTGCTCATGGAAACCTTGGTCAGGTAGCAGCCCGAGAGGAGCACATAAAAGAGACGCACAAACTCCCACTCATTCATCAACAAAATTCGACTGTCTCGCCACAACCTGGGTCTTTTGTCTAAACATTCAGCGCCTCAAAATCCAACCGCTGCATTTGATCCGTGTTTTGCTGAAAGGAAACCTCACATTGGACGTATCCTCCCTTTAGCCACCGATACCGACTTCATTGTTTCTGTTTTGTCTCAGTTTTATATCAGTCTTATCGCCAAAGCTCTCGGCTCGAGTCTGGACTCGCTACGTTGGGCTCTAGCTGCTCGTTCGGATGGTCTACTGTCTGCGCATTTCGTCCAGCCGAGCATCTCAACAAGCTTGTTTACTGTGGTCGTAGTTATGCTTTGGAGTTTACTTCGAAGTTACCTAGGTGTTGTTCGGCTTTTTTTTTCTTTCGGCAGTTTGTTTTTGGCACTATCTTGAAGTGTAAGACCTATGTGTTCTGCAGCCTACACTTTCTTAGACAGAAGACTTACCATGTTCAGACAAGGCGAACTTCGCAACTTCATCCCGGCCAGCCTACAGGTTCCAGTCTATGCTGGCCTCATACCTCCTGATACTCGAGTGCTCACTATCGTGCCATCAGCATATCTGTGCACATACTTTACTGGGTTCATTTCTTCTCTGTTGAACATTCCCAGGTATGCCATCGATGTGGCGGACAACAGTACAGATGTTCCCTTGACAACAACTGCACGCCGTTCTTTCTCATAGGAGGACTCGGAACTGGGAGACAGGTCTGGCCAATCTTAAATGCCACCATTTTGGAGGGAGATCTCTCCAACGATACGCACGGGATGCCGGCATACTGGATGATGACAAGATGATCAGGGTCAACAATGACCCAGGAGAGCTACTTCGTTATGAGCAGCTCAAGAAACGCAAACTTGAGTTTGATGAGGATTGCATCTATTATAGCGATTTTTGTCGGCAATACCATCCAGATTTGCATTGCAGACACAGACTCCTCGATCGTGGTGTATAAGCTCCGACAAACGCCATCAATCTGTGGCTTTTGATCGGACCCAAACTAATGCTTTCCATCAATCCTGGGCAGCATGTCCAACCTACCTCAATGATCGAAGCATTTGCAACCTCGACTCGCCCTGGAAGTGGGATTTAAACAACGCTGTGCTCTTAACAGTCTACCGCCAGAACTCCACAACGACAATGGCCGGCCGCAACCTGCACATCCGCAGGATCGTCTTCTCCAATAACCCGCCACAACCATTGCCGCTCAGTAGAACTCTCTACCAGACAATGTGGGACAAAGCGTTCCGTTTTCAGGGCACCCAGTCCGAAACCGAAAATGATCGTGTACAGATCCGCTTCTTTTGCAATACAGCCCGGCGTGGTTGCTTCGTGTTTATGCCGAGGTGTTCCCTGATGATCGGCACACGCCGTTCACACACCTGCAAAAAATTTTTTTTGGCGCTTCCATTGCAATTTAGCACGGTGTGTTCACAGTTCGCTTACTACAGAGTCCCTTCCGAGTTTATGGGTTTGTTTCCCAAGGAGCCGCAGATGCTAACCGCTGCAGAGAGTGGGTTCGAGGCTAACAGATTTGTGAATTTGAAGTGGACCGTGTGAGCATTTACATGGGAAACCGTTGGGGCTGTGGGAGCCGGAGGAATGATCTTTATGTATATGCTTTGCTGGGCAAAACCATTACCGAAAGGCACAGGAATACCAGAGATCGATATCATGGAGTTGACTAACAATGGTCTTTATGACCCACTCAGATTCGAGAATATAAGCCAGGTCATCGGAAGCTTGAAACAGAAAGCATGAGAGTCGGCGATGGAAATGACAATCGAGATGCGCAAGACACGGTTCAGATTGGGGGAAGAATACGAGGGAAGAGAGTATTGACCACTATCGAAGAAGACAGAGTCCATAACATGCTGGGGGAGTTTGATCTCGGGATTGAACAACACTCTCGATCTTAGTCACCCAAGTTCCAATAACGAAGGAGGAAGACTCATTTGTCGGTTGTCCATTCAGTCACATGAGCCACATAACTGGCATATTGAAACCCAACTGTTGTTCCCACGGTTAAAGCTACGTACGTACTCCGTGCGTTACGTAGGAGGAAGTCTCCGTTTTGGCTCTGTCCCGTTCCATGTCGTTTGCGCGCAGCTGCAAGCGACCCCTGCAGGTAGAGTGACCCCTGCTTCTGCCCCACCCCCACAGTGTTTCCAGGGCTGCGATTTGTGGCCATGAGCGAGACCCTGGACATTCGCGGCCAGAATTGGCCAACAACCATTCTTCGTATCACCGTGTTATATATGAATCTGAAGCTGCTTCATATCACCTCGTGTACCTGCCGAGTTTTCCATGAAATCGACTTCAAACATGCTGTGAAAATCTTAACCTTTTTTTTACTGAGCACTTAGGTACATCTTCAACGTCCAGCTTCTCACGTCGATCCTCGCTGCTTTCCCCACGCTAAGCACAAAGGGGCAAGTCCCTTGCTGCAAGCTTATCGTTATCGCAGGGCCCTATCGTATCCGCAGTCGCCGCCGCCCGACCCTCTCCCTTCAGCCTCCAGGGGTCGCACAGTGACAACACGCTTCCTCACCACTTGCGCTGTTGCCGCCTGTCGTGAGCCCAGCTCATGGCTCCCGGCCCGCCTGTCATCGCAGTTGATCCGCCCGGGACGCCCCCAGCGCCCGCCTTTGTCGACCGCGACATAGGCGACGGCAACAGCCCAATCGACGACGACGGCCTCGTTGACCTCGACAAAGCCCAACTGGACTCGAAGCCAACAACACTTTCCCCGACGCTCACCTCGTCCACTCGCAGGCCTTCCATCTCAACATACCTTCGTCCCGAAACCACATCGCTGCTGAAACCGCCGTCCCCTGAGACTCCTTTCATCATGTCCAGTGAGGACAACAACGCCAGCGGCAGCGGCAGCGGTGGCGGAGCTACTGGCACGTCACCGCCCAAGAATCCGTTCAATTTTAAGACACAATATATATCCACTGCGCCGATCAAAACTGTATGTGTCTGCCTCATGGCAGAGCTTGAAGGTTTATTCTGCTAACTTCTTCAGGGCATCGGCCAGCGTCGCGGTCACCGCTACAAGCACAGCTCGATTAGTGCATCCCATTCCTTCTTCCAAGAACCACCTCCCCGACCACCGCCTGTCCTTCCCGCCTCCCTTCCCATACCAACTCTCAAAGAAGCATGGGCCAGCATGCAACCGGTCCAGCGCGCCCGCCTGTACTGGTGTATCTGCCACGCCGTGATCGCCATGTACGTGTTGCTCAGCGCGGAGGGCTCTCTTGCCATGACGGCACTCTCCCACCTAGTCTTCTTCGATGTCGGCTCCGCGGTCATCTGCGTCGTTGTCGACGTGCTGGGGAACTTCGAGGTCTGGCGCCGCTCCAGCATCCGCCATCCCTTCGGGCTGCAGCGCGCTGAGGTCCTCGCTGGCTTTGCCATGTCCATCTTTCTGGTCTTTGGCGGCTTCGATCTCATCTCCCACAACGTGAAGCATTTGCTGGAGGGCGTAGGGGAGCACTCGTCTCATCACCCGCTCCCTAATGACCACGACCATAGCCACGGCCACCACCACGGCCCAGCTCGGTATATCTCCCCTGGCACAGTTGATTTCGCCTGCCTGGCGGCAATAATCAGCACGTTAGTCAACGCGCATGCCCTGCGTAACCACGGCCGCGTGCGTCGCATCATGCGCGTGCCCTTCCCCTACCTGGCTAGTATCCTCCCCGGCGCGGGCATTCTGGCCAACCCATTCCACTTTCTGACTCTGTGTTTCGCCTTCCTGATGCTTCTTCTGCCTCTAGTCAGCGTCCCACAGTTCGTCTGGCTTGACCGCTTCATCTGTGCGGCCATCACGGGGAGTATGTTCCTGCTTGGCGTGCGGCTGGCGATTGCGCAGGGCCTGATGCTGTTGATGAGTTACGACGGGTCCAGGATGACCGCGAACCCAAATGCTACGTCCTACGTGCCCTCGCCTGCTGCATCAGGGCCCGGGGAGAAAAAGAAGATCGATTCGGGAGCTTACTCACGATATAATGATGGAGACAGTGTCTCGGCCGTGCTCCGAGAGATTGAAGCTGATGTACAGGTTGCCCGGGTTGAGGAGGCCCAGTTCTGGCAGGTGCATTATGGCCTGGGAATGGCCAACTTGAAAGTGAAGGTTGCTAGGAGTTATGGGAATGGAACAGGGACGGGGGTCAGCCTAGGCAGCGCTAATGGTGCCAGTGGCGGGGACGATAATGGTGCCTCGCTGAGCCAACTGCGTAGCCGCCTAGCGAGGATCGTGCAGAATCGGCTAGGAGAAGGGTATGGGCGTGGCGGTAGCTTGAGATGGGAGGTGACTGTACAGACTAGCAGCTCTGAGGGGTAGAGAGCCATGTACGGGATGGGGATGGATTAAGGAGTGCAACTAGATGGTTGGTGCCCGGGTATGGATAAACGGAACGGGAATGATGGTTTATTGCGTTTGTTTGGGACCGACGCGTTGACGATGATTTATTTCTGTTGTCATGAGATACCTAATCGAAGGAAAGCTTGGAGAGAAGCCCCTGATTGCCGCCTGAGTGAACCGGAGGTCCGGATCACGTACCCGAGCTGTGCCTCAAACCAACAACTTAGGCCAGTTTCCGCTCTATCCGAATAGCTAGCTGGTGACCCAACTGTGTGGTCTGAACCATTACAACTCACGTCAAGTGATGCAAGTGCATGTCAACCTTGGCGGTCCGCATATAGCAGAGTAAGTAAGCGCGCGGTCAGCTCGCTTATCAGCTCGCTTACTCTTCCCGATCGCTAACCAACGACCTCTCTTTGGCCAGGTAAGCGCGCGCCTTTTTTTTTGGTAGCTCCCTCCGGATCTCCTAAAGTTTAGGAAGACGGTGGAACTTGTTAATGTTATTACAGGCTCGTCCTCTATTTCTCATCACGCTTTGGTAGGAGGTTATGGATAAATTAAGGACATTTTGTAAGAAGCTTATCGTGTTTGTTGCAGTGACTCGTCATACGTGTCGTTGGTGAACTCCTGGGGACTTGGCATCGCATCATCATCAGCGAAACCAAAGCCTAGCTGGTCAATGGTTAAGGCCTTGTACCGATTGACTTCAACACCAAAACTCCTGATACATAACAAATTATGTCTTCGAATTGTCTCATCAAATTCCCTTGTTTAAAAAGCCTGCTGTCTCCGATCGAGTTGCTGCTCAACAGATCAGCGGTTAATGCCGTCAGGGGCACAAGGCTGACAATAAACCAACGCAATGATTTTTGCGAGCAGCCAAGCAGCAGCGTAAATATATATATATATATATATATATATATATGTCTGAGGCTAGATCCACGNGGAACCCCTGCATGACCTGTCCAGACATTCCAAAGCTCATTGTTTGTTGCCTCCATGTTGTAACCGGAAAAATCACGCCTTCAGCCCTCTAAGGTTCACATGTAAAACAACCAGCACTCAAGACCGTTGTTGTTAAGATCTGGAGGGTTGCTCTTCAATTTCATACAGGATGATCAACATTTCAGCCTACATATCCCCACCCATGCGGATGAGGTGGTATCCCTCATGACTTGAAACAATTCACCCAATGGGAGCTCGACAGACATGCAGGCACGCAATTAACTGGTGACACTGGCTACATAAGCGCTATGGGAGCTTGTGCGGGGCTGGGGAGGGGGGAATGCAGGCGGATGCATGGCTAGGGGAAGTTCGGAGAGTCACAAGGAAGAGTTTCCTGTGTCACTTTAAGCTGAGGGTCAACTTTGCCTAACATCCGAATGCTCGAAGAGGTTATAGAAAGCTGCAAGTACACAAACATCAACGGCGCTTTTCCAGTCCAGATCAAAGTTCATGTCTGGACTGCCCAGAGGGCGCAAGAAATAGGTGTTCGTCTCTTCCGCCAAGCATAGGGAGCAGTGCCTGACCCCCACCCATGCATCAATGGGCGCAGCGACACCGAACTTAACCGATTCATGTACGTCATAGGGTAGCCTCCCTGGCCTCGGGAGAAATGCGTGTGTGCAACCCCTGAATTGCGGCAATATGAGAGCCCATAAAACATATACGTTGCATCCAGATCCCGTTCCTGCTGCTCGCCAGATGCGATATGAGTATAATGTGTATATGTATACGTACGAACCGTTGGTGAACTTGATGGAAACTGGGTGGTTACAATTTTTCTAAGGGGTTGCCTGCCTAAGTCAGGGTTGATTTTCTCAGCTATGTGGCAGGAGGCCGGCTCTGACTCAGTCGTGTCAGCTTGGATTGAGATCGGCTGCGCCTGATTTTGCCGCTTGGATTGGTGTCATGTTAGAAGGTAATGCTAGCCCTTGCCAACTCATCCTCCCCAGTACTCAATGCCTAGCTTCTGGTCAGCGAAGCTAAAGACACCAGCTCAACTTATTGACTAGTTCAACGCACGCAGAACGACGTGGTCAAGTCCTAAGTATGCCAGAGCAGAACCATCTTGTGCCGAACCACAAGAGAAATGAACGGTCGGACGTGGATCCCACTCCGAATCACAAGAGCGGCTCTCGATGACATGACCTTGCAGTTTACAGTTGGGAACTAGAAAGGCAGGAAGATCCTGCGATGGGGGATCGTAATGTTCAACGGCATGGCAGCCTTCATCTTTTATTCTGGCCCATAGAATGCACTTGATAGTTTTGATCAAAACCCAAAAAGGGCAAGCCGGGAAGTTGAACGGCCAGCCGGAGTTCTCGTAACTTTGTTGTCCCGATGAAGAATGTAAGTGTCAGGAATAGTCTCGCTGGGTAGCCATCAAGGTGTCTCCTAGTCATACCATTGGGCACCAAAACATCCATAATGAGCGATGCGTCACAAACTGTTTGCAAAAAAACTCACGCGTGGTTTGGTGCAACCGGGAGCCCTGCTGAGAAGACCGTAAAAGGTGATGTTGACAAGCGTTATCGCCCACAAGCATGGCGAACAACAAGCAAAGTTGTGGCAGGTGGCGGGCGAGCCAAGAGCCAAGTGGTCACCAACAAGGCCGCTGATGAAAAATTGCCGTGACAACGGCGACGTTTGCAAAGCCGCCGATTACCGGGGTGGCGCGGTTGAGAACAAAATGACGATCGCACTATGCGATGGACTTCAATCTCAGTCAGATCAGAAAGCCCGCAACAAAGCTTCGGAGCATTGAGATGTGATTGATTCTCAGCTCTCAACCGTCGTTCGCAAGCATCAAACTTTAACTCCCCACCGTCTCTGGGGCTTTGGCGGAGATCGCCTGTTGATGACAAGCACAACGCTTGGCATGGAAGAGAGCCCTGATGATCGGAGATCTGTCCTAAAATTTCCCAATAGGCAAACACAGCTCTACGTATCATTGTGGCCAACAACTACACAGCACTTTTTGCCTGTTTCCTGTAGATGACACCAACTGACCTTCAGCCGTGTTGGCTTGTCTCAGAATGCACATGCTGGGCCTCTGCTGTCCATCAAGACCAAGCCGCCAGTTGATTCCAGTCCTGCAGAAGCCTGCGGCGCATCCATGGACTTGTTGCCCCCTTTTCGCCCACCAACCAGGCCAGGGACTGGAGCCCAGAGGACAAGGGAAAGGTACCTTCAACGGTCAGATCCGTGGACCTGAACCACGCCTCAAACCTACTGTCTCCACTTTTGAGGTGCTAAATCTCGCGATGAGCCAAGTCTTGAAGTGAGAAAAGACAAAAAATCATAATGTGTGGCATTCCCGTGTGCTGGAGACAACATGCACCAAAGTGTGATTGCGGCAGGGCAGCTGATCAACAAGACTTTTCGACGTTTAATAATGAACATGAGTGTATTGAGGTGTGAAGGGTGGTTCGGCCGATCTAAAGTTCTGCTGAAAGCGAGTCACCGCCCATGCGGACTGCCTAGGTTGGCTAGGGTCGTTGGAGCCTCAGGCATCATCTGTGGAGCTGACCCACCGGCCACCGGCCGTGTGAATGGGCGAGTGTGCTGTGGGTAGCGTCGCGCGAGCCACGGAGAGCCACTGTCCAGGGCGCTGAAGGGGACCGGGCCGCACGCAAAAATCCAGCAGCTCCGCCTGGCTCATCAATCCGATTTCCATTTCACCCCCAGCCTCTCCTCTCACACCATCAGGCACAGCAGCGGGCATCGGTCATCCATCAACCGCTTTCCATCGTCGTCTCCGCGTCCTCGCATCCTCTTATCACCGTCTTCAGAGTTCTCCATCCGATCTCACCAAAAATCTCTTTCATTCCATCATCCCTGTCTGGTCTTTGCATCCCTTCTCTACCCACTGCAACACCTCTTGTTTCCTCTCCGGTCGTGAAAAATCCAGGGAAAAAAAAGGCCAATCAGAGAGCGTGTGAATCCATCCTCGACAATCCTGTCTTTGGCCCCGGCTGAGGCATTTGGCAAAGACACATCCGGGTGCGAGCACACGGTCGACTTTGTCAATCGACGCTGTCCTCTCGGGTCCATCCTCGAATCTACATAACAATTACCCTACCTACTGCTTTCCTATCGTTGTTCTTATCCTCGAGCAGCTGTAGCTTTTCGTTCGCACCGTTAGAATTGAAGAGCACGCAACCACGCGGTCTACGGTTGACTCCTCTCCCACACACTTCCTTCAGGACCAGGGCCGTACTTTATCGCTCTCTAACTCCTGGGCGAGTGTTGCCCTGCTCACGTCTGTTAGGTACGCGGTGCATGACCCACTGGCCCATACATGTCTATACATATAGCATAATTTGTCGATATGTGTTTCAGTTCTGACTCTTTGCCATCTCCCACAGGCAGGGCTACATCACAACAAGTCCATCCTTCTCCGAGCCCCGACTGCGGTGCCATTGATTTCCCACACTCTCCCTGATTTTGTGCCGTCCTTGTGCCTTGTAAAAGGCAAGTCAGGATGAGGGAAGCCAACTTCAGCATACCTAATGTCAACAAGGCATCGGTCGGTATCACCACCGCCCTCTACGATCGCCGGGCCCTTGACTGCACGTCAACCCTGCCCTTGATCAACTCCCTCAATCACCTCGCCTACCTTACCACTTCTTCAGCTCGCATCCGCGATATCCTGACTGTCGATGGCGGTATCGAAAAGCTCGTCTCCATTCTCAAGCAGGGTCGTAGCAAGGATGTGATGGAAATGTGGAAATGGAACCTGGCCTTCCAGTGTGTGGTCAACATAGGAGTCAGGGGCACCGAGGCTGTTCGCACCCGGGTTGTCGAGGCCGACATGGTTCCTGTGATCGCTACTATTCTCGATAATTACATCAAGGTCACCGATAAGTTGCGTGAGAAGGCTGAGGAGAAGCATAGGTCTGAGCACCACCGCCACCGTCTCGGGGGCAGCCGGGTGCATAAGTCGTCCAGCTTCTCCTCACGGGCAGCAACACTGGATGTGGACCAGCGTACATTCCGGCGGCAGGCACCGCCGCCGTCGATTGACGTGTCTGCTACCCTGGTCGGCCCATCCGTGACGGTTGTTCATTCGAACGTCGATGCGACTCCAACCGCTCCGCAGTTCCAGCTAGCCCCGACCCCCACCGCCGATCGTGCCCCGCTGACCGCAACCACTCATCGTCCGCACCAATTCCTCAATATTCCTTCCCCTGCTCCTCAGACCGCCCCGCCGGTGGCTTCTACAGTGCCTTCCATGGATATTGATGGCCTCGCATCTCGTGCCAACCGTGACTTGGATCGTTTTGGTGGCATCATGCCCCCTCCAACTCGTCCTGCTGTCATGGCCTCCCAGCCTACCTCTCCCACAACCCCCCTTCCTCCCCCGCATCTCCCGTCACCTACCGTTAGGCCTACCTCGGTCACCACTCCTACAGCCAGGGCTCGTAGACGCCCATCCATCCGCCACCAGCACTCGACCGGAGGTGAGACAGACGATATGAATGCCGAGAGCATTACTTCAGAGGAGTCGCCTGCGGACACTGAAATGTCAGGGACCGCCGAAATGCAGACTCCACTTGGCGTCCAGGAGATTACTGTGGAGGACGGCGACAGCATGATGACTAATGGGGGAATTGAATTGACCACACCGACTGCTTCGGAGGCTCAGGAAGCCACTGCTTTCAACATCACACACGAGGCTCCTGTGGAGGGCAGCATACCCCCAACCAATACCCAAACCAACATCACCGCCATGGGTCTATCCCCAAACCGGCCAACCATCATGGTAAGCCCGCCGACTCCAGCGCCAGCCAATGCCAGCGTTCCTCGCTACCTGCTCGACCGCCAACTTCCTAACCCGCAGATGCTGGCGGGCATGCCCAGGGAAGAGGATGTGCTGATGTCGCTGCAACTACTCGCATATGTTTCCAAGTACTGCAACCTCAGGAAGTATTTCCAAAAGACACATTTCGTCCCGAAGCTCATGCTCGGCCGGGAGATTGAGCTCCTCGACGGTATTGACCCCGCGAGCATTGAAGCCGACCTGGAAAAGCAAGACGCCATGGCCGAAGAGGAGTACTGCATGCCGAACGACGTTAACATCTTCCCAATCGTGGAGAGGTTTACCGTGCGCCATCACAGTACCGATATGCAGTACTGGGCCGGCGTGGTGATGCGCAATCTCTGCCGCAAGGATGACACGCGCGGTGGGATCCGGCAATGCGCCTACTACCAGTGTGGCAAGTGGGAAGAGTTCACCAGGCAGTTCGCGAAGTGCCGCCGCTGCCGACGAACCAAGTACTGCAGCAAGGAGTGCCAGAAGAGCGCATGGGCGTTCCACCGGCATTGGTGCATTGCCGCGACGCAATGATGCATGTTGAACAGGAGTGAACAGCGGCTGATACATATGGAAGAGTTTGCGTCATAGACTGAGGAGAGGGAAGGAGAGAGGAGAGCTGTGCCTGTTGGACATGATGCTTGTTTTTTTATTCATAGCTTAACTGATACCCCCGTGCTGGTTTCCCCTACCTGCCTTATCTACATCCATCTCTCTTTCTCTCCCATTCCTCCTGGTCTTGCTGTCTCCTGGTCTTTAGAGACTGAACGAAATTACGGGCACGAAAGCATTTTTTATGGACATGGACAACGCGAGGAACTTCTGAGCTTTTCCTTTGGTTTGCATGACCCTATTCCTTAATAATGTCTAACTGGCAAGAGTTTTGTTCGTTTACACATATATCCCATCCCATCATGGTCCCCTCGTGCTTTTTGACGTAGTTTATGATTTGCCCTTCCTTTCTCCCTCATCATCGGGTTCGGTCGGTCGGCATGGTTTGGTCGGCGGTCACAGGTCGGGTTTTCTACGGCAATGAGTTTTGGCTGGCTGGCTGGCTGGCGATTGGGCTGGTTGGTTGATTGGCTTAACGATTGGTTCTCGATGCACTGCTGGCAGTTGATCATCGCCGATCCTCAATTGAGCGATTCGGCGCAGCATGCATGGCAATAGCGGGCATTCTCGGCACGACAATCGCGTTCTTTTTTCTTATATTTTTTTCTTTTTTTCTTTTTTTTTTTAACTTTGTCCTTTCACCTCTTCCTCGAAGGCATTCAGTTTTCCCCTTTCGTGGCACATATACATGCACCATCACATGATTGAGATTCGGACCAGAAAAGCTTTAGTTAGCATGGATGGCGTTCTCTTTGGTGTGCTATGGCAGTTCTTATCCATGACATAGCATGCTTTTGCAAAGACGATGATACCAAGACAGATATTAGAATGTTTGCTTGCGCGCGGATACCTAGCTATCGCAGTGCCGCACGCATGAATTTGTGGTGGTTTTCTAGAGAATACACAAACTGTACTGAGTTATCGTGTTAATTGGCACTTTGTGGTGATGGCGCGTGGGAGCTCGGGGGCCGTAAGAGAGTAATCATTCCGTTTTGGACTTGCTATACCGGCCAAACAGCTGCTTTGACTCCAAGACGAAGGGCTGAAGACGTAAGCATTGGCTTCCTTGTACTACCCTGTGTTTGACAATGTAGTCTCCTGACAAATCCATCCTCATAAATGCCCCGAGTGTCCTTGCAGATGTCTCGGGAAGCTTAGTGTCCAGTCTTTTTATTTCAACACGGCCTTGTCTGCTGACCCCTTCGAGTCATCGGCGTTTGGGTCAGGCGCGGTGGCTGACTGGCTCGGGTACGATACCACGGCCCCATTACTGGGGAGATATGATAAGATAGAGGACAGATAAAGGACACATCCCGGATATGATCCGAAAGATGGGGAAGCATTTGTCTAGCTTGAGTCTGTACAACATCATGGTATTATTAACGTTGTTGGAATAAGTGCGACAATAATGTGGAGGGGATCAGCGCTGTCTCAGGGTTCGCATGATCACCTAACTGCTCAACATAGCCAGGCAAGTGAACAACTGCGGCCTTTCTAAATTGTTTACCATCCGACAGAGAGACTACTAGAGACAACATGTATAGGTAGCCGATGATGATGATATCCGTACATTCAATTCTTCCCAACTCACCCAACTGCATTACCTAAAACCTCAATTTCTCTCCCTGGACCAGGTGAGTGTATCTACCTCTTTGCGGCAGCAGCCTTCCTCCTAGCCTTACCGGGCCGGTTGGCCTTCTTCTTGCCACCGCCAGCACCGCCGCCATACTTCATACGCTTGACGCTGAACCCGCTCAAGTCGCCAGACGAGATAGCGTCACCCGACTTGGAGCCGCGCTTCTTGCCACCAAAACCGTACTTGGCGTTTTTCTTTTGCCGCTTGGGGTTGGGAACAGGGTGGTCGCCGTCCGCACGGCGCTTCTTGGGCTTGGAGTCGCGACTGAGTTCGTTGTCGACGGCGACGTCGAACGGATCGTCTGCCTCGGTTGCACCGAGGGCCGCGGACCCGCCTTCGGCGCGTTCTGTCGGAGATTGGAGTTAGTAGACTGTAGAAACAGAATGGCGAATGAGGGATGTAGACATACTCCGCTTGAGCTGGTTGATCTTGTCCAGCGCCTCGCGTTTCTGCTTGGCGCGCTCCAGCTGTTTCTGGACCTGGACAGCCTTGCCGAACTTCTTGAGGTCGCGCTGCTTGCGCGCCTCAGCAGCTGCCTTCTTGGCCGTCGCCTCCTCTATGAGCTTCTGCTTGACCTTTTCCATCGTCGCGTCCGTCCGTACCATCTCGGCGAAGTAGTCGGTCGGCCGCGTGAACGGGACGCCCTCCTTGCGCAGCAGCGAGCGGCCCAACCGCGCCGCCTCCAGCGCCTGGTTCATGAAGGCCAGCTCGCGCTGCAGGTCGTCTTCAATCTGAGGGATGGAGTCCTCCGTACGCTTGGATGCCACGACAGATTGGTGGAAGGAAAAGGGGGTCGTCTTTGGGTTGATGTCCAGCTGGATACGCCGCAGCGCTGTGAGCAGGCCTTCCTTGTTGTTAATGGTCTGGCGTGTGCGCGTGCCCGCGGCGATTTGCTCTTCATCCTCTTCGTCCTCGGGCTCTAGCTCCTCGACGTCAATCTCCTCCTCCTCATCTTCCTCATCACCTGACTTGTCCTCGCCATCCTTATCAACATCCATCTTGTCTTCTGACATCCCATTTTGCGCCTTGTTGCTATCTTGCTTCTTGTCGTTCTCTTCGTCGGAGTCGAGCTCCGATTCTGAATCGGAGTCGTCTATCGCCTCGAAGTCGATGTGGTGGGTTGGATGTTCATCTCCGCTATCATCGTCGGACTCGTCTTCGTCTTCGCTGTTTTCGTCACTGTCCTCCTCCGAATCAGACTCATTGTTGCCATTGGCCCGAATCTGGAGTTGCTCGTCCTCGCTCTCGTCCTCTTCGCTCTCCTCGGTCTCCTCTTCCCGTTGCTCCTCTTTTTCCGCGACCTTCTCGACCACAGGCTCGTTGCTCTTTCTCCTATCGGCCTTTTGATTTTTGGATTGAGCGTCTCCTGTCTGAGAATTGGGCTTTGACCCGGCCTTGGGGGACTGTGTCGCGCCTTTCTTCGCCATGATTACTACTGGTGGTGGGTATGGTGAATTGGGGGATGGCTTGCAACTGCAAGAAGACGGCCTTCCCAAAACTTTTTTTGGCTGCGATGAAACAGCGATAAGATAAGGTGGGGTATCGTGTATCAACCCTAACCCTGCCTTTTTTTGTGGACAGTTTGCTAAGATAAAGGGTTAGGGTTCGTGCTTAACTCGGCCCTTCACCATTTAAGCGATCACCCATTGTCCCGGACGCTCATTACGTACTCTCTGATAGGTGTGTAGCTTTGAGAAGGTCCCTTTTAAGACTGCCACGGTGCTTCGAGCATCTGTAGCCAAAGCCTGCAAAAACACCGGCTCTAGGATACGGGGGACTTCCGCAACAGTTCAAACAACTGCAGAGAAAGGACAGCGGTCTTGTTTGTCCTGAGCGTAGGTATGTTTGGTAACCAAAACAGTATCATAACCTTCATATTTTCTCTATCCCATAATATTCATTTACAATGTCCATCTTACGAGATCGTCTTCTCCACCATGGTAATGCCATGCTTCTCCGCCAGCTCCTTCATCAACGGCTCGCAAATCTCCCAGGTCATCGGCGCCAGGATACCCTTCTCCTTAATCTGCCCACTGAGCACCTGCTTGACAGCAACTGCGCAGGGGACACCAACGGTCTTGGCCATGGCTGAGTAGCCGTTAGGGTCTCCGTACTCAACGAGCGTGCTGGTTCGCGTCTCACGCGTGCCATCGGCATGCTCGATCTCGAACTTGTGCTGCAGCATGACCAGGTCGCGCTCACCAGGGCCATATTGCATTTTGCGCTCCAGGGTCGCGCACAGCGTGTCGAGAGGGTTGCCCTTGGGCGTGATGGGTTCGTCAGAGAACAGGCCGATCCAGCGCAAACCAGAGAGAATGCGCTTCTTGTCCTCCTCCGACTCGAAAGTCGCCTTGGAGAGGATGGTGGCCTCGAGGTCGGCAGCGGACGAGGAAGGGGCGCCGATGACAGCCTGAGTAGCCTCACGCCAGGCGACGGGCTTGGAAAGAATATCGAGCGGGGTATCCTCAAGGAAGCCGATGTCGACCAGAACCTTGATGAACTGCGGGAAGCCCTGGTAGCGCAGAGTGCCGCGGATGACAGTCTGGGCCTCAGGGATGTTGTAGCGCTCCTTATAGGCAGTCGAATCTCGGTTGGGGTAGGCGACGAAGGCATAACCGGGGTAGATGAAGTAGGGCTTGGCCGTCTTCATGAGGTCCTTAGGGGCGACCTCGACAACGCGTCCGTCTTGCCACCATTTGCCGGCGTTGCGCAGGGCCAACAGCACACCGCGTGACGACCAAGAGAACTTGTAGCCCAGCGGGTTGTCCGAGTCCTCGGGAGCGGGCAAACCACCGCAGTACGACAGGAAGCTGATGATCTTGCCACCGGCGCGGTGCACCTCCTCGATGGTCTTGATAGCGTACAGGTGGTCAATACCGGGGTCGAGACCAATTTCGTTCATGACGGTGATGCCAGCCTCCTTGGCGGCGGCGTCGAGCTCCTGCATGGCGGGAGAAACATAGCTGGTGGTGACGACGTGCTTCTTGTTGCGAATGGCCGACTTGATAACGGTCGCGTGGAAAGTGTATGGGATCAAGCTGATGACCAGGTCGTGCTTGGCGACCTCGGCATCCAGCGCCTGGTCGTTCGTCACGTCAAGCGAGATGGGAGTAGCCGTGGGCACGCCCTCGGCCAGCTTCTGGGCGGTCGCCAGGGTACGGCAGGCTGAATTATTAGCTCTCCTGATGCTCCATCAAGCCATTGACCGTCAGGAACGCTTACCAACAGTCACCGGAATGCCGGCTTCGCTGAGGACATCAAGCGTCGGGCGGGTGACGAAGCCCGCACCAAGCATGAGCACCTTACTGAAAGTCCATGGTGGTCAGCGCAATGACTCTTTGAAAGTTCTGTGATGGTACGTTGGTCCAATGGCGACCGTGATAGTAAAGATGCCACGTACTACTGGGAAAGATCAGACATCTTGACAGATCTGCGAGTGCGATTGAAGCGATTGGGAAGCTGAAACTGGAGGTTCCTGGGGGCGATTGCAGCTTGATAGTTTTTTTTAAGTCTGCCGCCCTGGGATGTCGTCCGTGTCCCTATTGTCAAGCGTCCGATAACGGCCGATGCTACAGAGGGGCATAAATGTGGGGAGCTATGGCGGGGTAGCAGGGGTCAAGGATGAAGTCATCGGTTCTCAAGATGACTCACCCGATAACGGATAACCCCAACCCTGATTGTCGGGGAAACTAAACAGAAGGCTGTACTAATAGTGAACAAAGCAGAAGCTGTCGTTGCTTGATGGGCCACGGGTTTTAGGGAGTGTATAAATACCACGGGCTAAGTAACTATGAGAAAGCATGAAAGAAGCGTGCCGTTGTTATTACTACTAATGTCCAATACTGTCTGTCTCCCGCAACGCTGAGAAAAAACCCTAACGGGAACCCTGGTTGTTGCGGCGACCAGCGTTCCGTAGCTCGGGAGCACTGCTGAACTGCGCGGTAGATCGGCGAAGCTGCGGAGGTGGGACGGATTGTGTGCGTGAGGCTGATTGCTGAGGTCTCGGGCAGGGAGCAGTTGTAGCTGGTTCGTCAGCCTTCACACGACCCCACGGAACCGGGCTCCCGGTCCCAACGGGAGCGATGGGCGGCCGTGGAGGAAGCGAGGGTGATTGACGAACAACAGGCGGACTCAACTGGAAGGGCTGGCGACAGGCCCTCGTGAATGGGGAGGGCGGTTGATCTCCCGGAGGGGCAACCAGCCCCAAGGCGGCAGGGCGGAAGAGAGTCACCGGGGCCGGCGACGCGTGCCCGGAGGAGGAGGAACGAACGGAGCCGGAAGGGGCCCTTTCGCTTACTCGGCGGATGAAGATCCAGGTCTCCTCGCGCTGTTGCTCCGGAACAACACAGCCAGGGCACAGACAGTCGATCGCCAAATATGGGACCAACTGGCGAAGGCAGACGGTTGGGGCCCGGGGAGCTTCTTCCTCACCCTGCCCGGGGATCCGGACAGGGTAGGTGGGCACCCAGATACCCTCCCCTGGCGCTGTCGTGGCGTTTACGTCGTTTTCCCTTCCCATGTTGCCTTTTTTTTGTCTTGAGCGACTGCTGTTGTATGTACCGAGGAAGAGATGTTGTTCTGTTTGCTCTGTCTTGGGAAGAAAATTAGGCGTTTATACTGGTAGAGGATCGACCGCACTGATCAGCATCACAATAGAAAAAGTAGCCTTTAGACGTCATTATTTGCATCTTTCCACAAGCATGTGTTGTATTTCAGATAATTCTTAAAAACAAGAGTATCTGATGTGGGGATTGATCTCTGGGAACAAAGCACATGGTGACGATCTTGACACGACTAAGGCTGGGATATCTTTGCAATCTTTGGAAAAGAGAATCGTGAAACAGTTCACTGCCCACAGGCGTCTGGAAAATGGACTCAGGACACCAGGCCAGCGAATCCCTCCTGTTGGACCTTTTTTGTTGCCAGGCCGACGGCGAAAGTAAGGGCTTGGTCGTAAGTAGCGCTTGTATGCAGTGCGTACAGCATGCCGGCAATGAAAGTGTCCCCAGCTCCTAGAGTACTTCATCCGTACTTCGTGTTAGTAACATGTGTTTTGGTCCGTTCGCTAACGTTCGTCTAATGTTGAACAACGCGGACATAAACTACCCGTGATGCGCTATCCGGGAGAGCGTGCTGAGAAGTATGATGCATTTCCGAAAAAAAAAAATTAAGGACTTACTCGACTACTTTGATCTGTTCGCCTGAGCGGTTTGCCGGGCAGTGGATGTAGCGACCTCCTGAAATAAGAGAGCCCGCACCATCTGCTCCCCATGTGCACACTGTGAGTACTCTGATCCCAAAAACATCAGCTGATGTCAAAAACATGACGCGAAGCAGGAGAAACTAACGCCTTCGAGGATCGTGCTTCACTCCTGAGGCATGCTTCTGGATCTGAGTAGCCCTCACTCTGCGATTTACTTAGTGTCTGCAAGAATGCAATCTTGATTCACATGCAGTTATTCTTACCTCAGCCCAAACTTTGGAGTAGAATACCACATCTGCCTCGGAAGCCAAATCACGCAAGCCTTCGCGGTTGGGTTTCTCAACTTCCACACTGATCTTACACCCAGGAATGGCATTGCGTAGATAGTGCATACACTGAAGCGTCGTAGCGGGAATTCGGCCCTGAGTATGATGAATAGGTAAGTTAGTCGACTCAGTGCTTAATGGTCATGGTAACATCCCGGCATGCGGTGAAACTAGAGCAATATGACGTTTATGGATTCGCCCATACTTCGAAATGGAACCACCACTCCGAGTTTGCCGAGTCCTCTGCAGGGTTCGTTTGCTGCTTCAGTCCCTCAACAATGCCCCGAAATTCATCAGTCGTCATTTCAGGCAAATCGTTCCAGTTGACGATAGTTCTGCTGTTCGTTTCATCGCTCCGTAGGATCCAGCTGGCTGCTGCTTGGTCATGATCGTCACGGAACAGACAGCTGCTAAAGTCAATCACGTCATCACTACCACCATCATCGTTGTTGTTTTCATGATCATTTGACCTTGGAAGAAGTGAGGATAATATGAAGCTTGTAGCAGGAGAGCTACGGCGTGGCAAAGTTGAGACTAAGTGTAGCTTGAGTGGAGTGTCTGGCAGCGCTGGCGCTGGGTCTGGTACAAAAGCTGCCTGGAAGGGGTTTTGTGATGAAACTAGTTGGGCCAAAACCTCAAGTGAGTTAGGGCAGTTTCCTCCGCGGCGAGTTGATAATCCCGTAGCTCGGAGTTTGGTGTCTTCCTGGGGGTAGAAAGGGACTCTGCGGATGGAGAGATGAGTTGCCGTTCGCCAGAGAATCCGCTTCCACCGTAGGGGCACGTCCTTGACTCACGTTAAGATGGTGTCGATGTAACAAGCACCAACGAGGACAAGGTGCTTCATATTGGTTTAATAGAGTTTATGAAGCGAAGGGATGCAGTATGGCTTGTCTTGTTTCGTTGCTTTGGTTTGATCCCCCGCAAACAGTAAAGACGGGTCTCAAACACTGGCTAACGGTAAGCAACTTGAATGTTTCATTCGCTAAGTAGGTGGTTAATACAGAATCAGAAGCTATCTGCGGTAACTTTGCCATTGAACTCTGGAGCAAGTTGACTGATCATGACGATTTCGGTGTGTAGATAACCTTGGGGACTTACCAGAGACTGATGGGCAACTGAGGGCTAAGGAGTTGATGGCGGGGCACAGACGGGAGTTTCTCCATTTGGCCAATTCGCGGCTTTCCAGGGTAATTTACGGGCCCATCTGTCACAGCCTGTATCGGGGACAAATGATTTCGCGTACAGCAAGAATGTTGCTGAGAAAGTTGCTCTACAGCAAGAAAAGCGAGCGTTTAAGGCTCAAAGTAATGTCATCGATTTCTATGACAGGCAAAATGGATTACAAGCTGTCCTGTTCCTTGCGTCTCCAGAGCGATGAAATTCTTTCCTGAATCCACCCTCCGTACTCAATCTTGGCAGACCTGTCCCGCTGGTGTGGAAGCTCACCGCCTGGACCCACATATTCCTCGGCATCCGCGCAGGTGACGCCGCAACCCATCCCAATGCCGTGGCGCAGCGACCCCGCCAACGCCAGCACCGCGATTTAGGATCGGAAGCCTAGCGAAAGAGATCCAACTTCCGTTTTGAGTATCAATTTTCGAGCATGTAAACATCCGTGTGTTTTTTCCCGATAAACAGCAATGAAGCGAGTCGATTCCAACAAAGATTGAATTACGCTGGCACTATACCTACGGATACACTGCCGCATGTAATCCGTGAATAGGGTTGAGTTACCAGGCACCGAGGACTTTGTGAGCGGACGCGACGGTCTGCCCGCTGCAGACCGGAATAATACCTACCTTCGGCGTCGACCGAACGGACATACTACAAAGCGCGACAACCGTCTTGCAGGTGAATCGGCCGTGGTGTGTTGCGAGATGTACAACATCCGCCAATGCCGTCCTGCATCTTGCAAGCAGTCTAGTCTGGGTATATTCCTCGCCTCATCCCGATGAGAGGACAGATATCCAGGAACTGCTCGCATTATTAATATATAGGGCTGAAAAGAGGGGCACACATGATCGACGCAAGGGACAGGCATATTGCATTTTGACCCACGCCCCAGTCGCCGGTGAGCCTGGGATTGGCCAGCGTCGCATGGCTGTCGCAGACGGGCCGGTAGCCGCTCCTTTCGAGCGAGCGAGTCTTCCGCTCGTCTCGTTGTGTTGGCGGGGAACGGAAGATATCCATCGTTCATCAAGAGCGAGAAACAGCGGCATCGAGGGACCCATTCCGAGTCAGTGCCGTCCAGAAGTCCAGAGCTCAGGTGAAACACTCGAGAACACCGTGACGATACACAGTACAGTATAATCCGCACTCCATGAACACTGCCTGAGCCGCAGAGGATTTTACATGAGCACCGGATCGAGCAGAAGCAGCCGGCTGGTCAGCGCTGTTAAATGTAACCAGAATGTGATTGCCAACGCCATCTAGCTGTCAGGGTCAAACAATAGGAAAGATGGCACTGTAGATGCAATGATAACCGGCTTTAGTAGGCAAATTTCGAGGATACTTGAGGCTGGGACATGGCGCCGCGTATGTACGCTAACAGGACCCTCGGCATTACAGTGCGCCAAAATAGCAGCCAGTCGCTCAATCTCTCAACTCGATCTTGGGATACACTTTAATTCCTGTTAGGCTGTTCTTCCCGTTAACAGCCAACAACCGACGCTCATGATTGGATTTGCGGGAGGGAACCCGGAGGAAGGTAAGGATAACTCGGGTCGGAATAAGATGTGGCTTTGCAAGGGCGTTCCAAAACTAGGGCGCCACTACAAACCTGCTGCGGACGCGCTTTTCACACTGTCAGAGCACGTCTGCAGCACTCGACAGCCCAATCACCAACCTGGCCGCCTTCCAATCCGCACTCAGAATGGCAGCCACACAGCCCGAATCATGCTTTAGGAAACGTGCGATCTCTTTTTCCTGACGGAGTAGGTGCTTGTAGTATATACATGGTAACTCGACAAGCATCGGCCTATCTGTTACCCGCCAACCAGGCGCCGATTCGGCGCCAAACGAGGGATCGGCATTCAGTCGTTCGACCTAGGTAGCAACTTTTAGGCAAGGAGCGGAGTTCGCTCTGCAGCGGCTGTCCATCTTGCGATCTGTGGAGAGGAAAATTTATGATGCCAAAGATGTATGTTGTGAGCGCTTCTACACAGAAAAGACAACTAAACAAGGATTCTGCACAGGGGGTTGGGGGCCCCAGCCGGCGCCCCTGGATACTGCACATGCTGCCCGGGGGGGTGGGGGGGGAGCTTACATAGTGCATGTATCACCACCAAGAACGCACCAGGGACTTAAGCGCATGCAGCTCTCAATAGAAGAAGCCGTGTGGCCGAATAAGGGACCGACGCCTGCGCACTCAATCATAAGTCCCGCGAGCCTCGCCTACCCATTAATTGCCTATCACTGGACCCCAACCTTTGCTGCCTTTTGTGACACCATCACCGAACCACCTTTGCTTTTCCCCTCTCTTTCCACGACAAGAACTGAGACAACGTTAGCTTCGTCCCCATACGCGCCCGCGCAACGCGACATCAAACGAACCACCAACGCCGCACGTCCGCTTCTCGTCCAAAAACCGCGACAGCTCGCTCATCCCAGCTGACGTCGGCTGCTCCCAGACACAACCACGCTGCACCCTTCGAAAGCCATCAGACGGTCATTTGACTCTAGACAAACTGGCGCCACTACGAGGATTTGAATTGACTGCCGCGCTCTTTTTTTCGAGATTGAAGAAGACTGAGGAGGCGCAAGGGGGTTAAGAAGGCATACTCGCTCTCACTATGGCCTCGACAGTGGGTACGGGCGCCAGCTCGGACCCGATCCACGGGCCTCTTCCCGAATTACCGCCAAAGCAAAAACGCTCCAGAACAAGCAGACCGAAGGTAAAGACGGGGTGCAGGACCTGCAAGTAAGCGTCCCAGAGACTCGCTCTTGTGCTTCAGGCTCTGGAGCTGACGACCTTTCCAGGATTAGAAGGATAAAGTGCGATGAGACGCGGCCTCAATGCCTCAGGTGCGTCCGTTCAAACAAGGAATGCCCGGGATACCCGCCGCCCCCGCGAAGTGCAAGACCCTTCGAAGAGATCCGAATCGCCCCAAAGCCGATGGCTGCCGGTACCGTGGTTCGCGAGTTCTCCCTCGCGCTGCCCCCAAGGCGCATCAACAAATCCCAGCAAGCCGCGATGCTTCGGATCAATGCTCAGGCAGGGTCAATCTTGTATGCGCCATCGATAAACATCCCCTTCACCGAGATTGAAGGCATGTATTTCAGTCTATTTCGCCAGCGGACAGCTAGCGAGCTCTCGGGTTTCTTTGACTCTACGTTCTGGAACCGAAGCGTACTTCAGGCCTGTCATTCATCGCCCGCTATCCGGCATGCCGTTGTCGCGCTCGGCGCACTGTACAAGACGTTGGATAAAGCGAATGAATCACCACCTTCATCCCCGGACGCAAATGGAAGTTCGGTCGACCACGCCAGAAGGCACTGGGAAATGGCCTGCCAAAAGTACTCGCATGCCATCAACTCCCTTCCCAACCAAGGTGTGGATGACGCGACATCAAATCGGACGAGGCTAATGGCGAGCATCCTGCTGGCCTGTTTTGACTCGTTCGTTGGGGATCACAAACAGGCCATTAGGCAAATTCAGGCTGGCCTGAAGCTCTTGGAGGGGTTACGTGCCGAGAAGAAGAGGGCTTTTTTCGCTTCACCAGACGAGGAACCCGTCGAAGAGGATTTGATACAGATGTTTAGGCGCCTCGCCATCCAAGCCAAATCTTACGACATGGCTTTTCACTTCCCCGACCCGTATGTTATTCGGCTGCACAAAGGCCATGGACAGGACCCCAGCTCGCCCAGTTCGAACCCATCTTCGCCCATCCCTCCTAACAAGAACCCGATCCCCGAACGGTTCTCGTCTGTCATGGATGCTCGCGTCGCTTGGGATAACCTTTGCGAACGCATCTTCCGCTTCCGAGATGCTATGTTCGAGTACGCCGAAAACAATGCCCCGAACAACATCATGGGCGTGTTACCTGCTGAGCTCCGGCACGTTGGAGCCTCTTTCAAACACGAAATTGAAGCCTGGTCCCGTGCGTTCGAGCCTATTCTTGAATCACGCACCGCCCCCGGAGTCAGCAGCCAGGAGAAGGCAGCTATTGCCGTGCTGAAGATGTTTCAAATTATGGGCCAAATCCTGTTCTTGATGACCTTTAGCGACAGTGAGATGCACTTTGACAACTTCATCCCTGCGTTCAAGGCCATCGTCGATCTAGCCCGCGAGGTTGTTGGGGATGAGGAGCGTCGTGCTGCGGCACAACGGTGCCCCAACCCCGCATTATGCCATCACCGCCACCGCGACCCGTTGGACCCTCTTAATGGAGTGGATAACGTGTACACTGCACACCACATCAAGCCATCCTTTAGCGCTGACATGGGTATCGTTCCGCCGTTGTATGTCGTCGCTACAAAGTGCCGCGATCCCCAGATTCGCAGGCAGGCCATTCAACTACTGCGCAGCTCGGCAAGGAGAGAGGCGATGTGGGATAGTGAGTTGGTAGCTAGAATTGGAATGTGGGTTTTAAAGGTCGAAGAAGAGGGACTCGATCTCGGTTCTCCCAGCTCAGCCGGTTATCCTAGCCCCGGTAGTGCCAGCACCAGTACTGCAATGACACCGCCGGACTCGAGCCCTCCCCAGACGATGACGATGACCGCTCCCCAGCTATCCATCAGCACGACCAGCAGCGTGGCCAGCAGTCGTGACACCAGTCCCATGCCCGGCCTTGGGATTACCGAGTTCGGTGCAGGCAGTCCTCCTCTCGGACCGGGGGGTAATGCAGCCTGGCTGGAAAAGACGCCATCATCCCGGGGATTCTCGCCGGCTTCAACATCGTCAACGTTCAATACCCTTCCGCCGACCCCCACCAGTTTTGTGCAGCAACAGCAGCAGCACCCGTTCCAGAAGCTGCAGTTTATTACAACGCCGTCACAACAAACGTCGGCACAACCACAACCACAGCCACTGAGCGTCGTCGTACCTGAAGATAAACGTGTCATGGTTCGGGCGGTCGATTTTGATTTGCGGGAACGGTTTGCAAAGATTGAGCTTGGGTCAAGGAATCTCAGCCAGGGTGCGTTGGATGTAAAACGCCGTGCGACGCAAATTAGATGGTGACTGGGAGTTAATTGCAGTATTTGTGTGTGGTGGAATTTCTTGGTTGTCATTTGGTGTTTGGCGGTTCTTTTGGATACTTGAACATATATACCCATGTGATATTTGGCATTTTGGCTATCTGAGGGAGGGGAAAAACAAATGGGGATAATAATGTTGGATACGGATACGGAGTACGAGGATTAAAAAAACCAAACCAAAACAAAAAACTCATGAAAACCAACGAAGTCGAGGCTGGTCCTTGTAAAGCAGTAACTTAAAGCTTGATAACTATGTTTCTAATGACCGATCTAGTTTTTGCAACAGCGTAAACCATCTTAAGATGCATCTCAGCCCTGCTTCAAGTTTACCGGGTATCTTTTAAGGTGACGAGGTCGAGGGCTTCAAACTTAAGAACAGCAGCGTTGTCCATAGGCAAACCCTCCATGTCGTTTCAGCCCTGTGAACCCACCCATGACCCGCTAAAACTTTGGTGTCGCTAGCGCGGCGGCTCGACGTGGGGTTTCAGCCCGCCCCTCATCTCGTCCGAACTCTCGCTTCATATCCTTAACCCATTGACTGCTTCATCATTGATTCAAAAGTTTTTGACCCAATAGTCTCGAGGATGACCAAAATGGCAGACCCAACCCTCGACCAAATCCTCTTCCCTTCCCAATATTTTGATGACAATGCCTCGGCGCTCTCCCGCGTGCTGGGCGACCTCAAGCGTGCAAGTCTGTCCATCCCCAACCGACTGCGCTCGATCTGCGCGGACGCCGAGTTCGTCGCAGCTGTCGCCGACGCGCTTGGCGATCTCCCCCTGGTCGCGAACGAGCGCTGCGGCAGTTGGTATATCGACCCTAAGATGAAGGAAGCGTCGGCGTATTTTAAGAGCACCGATGGACATACGGGGCAGTGGAAATTTAGTACTAGGAGATTGAACTTGCATTTATTGTGGGTGATTGGGATCAGGGGCGGGTAGGTTTTCTCTCTCTTGGGAAGGCAATTTCAAGAGGCAATGGTTTAGGGCTACTTGACGTTTATTATGGCTTTGTCTGCCACTACCCGTACATACGCTTACACGGCTATCCGCCTATACAGCTGCATCATTGTTGACTCGACTCGCCGAGGCAAACGTCAGTCTGCCAATCAACCTTCCGTTCCCCCTATATCCTGCTAACCTATGTACCAGGCATGCCCGATGCCCTCTCCAAAACCATCCCCGTCTGGTGTGCCGTCCTCAACCGCGTGCTCTTCCCTGACCAACCAGAAGTGCACTCCTTGTTCACTTCACCTAGTGCTGTCTCAGCCTCTGAAGCTTCGCAAATCGAGGCCATTCTCCCTGACTTCGTTGAAGCCTTTAACTCCCTCGCCATCGACACCGCCCCTCTGCGTCAGCATCTACGAAAGCCGCTGCGTCCCTTCTGGATCACGCACAGTGATTTCGACGATGGAATAGATTTAGAAACCGTCGCTGATGCGGTGAGGGAGATCCGAAAGGCTTGGCACCCCGTGGTATGCTGCACCAGTTCAAGGAGGGTTGAGGGCGGGGAGATGACTGTTTCAGTGGGAGACAAGGGGTATGTGTATGTGCAGGGGGCAGGAGATGACACGGAGAATTGGGCGAGGGGGTTGACGGCAGCGGTGTTTTGGCGGCATCGGGAGACCTTACTTGCGGCTGAGGAGGGGGAATTGCCGGGGTTGATTGAGAAGTTGTTGAGAGAGGAGAAGAAGGAGGAAGCAGGAAAAGATGAGCGGTTGGATATCAAGGGTGTTGCGCCGAGGGTGTGGGTTGGGACGCTGGCTTCTCTGGAGAGGGCGAGAGACTTGGACGGCGCGTGCGTCATTGCGTTGGCGCCTAAGGCAACGGAGCAGGAGACGTGGGTTAAATCACCTTCATATATGGAGGTTGGGTTGGGGAAGAACAGTAAAACTGCCAGCCGCCTGCTCAGGGATGCACTGCCAAGGATATGTGAGTTCGCTGGGCAATTCTTGACCGCAGGTGAGCAATCCGAGGATTCAGAGCCAAACGCCCTGCCGAAGGGAGCAGGGCAGGAAGACAAGCGGGTTGTTATCCTCTGCGAGACAGGAAAAGACCTGTCTGTTGGCGTCGCGCTGGCCATTTATTGCTGGTGCTATGACGACGCCGGCAAGGTGAGGTCAGAAAGCGATAGCAGAAATGGTTTCACCAAGACAGCTGTCCGTGTTAAGCTGGGACATATCGTTCAGGCTGCGCCAGAGGCCAATCCTAGCAGGGCCACGCTCCAGAGCGTGAACAGTTTCTTGATGGACTGGCGAAGATGAAATGAATCCAGATCAAATCCCTCCTGCGGTTTATGGTAACGTGTTATCCAAACTTCCAGTTATTCCAAAGATTCAACCCCTAAACGCTCCCACTCTCGATCTTTGCCAGGCATTCCTCAAATTCCGCCCAATCCTCCATAACAATGATTGCGCCAGCTTCTCTCAACACTTTGGCCATATGTTCCCTCTCTTCGGCCTTATACGGCCCAACATACCCGATGACCTTTATCCCCGCCCTGGTACCGCTCAGCGTCCCACTCTTGCTGTCCTCAACAGCAACACACTCCTCTGGTTTGATTCCAAGCTTCTCCATCGCATACAAATAGATCGCCGGATCGGGCTTACTCGTTGGCTTCGGCAAGCTGCTCGCCGCGCTGAAGAGCAGTTGCTCTCCAGTCTCAACATCCTTGAAGAACCGCTCAAACCCAACCTTCTCAATACTCGCCTTCAGTCTCCTCAGCGCCGAGCTACTGACTACCGCCATCTTGATCCCCTCTCTATTCTCTCTAACCCTCTTCAACGCCTCTTCAGCGCCTACACAAGGCACCAAATCTCTCTTCAACCTCTCAATCACCTTATCCTCCTCCAACTTCACATACGTCTCAATCTCGTCATCCGTCAAACCCTCGTATCCCGGATGTTCCTGTTGCCAGCGTGCACGCAAGGTGTGCAGCATGCCCCGGAAGTTTTGCCCCACAAACTCGACGACGAGTTGCTCGCCCGTGAAGGGCTGCCCGAGGGGCACGAATTTGGAGGAGGCGATCTCATTGAGGAGGTCTGCGCAGGCTGCAAAGGCGAGTTCCTCCGAGAGGACGAGGGTGTTGTCGCAGTCAAGGAGCAGAGTTGTGATCTGTGGAGCTGGATGTTAGCAGGTTGTTATTGTTGGGTGAGGAGAGGGGTCAGGGCGTTCCTTGGTCATTTTGGCTATGGAGGAAGAATTGGGATTGGAGCGGTTCAGAAATTGGATAGTAATCGATCGTATTGTTGGCGTTGTTGTCAGGAGAACTGATTTCAAATCGATTCAGTCGTCCTGTTGACTTCAGCACAAACACAGAACAGAACGCGCAGGAGAGCCACACCACACAGCAGGCAGCGTAGGAATGGAATCGACAAATCCCACACAGCACATCCGCCTTTAAGCAACAAGCACGGAAAGGACACACCCGGTACCGTCTCACTGTCTCACAGCAAGGTTTGGAAACCTGCTCTTTAATCGAACATTTTTTTTAACAACAAAACCTCAGACCCGATCCCTCGGCCTGCCCTGACCACTGGCTGGTCAGCCAATGAATTAAGCCTGCGCCTCCCCTTGTCTCTGCTCTCACGCATCGGCCCGTTGTTGGCCCGGCGACACAGCAGCCTTAGCACAGCCTCGCCTTCGGCACGCAATTGCCGTTGCCAAGCCGGTCGCTGCCGTCGATCATTTCGTCATAGGTGGAGCAAGGTAGGGCTTAGAGCAGGGATTTGGATGCCCAATGGGCAGTGTGCCTGCCCGTCCTGGATGGGGGATAAGTTAAGTCAGACACTAGTCAACAGTAGGATCAAGTTCAGGGGAGGACTAGGCAGTTACTGAACCCAAGTAAAATGAAAAAGGATGAAAGTCTTCTACTTCATGAGCTTCAGTAAGGTTTCCTGTGTGTTATGCTCACACTTCTCTCGATATCCAAGGCCCGTGGGTTACCACAGCCAATGTGTGAGCCCATCGAAGCTTAATCAATCACCTCCAGGCTGCAACGCGCCACAAGCGAGATGAGCTTTGATCTTTGAAATGTGTTGAAGCGGTTTTTCCTTTCAAACCAACTCCTTATCTTCTCATGCAGCTTCGTAATTGGCTCGCTGATGCCGAGGCAATCAGCTACCCAGCATGCTATCTAGTTGGTAGCAGAGCTGAGAGAGGTAGCACGTCGTTGACTTAAACGCTCTTCTTTGCCCATTCATTGCGCAGCATTCACTCCATGTCAGCAGTTGGAAACATGATAACAGTTGTATAAAAATGAGCAAGGTAGATAAAATATCGTCTATGGTTACTGAGCTTGTTAAAAGAGAGTTTAACTGCATAGTTGAGGGACGGCAAGTTTCCATTCTTATTCCCCTAATACAGACTCGCGTTACATAACTCGAACCTTATCTCTCACAAAGGAGGCAACTCCTCCCTACAAATAGGACACTGCAACTTATACCTAAACCAACCCTCCAAACACTTCGTATGGAAGATATGTCTGCACGGCGTGACCATATACGCGCGCCGGGCAAACACACCCGCCAATCCATCACTCCTAGTAGCAGCCCCAGGCCTTACGACAACAGGTACCTCTAACACCTCAGTACAGATCGCGCAATCAATGTACCGTAGCACCATACCATGGCGCTGGAACTCCTTCTCCCGCTCGCGACGACGAGCCCCATCTTCCGGCGTCTCATCCGCGCCAAGCGACCACGACCGTTTCCGATCGGCAGACGGCGAGGGCGGCGCGCTATCTCCCGACGTCGAGCCCGAAGAAGAAGCAACCAACCCTATCGGCAGTCCACCCGCCTCAAGATTATCCTCCCTAAGCACAGGATGGTACTCCCACACGGGAGGTAGCCAGTTAGCGGGGATCCCAGCCCGTGGCCCCAACACGTCCTGCACTCCCAGCACAAAAATCTGTATCCACACCCACGCACACAGCAGCCCAAACACCGTTATATCGGGCTCCACAAATAGAATGTTGTCCCGGACTAGGTAGAAGTAGGCGAACGGCAGTAGGCGCAAGACCGACTGGCCGATGACGAAGCGCCAGGCGAAGGCGCGGCGAGAGTTGCGCAGGATGTTTCGGCGTATCTGCGGCACCCACATGCTAAGATAGGTAAAGGAGATGATGTTGAGATAGATGGCGCGGGCTCGGGGCGGCCAGGATAGGGAGGAGGCTGTGATAATGAGAATTAGAATGCCGGAAAAGACGAAGGTGCCGGTGATGGAGGCGAAGGAGGAAAGTCGAGGTCGGGATGGGCCAGTTGTGGTTGCGCCCGTGGGCAAGGTTGATGCACCAGGGGAGGAATTGGCAGCGATTTCAGCGTCGATATCTTGGTCAGAGGGGATGATGATTGGGGGAGATAGTGGGCGAACAGGTCCGGCGGTTACGGGGGCAGGGAGCCTGCCACTTGATGAGGACTGGTTTACGGCGGTAGGCTGGGCATTGTTTGTCCGCTGCTGCTGCTGCTGCTGTTGTTGTTGTTCACGCCTCCTTTCTGGCTCTTGGTTCTTGTAGATTTCGGACAAAAACCCGGCACCGATGGTCATTGACATGAAGGCTGCAAAGGTTAGCATCAGAGATGGCAAGAAAGTGTTAGTTGCTGACAGGCTCCAGGCTGACGAGCAAACAAATACGAGACCGTCAGCCATCAGCATCGTCGCAACAGTATAGAAGTTGATGCGGCCGAGGGTTGACGGAGTATTGGACTCCTTCATTTGCCCTTGTAACAGCCACAACTGCCCCATCAGAATAGCTGCGAACCCAAACATCCACAACTTGATCCGCGCAAGCAGTATTTCTGACTTGACGCCGACCAGATGCTCGCCCTCGACCGACGGGAACAGTGGTGGCCCCTTCGACTCGAGGTAATATGAGCAGTCTGGAGACCAAGCAACCATGGACATGCGCAGCTCGGGTACACCCCACCTGGGCGCCCCAGTCGGGAACCGCAGTTCGCGCTCGAGCTTGTCAATTTCTAGGGGACTGTGGTTCGGATTATCATCCCCCAAAACATTGTAGTGGATAGGATGCAGCTGCAAGTACATGATGTACTCGCAACGTGGGATCGGAACATCGTCCAGCCCATCTTCTTCGACTACCGCTGTCCATGGGTTGCTGGAACCAGAGAACCTACTCCTCTCCCTTCTACGAAGAACAGCATCTATGGTCCGATTAAGAAGCATTTGACTTGAGTGGAAGAATTCTGGATCAGGGGACAGATGCGGCAGTCCAAAAATGCCAGCAAACTTCTCACTCGTCGTAGTCAAAAGGATAGAGCCTTGGCGCGGCCAGTGGACGCCGTAGAGACGGAGAGCGAAGCTGGATGCAGTAGCAGTCTCCTCATCTTGGATATTTGCCACAGCCGAAATCTCCCTAGCCACACTTGCCGAATGCAGTTGCTCGCCATCTTCCAGTGGCTCCGTATACACAACATCGCTATCATCTTCATGTAGACGAAGAAGGATGGTGCCGTGGTTACCGGTCACGTTCCAGGCCCATCCGTCTGTGATGTCGTGCTCTTCTTCGAACGCCCAGTCGACGCCGGGGGCGATGGCCGTCAAGTTGTACGAAGCAGCGGTCCTTGGAACAGAGCCCTTGCGACGCACCCACTTCCCATGAACGGTTCCAGTGGCATTTTGCCATGTCTTCTTTTCTGGTCCATGATTCCAGCTGATGCCAGAGGAATCCGGGGGGTAAACGTGGTTGCTCCATTGCGTGCAGCGGTTTTTGAAGTATGTAAGGTCCTTCCATGCGAAGCCATCAGTCGATCTGAAGCCTGTTAGGTTGAGGAAGCGTGGACTATCCCATGGTGGGCTGTGCTCCTTGACTTCGTTGGGGACAAATGCGCCCCATGTGGTGCTGTTCAGGATGCCATGGGCTTCTCTCAGCTGGACAAGACCGGGGTCATTGCCAAAGGTCGATGACAATATAGATGATGGGCCGTCACTGCGTGAAAAGAGGGTAAGGAAGAAGATGAAAAGGAGCAGCCAAAGTCGGGCATTTTCGCGTGATGAAGGCATGGCGATCAGTCATTCATCGGGACATGAATGAGTGGAATGCTATGACTCGGATACCATGGCTAACGTCTAGAATCAAGCAGAAGGGTATATGGTATTTCGAATCTAGGCAGGTTGACAGGGTAGCGATTCAAGGTGTTTTTTTTCGTGAGGTTTGTGACTTGGATCCGCTGATGAGGCGATGATGTAGGATGACAGTCGACTTCTTCACTCCTGTCGTATATATGAGCGGCACGAAGTGATGAATCATCAAAGCCGTGTAATGCGTACCCTTAAAGACTTGCTTTGTTGGATGAAACTAAGTGCCTCCCGGACCTCTGATGCCAACAGAGTAATTACAGTAACTGTTGTTGTGTCAGGATGAAGCAATCACTGATGCAGTTCGATGTTTGTGAAGGTCCCATATCAGGTTCCGTGGCGTACGGTTACAATAAAAACTAACTAGGCCGCAGTAACACGATGTGGGTTCGGGGTGCGCGCCTACAGAAGAGCCTCTCTGTAACTTCGTAGCCAATCATGTGACAGCAGGACAAGCAAGCACAGTGCATATGCAGGAAACTAACTGTGCCCGCGTCTTCAAGCCCCCAGTCGGGACATTGTCGCGTGGGTTTGGGACAAGAGACAGCCAACGCTGAGGTCGACGGAGCTCCGATACGTGTTGAGTTGGTTTCAATCACGCTTCTACTGAACAGAGGAAGAACTAAAATGTCTTCAAGCAACAACGAAACCACAAACAACCAAAACACTAACGTAGGATAACCAGCCGCTCTTATTCCGTTTATTATACCTAAACTCGCACTCACGCTCCGGTTAGGAAGAGGCTGATAATGCCCAGGCTGAGCTGACTGCCCAGCTCGAAGACCTGCTCAACACTCTATCCAATAAGTTTGCCGGCGTATCAAGTGAAATTTTTGCCAAATGTGAGTGACTGGGTTTTGAATCGTATGGGTTGATAAGTGTCCAGTACTAATGATGTTGAGTAGTGGATGAGATGTCTCGCCGGCTTGATAACCTTGAGGCTCAGTTGGTGGCAAACAACAAAGAAAAGAAGTCAGGCTCAAGCTAGAAAGAAGGAGGAGGCTCTAGTCTGAAAGGCGTAATGTTGCATGGATGTGAGAATCGATGGGATTGGGGTGGATATGGTAGGACACAACTTTGGGCAATGATAATTACCTGGGTATAGGGTAGACCCGATACATTGTACACTGACTAATGGCTTCTATATAACTTAACAAACCCTCACAACAAGTGTCGCCAACACTGTTTTCCTCTAGAGCTCTTCCTTTTCCTCACCCTTCTCCTCCGGCTTCTCCAGGAACTTCCTCAAGATGTTGGTCTTGCTCTGCAGTTCATCCTGCTTGGCAGGGGCGAGACCACCCTTCTTGACAATACCCTCTAGGCGCGCAAGTTCCTTGCTCGCATACTCGGGCTTCCCGCCGAGCTTCTCAAAGACGCGCACATAATACGGAGCATACTTGGCAGCCTTGTCATCCTTAACCTCCTCAGCTGTCTTTTTGGCCGCCTCAGTCGCCTCGCTCAGGGATAGTTCTCCGTTAACGTATTTTGCAACAATAGCATCAAGAGCAGTGACGGTACCAGCCGTTGAGTCAACACCGCCGCCAGCAGCGCGGTGGGTCCCAGCATTCTCGTTCAGGAATTTCACAAAGGCTTCCTCCGAGCGAGAGCCAGTGTAGTCAATGGGCGTAGTGCTTCCTTTGGGGAAGAACTTGATAGTCGGATAGCCACGAATGTCATATTCGGACGCCGTACCCTTGCTGCCCTCGTGGGTCGCATCAACCTTGGCAATCACGACATCGGGCTCGTTAGCAAAGTTGTTGGCCAGGGCCTCCCAAGTCGGGGCGAGGTTCTTGCAGTCTAATTCATGTTAGCAGCGACTAGCTTGGACACAAAGAACATCACAGAGTACTCACGTCCACACCAGGGGGCAGTGAAGGCCACTAGGACGTGCTTGTCGCCACCAATATGCTTCTTGAAGGTCGCATCTGTGAGCATAACCACGTTGCTCGGTGGCGCGAGCTTCTTCCTCGGCCGGATACCAGTCTTCTCCGTGATGAAGTTGGCTAGGCTGTCGAAATCGCGACCTCCGCTGTATTCTTGGGGCTTGTCGCTCTTCCCATCAAACCACTTGAGTGTTGGGAAGCCCTGAACACCATACTTCTTGCCCAGATCTCGGTGCTCATCGGCGTCAATCTTAGCGATTTGCACCTTGTCCTTGGCGTGCTCGAAAGCAAGGCCGAGCTCCTCGTATGTGGGAGCCAGGTTTTTGCAATGCCCGCACCAGGGAGCGAAGAACTCGACAAGAGTCGGCTTGCCGGACTTCAGCACAACCTTGTCAAAATTGGAAGGGATAAGATCGAGGACGGCCGACTTAGCCGCGGCCGCGGCCGCGAGAGTGACGAGCACGAAGCTCTTAAGAAGAACCATGACGATGGTTGTTGCAGATCGCCTTCTTCTGTGAGTCCAGGTTGTCTCGAAGCAAGGATGGAAGCAAATTTGTTGATTAATTACCAGAAATTAACGCCAGAAGATTCAAGAAAAAAGACTAGGCCAAATCCAAAGAGCGGAGTTGATGGCAGCGACAAAGGGCTCTCTGCCTCGCAACAACGCCAGGTCTCAGGTTCCTTTCCGGTCCGCTGAAAGATGCCACTTTGCCAGTCGAGCCTGAGCTCACCAGCGTAAGATCACCCCTGTCCATCCCGCTTCCCAGCCAACGACAGCCCCGCGATTGGGCGGCGTTACTGTCTCGCGCCTCTGTTTGCACACTGTCTGATGCCCCACCATCCACAACTGCCGCCCGATAAGGCTCTCCTGACCCACCGATAAGGCACATGTCTGCATCTTGAAAAGCCACGATACCCCACAGAATAATTCTTACCAGCCACACTCGGCGCCTCAGTGCACAAGCCCTCCCGCACAAGAAAAATCAACCCCAATTTTGGCAGCCTGGGTCCAACTCTCGAAAATTCGGCCGACACCGTCCGCGAGCTTCCGACCATCTACGACCAGTTCTCCTCCCGATCTCTTCGTACCAGTCGCAGCACAGGTCGACACCAAAGAACATCCAACAAGATGGCTCACGACAACGTTTGGTACTCGCGCCCCCGCAACTACGGCAAGGGCTCCCGCAGCTGGTAAGAATCAACCATGATCATTTTCGTCATCATCGTCACACCGATCAACCACCGAATCAATATGACCGGAGAAAGAGAGGAAAAAAAAAAAGAAGAGCTGTGGTATGACGCGGAAGACGTTCCAGGAAAAGAGGATTGGAAAGAGGAGGATCAAAGATGAGAGCGAGCAGATGAGAGCACAGAGGGCACAAATGATTACCGGAAATCAAAACTGTGAAGGACCAATTGCTGACGGGAGATGTTTGTTCACAGCCGTGTCTGCAAGCACCAAGCCGGTCTGATCCGCAAGTACGGCCTCAACATCTGCCGTCAGTGCTTCCGTGAGAAGGCCAACGACATTGGCTTCGTCAAGGTACATCCTCATTCGTCATCTGGTCATTTTAAACAACTCTAACCCACTAATAGTACCGGTAAACGACCTTTGCCCACAAAATCGAGAGGCGTCGTACCGTACGGTACGGAGTAGAGGATGTCGTAGGAGAGAAGGAGGGAATGGAATCATGGACGGAATGGATTCGGCGTTCTGGGAGGGGACCATGACAATACGGGAGGATTTTGATGACATAAAGCCGCCCGTCATGTCAACCTAAACCAAAACCGATTGGGAGTTCTACTGGCATTGCACGATATCCATATACGGCAGCGGAACCGCTCGGGGTTTGATTTTCCTTTAACAACAGGAAGGGATGGGATTGTTTTTGTGATCTCAATCAATCGACCACGGAAGCCGATTCATCCGTCCATATTTCGCTCATCTCTTAATGGTCTTACTACGAAGGTTGCTCTCTCACACTGGCTGCCCCTTCTGGATCAATGTGTTTTGTCTTCAACATTTTCCCCTTTCTAGTACATGATTCCATGATACAAAATGCCATTGAGTAAACGCCATTGAGTAGTTAAGACTCCTAACAACACTGTGAGAGGAGATATCACCTGAAGACTACCCAAGACCATATTCAGCCATATGAGAAGCGAGATTCATTCAGCAAAAAGACAATAATACATATCATGACAAAGATTTCATTTGTACATTTACAGTGTATCACAACAACTCCCCTAGTATCCCCCCACTCCCAGCGCCTTGTCCACCCAATATAATACTACCGTACTAGTATCACAAGGACCGACCCTAAAGTGTCATTCCGTCCTCACCTGAGAGGCCAACCAGCTGACTGCTGGCTCTAGCAGCATCGTCGTACATTGTGGACCAGCCAACTTGACCGATCGATCAACCCGTTGCCCCGTCGTAAAAGACGCCCCCGTTAATCCAGGATACGGGTGATCAAGCCAGTGGCGACAGTGCGGCCACCCTCACGGATGGTGACGCGGAGACCGGGCTCCATGGCAATAGGGTGATGGATCTCAGCAACCATCTCGACGTTGTCGCCAGGCATGACCATCTTGCTGTGGGGGTCCTCAGTGCCCTCGGGCCAGGTGAGGGTGCAAGCCTCGTCGGCAGAGCGAATGAAGACCTGAGGGCGGTAGTTCTGCTGGAAGCCGGTGTGACGACCACCCTCCTCCTTGGTCAGGACATACATGGAGAGCAGGAACTTCTTGTGGGCGCTGACGGAGCCAGGAGCAGCAACGACCATGCCACGCTTGACGTCCTCACGACGGACACCACGGAGCAGGAGACCAGAGTTGTCGCCGGCAATAGCCTCTTCACACGACTTCTTAAAGGTCTCGATATCAGTGACCTTGGTCTTGATGACTTCGTTGCGCTTGCCGACGATCTCGACATCAGAGTCCTTCTTCAGAATACCGCGCTCGACACGGCCCGAGACGACGGTACCACGGCCACCGATGGAGAAGACGTCCTCGATGGACATCAAGAAGGGCTTGTCAACGCTGCGCTGGGGAGTGGGGATCCACTCGTCGACAGCCTTGAGCAGCTCGTCGATCTTCTCAGCGCCGATTTCAGGGCGCTTGCCCTCGAGGGCGCACAGGGCAGAACCCATGATGACGGGGGTGTTTTCGCCATCAAAGCCGTACTGGTTGAGAAGCTCGCGCATCTCCATCTCGACGAGCTCAAGCATTTCGGGGTCCTCAAGGGCATCAACCTTGTTGACGAAGACGACCAGGCGCTGGACACCGACCTGGCGGGCGAGGAGCATGTGCTCACGAGTCTGGGGCATCTGACCGTCGGAGGCAGCGACCACAATGATAGCGCCGTCCATGGCAGCGGCACCAGTGATCATGTTCTTGATGTAATCGGCGTGACCAGGGCAGTCGACGTGGGAGTAGTGCCTGTTTTCGGTCGAGTACTCGATGTGGGCAGTCGAGATAGTGATACCACGCTTGCGCTCCTCAGGAGCCTTGTCAATGGCGCCATAGTCGAGGAAGTTAGCAAGGCCCTTCTCAGCCTGTCTCTTGGTGATAGCAGCAGAGAGAGTCGTCTTGCCATGGTCGACGTGACCAATGGTACCTGGAATCGAAGGCATTAGCCCACGCACGACGATGAACTAGTCTAACGGGAGATGGAAGCAACGTACCAATGTTCACATGCGGCTTGTCACGAGTGTAGACGGCATAGGTGCGAGCGAAGTTGAGGATGGGCGTCCTGGACTCGCGCTGCAGCTGAACCAGAGGATTCTGGGCCTGACGGAAGAGAGAAAGGCGGGCCGTCCGCAGGAACGGAGCGAATGTCCTGGAGATGGCCGACATTTTGCCTGAAAGGACGAATTGATGCGATTACGAAACAAAACAAACCAAGAGACAGGAAAGAATGGCGACGGGGGGATTCAGGAACGGGTTGACGGCGAGCTGCCAGGCAGGATTCGACAGTTTTTTGGGGTTGAGGTGGGCTGAAAATTTGGCTCACGCCAAAATTTCGGCAACTGCGGGATGCGGGACGGGTGGGCTATCAGCGATCAGGCGTGGCACGGATTACATAGAGGCTCGTGCATGCGTACTATTACATAGAATACAAATACATTACACATGCGGTACGAGCCCCACTGGCTCTGTCTTCAATGAAAGCGTTGCCTCGTCCGTTACGTCCCAGTTTCATTCTTTAGTCGATTCTGAGTCTACTTTTCGCTCTCTTAATTTCAACTTCTCTTATCACTCCTTCATCCATTTGATTGCAGAACCCCCCTGCTCTATATTATTGATACCTCTGTTCTACTTAGGTCACGTCCCTGACCAAATATCAACACTGTTCGTTTCAACCAGCTCCTATCCGATCACATCACCCTTACACTCTGGCTTATTCCTCTCCACCCTCACCGCCGCTCCTGACGTTTTTTCTCGATATATTTTGGCCTCCTCTTTCCGTAGAGCCCTGATGGTCTGATCGCCGTCATCCCCTTCAATTTTCTTGTTACTATCCTCGCAAATTCCATGTCCGAACATCAACCCCCAGTTTCCTTTTGTCCACCCCATTGGCTGGTTCTTCAACGTTACAACCTCTGTGTATTTTGAAAATGCGCAGCGATTTCGCGCCACAACCCGGCCGGTTGAGAACCTTGAACCAAGCCTCGTTGTCTCTCGGACAAGGGTCAATATTACAATTATCTCGATTTCACGGAGGTAACTTGAATTGTCCGGCCATGTCTGATCGATACACTCGGTGAAAATACGTCTGCTTTCACCGAAGAAGATATTCTTGCCGTACAATACAGGCGTAGCGTCGGACAAGATCTGTTTGTAGGCTCTCAGGAGTGACGACGACACGGAATATTGACGGCAGCGAAGACGATCAGGAGGCAGCAGGATTGGGTCCACCCAAATTAGCCGGCATTCAAAGGCACTTGCTGTGACCTCTGCGACTTCTTCTCCGACTTATGCGATGATGTAGATGATTCCGATGGCTTGATGACTTCAACTCGATTCAGCTGATGAGAAACAGTTCGTAGATCATAAATCGCAACTTTTAAGGCAGGGAGAGAAAGCCCGGTGGAGGGCGACGTACGTTTTCCTGGGAAGAGACATTCCCACAGTTTCCAGATCGTTGTTGCATTCTCGTTGTTTGGGTGTTGAAGATGGAGAGAAAGAAACGTTGAGATTCCGGTGCACCCGAGTAAGCTGGCAGCGTCCTCCGATGATCCAAGACAACTCTTTGAGGTGGAAGCCGGAAGGAGCTGCTAGACCATAAAACCCTGACCCTCAACCAAACCTTCCTGCCATCCAGTCGCTATCCTCATGCTACCCTGATAGCCGGCTCAGGAACAACCAATTGCATGGCAATGCCGTCTAATTGCTTGCCCCAACTCAGAATCAAAGCGGACTGGTCTTCCGGAGCATCCTCAAGGTGACAAATTGCAGGAGCGCTAAATGGACAAAGTGTCACCAGGTTTAGTGAAAGACTCATGTCTCTTTTCTGTGAGGCTACTTGATTTGGATCCCTAGATTAAACTTTTCTTGAGCTTGACCGCGTAAGCTGGGTAGAATATTCCAACAAACATCTCCCAGCACCTTTAGACAGCTGGGTATTGTTCATAGCAAGCTGAATCTGAAAGTACCTGGAACTCGAAACGAACAGATACAAGGTAAAGCATTGTAAACCCTTACTGAGGTTTTTCGCTTTCATTTACTTGATGTCTCTCATACCGAGCATTGGGAAATAAAGCACGCAGAGCTCTTATAATGTTTTCCTGGTAGCGCTCATGATTAAGAGTCGCTCGTAGAGCAAAACTCTAAGCTCGAGAACTAGACTGAGGGAAAGTGAAGTCAGTTACACTCGCCGAATTGCCAGTGGAAAACTGCGAGATTGTTTTCTGTGCAAGGGCTTGCTATTTGCCACATCTACATGAGGTTGTCATATCAACACTTAACAAGGGAAAACGACCGTCAGATGGAACGGATACCTCCGGTCCACTTTTTCCTAGCTTCGGTCACAAACATCTTCTTTGGATGGTTCAGCTTTAGAAGATCATGAAGGAACGCAGGTAACGCTTGGCAGTCAGTCTTCAATAGGAAGAATTACTTATACAAAAGGATGCGTATAGTACAGGTATTGTACACAGGGTAAAGGCTGTATGACCAGGTTACCAAGTCGTGGTTTTGGGTTCAAGATGCCAACATGGGAAAACAGCAAACAGCGTCGATGAGTAGGAGCTCCCCAGGCCCAGTCCGTTAAAGTTTTCCTGTCCTTTTACGAGGAGAAGAAGAGGGTCTGCATCCAGTCAGCGCAAGTAACCTCTGTGATCTACATCCCGACTTTTCTTGCTCGACAAGCACCATTACTCCTCTGGAAGGGAGTATCCCTACTTATCCCATCCCTTGAAGGCTTTCTGCCTCGCTTGCCGAGTGTTCCAAGCCAGCTTGGCACTAATGCTCTTGATCCAGTCCTCACTCCGCCGCCCACGCGGCTGAACACATGCAAATGGATACCTGCTCGCGCTCACAGTTACGTAGTCACCAGGACGCAGCTCGATACGCTCACGGCCGTCGAAGCTGGCCCACGAGCTGGTACGCGCGTCGTAAGGCACGCCGATGCGTAGCACGATCGTGTCGGGTAGGATGATGGGCCGAAAAGAAAGGGTGTGGGCACAGATGGCCGTCACCAGCATGACGGGGTTCTCCGGGTGACAGAGCGAGCCGCCCGCGGCGAGGTTGTAAGCTGTAGAACCCGTGGGTGTGCTCACACAGATACCGTCAGCTGAAACAGACGTAAAGTGTTCGTCGTCGCCGAAGATCTCGATGTTGGACATGGCTAGTGGGTCAGGTCGTTAGCACAACGAAATTTAGTTTTTGAATGATAAAGAGAAAGACTCACTCGGATTCGGTCCGCGGTCGACGACAACTTCATTTAACACCACATACGTCCCATCAGGCTGGTGAGTGTGTTGATCGTCCTGCTCCTCACCAATGAGCTCTTCAACCAAATCCCTCTTGGACTCCTCATCCCCTCCATCCACAGAACTAGCACAACTTCTTGACCTCGGCCGAATATGTCTGCTGCGCATGACTGTCCCTTCGAACCGGAGCCTCAAGCTGACCGTAACGCCATGTTCAAATGCCTTGTTTAGCGTCTCCTGGTAGTGCTCAAAGTCGAACTTTGTCAGAAACCCCAGGCTGCCAAGCGCGAAACTGAGCACAGGTGGTACAATCCTCTGAAACAGCCAGCTGGCATAGAGAACCGTACCGTCTCCGCCCAGGGTGATGACGAAGTCGAATGTATGTGGCCTGTTACGGCAAATAGACTCATCCCAGAAGCGCAGACGCCGGGCAATGTCGTGACTTGCCTCCTCCGATACCTCACCAGACTTCACATAATCCTGCTTCACTTCCTCCAACAACCCAGCCACGTCAAACCTCTTATTATCTTTCAACGCCCGATCGATATAGATAGTATACCTCACATCCCGTTCGCGATCCAACAACCAACGACACAGTTCCCTCGTCTTAGCAATTAGCTCCGCATCGTAGATCTTGGTAAGCAGGAAGATACTCTTCACACGCAGCTTAAGACGCATGCTCCCCAACCGGCGGCTCAGCTCCCTCACGCCCCAGGCCATCTCGCTCAGCTGCTTCTTGGTCAGCAGCCGTGAATTCGCCGCGTCAGCGGACGCCCCGTGCAGATCCAGCTGCGACGGCGTCCGAGACGCGATTCCAGCGTCAGTCGAGAACGAGTCGCCTGAACAAGCGCGCATGTGGTGCGCCAATGCCATCTCCTCTCGCCATTGCGCCTCGTCCGGCTGCCCGGTAGTACTGCTTGCGCTGCTGGCAATGCCGTTCTCGTTGTCGCTGACGCCGCCTGTGCTGCCGTCCTGGATGATCGGTTCCCTGCCGGCACCACCACGACTGCCACCACCACGCCCACGAAGGTCCAACGCCCGTGGGGGCTGATCGTAGGGAGAGGCATCGCCGATCGTGTCGCTGATAGCTGACTCAGTGCTGTGATCGCTACGCTTAAGGCGCCGCTGCTGGTCGACGAGGAATTGATGGACGATGCATTCTGCCCGGTTGGCGGGCATCAGGGGCCGCTCAGTAGCGACGAGGGAGCTCTTCCGGCGGTAGGGGCTCGTGGGGTCGAAAGTGACCTGACTGGTTAGCTTGTCGAAAGCAATGAGGATTACGCATTGAAGAAGCTACCTCTACAGGATTGTGGTCCTCATCACTAGCTGAGCCATAGTGAACGTCCTCGAACGTGACGCTTTTAGACGGATTTGGATCCGACATGACTGGCGGCAGTCCCTAGGATTAACTCGGACCCAGAGTAGACAAAGGTAAAGCTATGATAATACAGGGTCTAGGCTTGGAATGGCATCAGAAGGTAGAAAAGTGTGTGTGGTATATTAGTTCCAGGGGTAATGGTAAGTGATTGATAGCAAGACGATGGTCTATGTCAAGCTCGCGAATGTGATGCTTCAGAGGAAGCCTCACCAACCGCGATGCAAGTTTCCGAGAGCGCAAAATACGGCGGGCTGAATCATGATCATCCGTCGTTCTCGGCCTCAGAAGAAGCAAGAAAAGATTGGATAATAGGTCACAGGGGCGAGGACGTTGGCACCAGCTCCCGCATCTTACTCTGCTGGGTCATACGTCAGTGCCTCAACGGTGGGGTGCGCCTTTGACAGGACCCTTCCCCGCAATCACCGCCTGAGACCCCCCACCTACCACTTTCGTTGCTTGTCGCTTTGGTATCGCCGATGGCATTGCCTTGTCGTTAGACGGAGCGCTCGAGTTATGGCCCATTGCATAAGTCATGGGATGCGCTGCTGTATGGATGCCAATCGCCGTCCATCGGCCTCGAGGTCAAAATTCAAACCGGAAGCAGTCTGCTTGGATGCTTCTACGCTGACGGTGTTAGATTGCTTTTACATAGTACGATAAACCCTTAAATGAAGTTGGAGTTGAATGCAGTTGGCATCGCGCTCTTCGCGGAACTCGGACAAGCGTGATGTCGATCTGCCAGTATAACGCCTGTCAACGACATGACGTGCCCTTTCGAACCCCCGTTCGTACTCACTACATGCAGACATCACCAGATGCAAGATGGCTTTTCTGGAAATTGTGGCGGTTGCCCCGGCACGCTTAAAAGTTGTCACGTATTCGAAGCAAAATTAAGATTAATGGTACGTACAGAGGGGTTGTCTGTATCAAGAGCAGCCAGGAACCTTTCCCGAAACGCAAGCATCGAGTTGATTACTGGAAACTGTCCGTGCTATTCATTCACCATCAAACTCATTAAGAGGACCTATCAAAACAACAGGGGAAGCTCATCAACCACAAATCCAACACTTAATAATCTCCTTATGCCATTCCGGGGTCCGATAGAATGCACTGCTCAAAACAACCATTGCCGCCATGTTTTTACATGCCATCGTCCCGGCTCCCCCTGATGATCCAAGCTCAGCCTGTTTATTTCAATCCCTTCCTTCCCAAGTTGTATCCCTCCTAAGCCCGTGCCCCGTCAAGGAAGCACTCCCAGAAGAGTAGATAGAAAAAGGCCGAAAAAAGACTCCGAAACGCCGAATTGATATCGCGATGCTATGTACGAGGTGTGCTTGACCTGACCCAAAGAATCGAGAGTAAAAGTTGAGAAACAATGAGCAAAAGAAGCGAGAGACATGACATGGTAAAGCTCACAGAATCTCCCTCAGCTTTTTCTTCTGCTCTTCTGTCAACTCTGTCGGGAACTTTACGTTATACTTGACGATGAAATTGCCGCGAGCATTCGTGCTGGAACGCTTCTTGGACGCAGGCATGCCCAAGCCCGGGTACACGTCTTGGCTACCGGGCTGCGTGATGCCGGTTTTTTCGATTGGGAGCTGCTTGCCGTCGATGGTGGTGATGGTGCGGTGCCAGCCCGTAAGCGCCTCCTTGAGTGACAGATCGATAGTGTGGTACAGGTCTTCTTTGTCGCGGACGAAGAGTGGATGCGGTTTCTGGAAATTATGTTAGCAATGGCTTGCTCAAACTGTCTGAGTCATGGTGTTAATTGATTAGTCGAGCTTACCTCCTCAATGACAAACGCAAGGTCCTGCCTGCCACCCTCCTCTTGGTCACCAACGCCCTTGAAACGGATCTTGGTGCCCTTACGGAGCCCCTTTTCAATGTTAACTTCCAGGATAATCTCGTCCATCCTGCGCTTGCCAGTTTCATCGAACAGCTTCCTCTTGATCCTCATTTTCTTCGTCGTGCCGTGGAACAGCTCCTCCAACGTGACTGGCAGAGGCCTCTCTACAGTGGTGACCTCGGGCGTGGACGCCCTAGTGCCGCGCGCGCTGTCCGTACCACCGCCAAAGGCATCGCGCATAGTGTCTGCACCGAACGAACTCCGGCTTGCGCGCGCCCGAGGCCCACCCGAGCCGGAAGCCCGGCCAGCGGCACCGCCAAAGAGGTCGTCGAAGATGTTAGTACCGCCGAATGCTCGACGCAGCACTTCCTCGGGATCACTGAAGGCAAAACCACCACCGCCGGGACCTGTAGAGAAGTGGAAGCTGGCACCGCCAGGAGCGCCGCCCATGTTGAAGAACGAGAAGCCCTCGGGCATACCGCCAGCGAACGGATGCGGGCCAGTGCCACCGGCATCTGGTGCAGGGCCGCCGCGCAGGATGAACTCGAGGCCAAACTGGTCATATATTTTGCGCTTTTCTGGGTCGGAGAGGATCTCATAGGCTTGCGACACCTCCTTGAACTTCTCGGCGGCTTGCGGGTTGTCCTTATTCTTGTCTGGGTGCCATTTCAGCGCAGCTTTCCTGTAGGATTGTTAGTCGTGGCCGTCGAAGGGAATTGTGGATGAACCGAAGAATAGATGCGTAAGATGCGGGGTTGCGGAAAGGAACAGAACATACCTGTAGGCCTTCTTGATCTCATCTTGCGTGGCATTGGGGCTGATATTCAGCAGGTCGTAGAGCTTTGTCTCTTTGACCATTGTTGTGGATATGTACGATGATCAGGATAGATGATGATGATGGTGATGGGTGATGTTGATTGTGTGGTTGTGCGTGGGGAAGCTGCTGCGTAAATGGGTTTCAAGGGGAAGAAGCAAATGCCTGAGTGGAAATGTTGCGGGTGGGAGCCCCGTGGATATGATCGAACTGGTTCTCTCCTGATGCGTCGGGTTGCAGCAAATGCACGAGACACAGATGGGGATTCTGGTATGTCGTCGAATTGGAAGGTCGTTAGAAGTGGGTTTAGCTTGATGTTTGTACGCTGGACGGGACTAGCTGGTCTGGGATCTGCACTCGCTAGTGGCGAGCAAAAAGTGGGAGAGTGGGAGACAAGAATCGGGCGAATGAACGAGCGCTCTCGTGATAAGAAAGCTCCAGAGAGCTCTGGGCAGCTGTAGACAGCTCTAAATGGTTTACGCGGGGACCAGCTACAGGACACGCAGCAGGAGAGCTGTGGTCGGATTTGAAGTAGGCCGACCCTACGATCTGGAGATAAAACGAGGCGGTTCGCATCAATCGCTTGAAAGATAAAGAACAAGTTCTTGTTAGTTGCCCCTGCACAGCCTTGAATCCGGGCGATCCAAGAGTGCGGCTTCCCGCGGATGCTGGAGAGTGGTAGAAGCTTCGACAGTCAGCCTATCGGTTTCCACGGATTCGCCCACGGCGTTCCAGACGATAATCAATATCGTATCGTCCGACCGTAGTCCGACAACCTAAAAGTTAAAACGTTCTGCAGCTTCAGAGAGATTTCGGCAGATAGCCGAGCCTAATCCGACCTTGAAAAAGAAAGCTGAGAGCTATTCGGTGCGCCACCGCCTTCAAACACACGCGTCTTCCTCAATATCAATTGCCATCGATGTCTCTCCCTATTGAGGGGTTACTGCCCCGCAATTGTTTGGCGAGCCCCCACTCTTTGTCGCCCAAGCCGGCGATGTTTGGGGGCGGTTCCGGAGCACGAGCCACTTTCGATTTAGGACCGTTGAGGGTTAGGGTTTCTAAATGACATTATCTCACCCTGTGAGCGCTTAGCGGGTAGGGCAACCCAGGAGTCAAAACGGACGGGCTGCTAAAGTCTACTACTAGTCACCCGTCCGAGATCAATACGAATACGTTGACCATGATCTTTCAGTCTGAGTTGCAAAAGTTAGTTTTGGTTTTCGAACATTCACGCCGCCTCAAACGTATAAAGCGTCGAGTTCCTTTCATCAGGCAGGAAAAACAGTCGGAGCTTGCCATCGACGATGGCGACGTCCATGGGGTTCTTTGTCACCAACGCTCCCTGGTCACTCCGCATCGTTAAGGGGACCTCGTAGAGGGGCACCATGCTCTCCATATCGACCAGCGAAACACCACCAATAACTGCCCCATAGAGTTTCGTGATGCCGGAGCAAATCATGACTGGCCGGAACCCAAATCTCTGCGAATGACCCAGGAACTTACAGTCCTGATAATCAACCCAGTGGCTCGGATTGGCGACCAGCGCTCTTGGTTGTGTAAACGCCGGTTGTGGCGCAGCCTTGTACCGCAGATTCCACACGTACGCCTTACGAGCGCCCCAGTTCAACGTCAGCACGTTTCCCGTTTCCACGTCATGGACGGCGGCACCCAAGTGATCCGCAGCACGAAGCATTGGCTCTACGTGCAGCGTCTCCGGGTCGATTCGCACCAGCGTTGCCGTCGAGTTTGGGCCGGGTTTGTTTTGGCCCAGAGTCGCCCAGATATGCGTGCCGTCGTAGTCGATGCCTCCGGCATGGTGCTCAGCAGCACCTGACTCGGTAAGAGTGGCAGAGGCGACGCGGCTTCCCTGGCTGTCAAAGATAAGCAAATGCGCAAAGCCCTCGTAATGCGGGTTTGGTGAGTTGTCGCCAGGTAAGGGGTATATGCGCTGAAAGGATGCGACAAAATACCGCTCGCCATCGCCCAGGCGCACAATGCCTTCAGGCTCGTAAGTGTCACCTTCGAAGGCGATCTTTTCGACCAAGGCCCACTTCGTTGTGCGGTCTAGCTGGACAAATTGGCGTATGATCTCCTCGCTATGGGAAGAAGGGTTAGGGGCTGGCAGAGGGGATGGCGCGATTGCAACGCCAGGTTGGTGAATGGTGACATTCACAGATCGGATTGCGGGTGAGATTGTAGAAAATAAGGTGAGCAAGGCTGTGGCGTTGACGGCGTTGATCGCAGCCACCGCGTTCATCATTTTGCTAGAGGCATCGACCACTTTCTGCCGCGATGACGCGGGGATGTAGGAGAGAACGTCTCGGATAAGATCAGCCATGAATGTCTTTCGTGCAAGGAGGCCATCAATTACTTCTTCTGAACTAGCGTGACTGATAGCGATGGAGTTGAAGGCCCGGGCTTTGGTAAAGAATGATGGTTGAAGATGATGAGGATGGTGATGACCATGCCAGGCAAAGAACGTGTTGTAGTCTTGGCGTGACAAAGTTTCCAACTCGAATTTGCGGGCTATGACTGCACGCTTCGCAGTCAAGACCGCCCGTTTTGCTGGGCTTTCAGTGTCTTGGCCCGGAACCAGGACTAACTGTCCCCACTTTCCGACAACATACCCCGAGGATGAGCGGACGTGGGCGGGACACTCAGAATACAGCAAAGAGCTTCTTGTGTCTCCGGTAGATTTTCCTGTCCACACAACAAGATGACGAGATATCAGACAATAAGTTCATTAATAAGCTCCCTCAAGAGATACCTACAAAGTTGAAAACTATTACTTTAAGGCAGATCCGGGTATGTGCTAGCCGCAGGTATTCTTTCGTGGCTGCACCAGGCAAAAAAAAAAAAAAAAAAAAAAAAAGAACGAAATTATGGCAGAACTTGAGTTACAGCTGGCCAGAGCAGTTATGACGGCTTTCAATTTCCCACCTTATCGTTTGCATCAAAGCAGAAAGATAAACTAGAACTACTGTATTGCATTATTTTCATCATTTGATAGACGACAACTCAGGTCACGAGGGTTTTTTGTCACAGCGAAATCATCTTGACCCTGTGTTGTCGTGTACAAAGAACCGCTCTGATTTAGAACAGAATTCAACATAAACTGCGTTGACCGATATTACAACTCCCGTTGCCAACAGATGCCCGGCAGTGTCCAACTATCCATCCCCCAACTTCTGTTTCCCTTTCAGCATCTACTCTTACATAACAATACAATCTTCCTCGATTCCAATAGGGACACCGGTTGCAGTGGCTGCGATGACTACACCTGTTGCTGCCGCTGCCTGTGCAACCCGTACAGCCCGGCGACCCCAGCGGCGACCCCTCCCTTCTCTCTGCCTCATATCATCATACATGGGCGGAATTTCTCGGATTTCGTTATGTTCCTGCCACTGCATCTCTCGTGCCTTGTTTGTAGACGATGCCAATGATGCCTTCGAATAAAGGCTATCACCGTCGCTGACCGAATCAAAGTCGACTTCAGAGTTGAAAGAAACTAGTCAGCAAAGGGCCTACTTCTTCTCTCTAACCAGATTTGACAGGTGACGTACTTGTCCCTAAAACATCCTGAAGGACTGGTCTGATGGCAGCATCCACGCTGTAGTCAACCTTGAAATACACAGTTCCATCTGATAACACGACGAAATATTGCTCTGGCCTCCATGGGTTAAGAGTAATATACTACATTAAGAGTTGGAGAAAAGGTCAGCAGGTTCATTTTCAAGTAAAGGGATCTATCGACTTACGAGTACTTTGCAATAGCTCCTTTCTGCAAGGATTCTACGAAGCTCTGGATAGTTATCCAGCGCCTTCGACTCAACACGACCATCAGAAACAATCACAAAATCTCCCCCGATGCCAAGGGCAACATGCTGAACATTGTCAATGCCACACAGGCTCGTGGCCAGATTCTTATTGAGACCATTATAGAACACCTTGTTCTTTGTCGGTAAGCACATCACATATGCATCTCCGGGGCCAAGAGTCAACGAGACTTCTTCAGGGTTCAGCCTGCGAAGCCAGTATTGGAGGATTGCTGCGAGTTCTGGATTGTCCGAGTCAAGGCCATCGGAAATCCCTAAAGATGGTAAAGAGATGATTAGCCAAAGCGCTCAAGAACAGTGGAACTCAGCCCCGAAGTATGGTACTGACATTCTGATACGCCGCGGGATGTGCAGAGTGAAAAGGAAGCATGCCCCTTCTCGTTCCAAACAGCCCAGTACACCTTTTTGACTTCTCTCAGAGCCTTTTCTATGCGATAAGGGGCCTTCGAGCTAAAATGCCGGTTAGCAAAGTTGTGATACATTGCCACACTCACTCCTCTGCATAACAACTCTGAATTCTTACTGTCTAACGGTTCTCGGGGTGTCAAGAACGAAGCTACCTGGCTCTGGGCCAAAAGCAAAATAGAAGTCACAAGTGGATAATGTCATGGCTACGTTTTTGAGCAAGCCGATGCCGAATTGCTTTGACACCGGATTCTCTCACGGCCGTGTGCAGAGTTGCGACGCAGGAACTATCAGTGTTAGGTGCTGGTGATGCAATTCAACAAAAGATGAAGCTTTCAATGTGACAGCAATCTTATATTAACAGTTTGAAGCGCTGGAGGCAGTTAATGGTATAAGGAAAGGTCGATATGCCACTTAACCCCTTATAGCGTTTTGCAATCAGCCGCAGCCTTGTAAAAAATGCCTTGCACATCGTGTTGTAGTTATCTTACCCAGTCGAATGATGGTTTCCTCTTTTGACAGCCAAATCCGTAGACTATCACTAGCCGCCAGTAAAAGAACTTACAAGGCTGAGAATATACCAGGCAATTGATACCACCAAGTGGTGATCTCAGGCTGCCAGGACAGCCTATCTTTAAGTTCACAGCATGCACGATCATGCGAGACAAGAAGTGACTGACCATGAATACAGCTCCACTGAGGGATTCCTTCTGTGCACAGACAACCTTTGTGTCGCGGTGGTTCCATATAGGTGATCTTTTTCCTGATTCCCTCTTCCTCCCCTTGACTCAGCAGTCTGGTTCCGTTTTTGTATGGTTACATCCAGTCGCGCCAAGCTTTTTATTCTTTTCTTTGTCTTGCGACAGAATGTTGGCCTTCTATGTCCCGATACGATAGATGAGCCTGGCGATACACCTTGCCATGAAACAGGCATAACATCCCGGTGAGAATAATCGGTGATGAGCGTTGTTGTGCAATTGGGCAGATTCTGTTAGCTAAGACTACAAGATGTTCTACTGAACGCAAAAGGAAATCGCCAGCTCTATCCTGGACTGCAAATGCTACACACGAGTACGATAGATGTTTTCTCTACCATTGAAGCTCTCTCAATTTCAAACTGTACTGCATGCTGTATAGCTACCGTTCTTGAAGTCACCTCAAGAACATCTCGCTTTCTTCGAATTGCTAACCTTATCTTGTTGCCAGAGTATTAGAATCATGATTCTGATTGGAATGAGGGATATGCATCACAACACTTGTTGCCTTTCCTCCAACGGGAGCCACGGAACCGCCGAGTCTTGGGCTTCCAGCATTACCCTTCACATCCTCCCTACATCACGTTACACAATGAAGATATTCCTTCCTCTCCGCCGGGGATAAAGCTAGTTATGACCCCGGCAATCACACCTGTGATCACACCCTGAATAGTGTCTCCCGCCCCACCCAGTAGGGTACGTATAAATGCCCGCAATCTGCCTCTTCCGCGTAGTTTTGGCATCAATGCTCGGCTCATATTTTGGAGAGATGGCGACCAGGTGTTGTTGCCGTAACCTCCCCTAAGGGCCAGAGCCGGAAAAGGAGGTGGATATTGCGTGGGGACAGCGTACGACGCAAAACGGTCGATATTCGAGGAGGAATTGTTGACATGTGTGACATCAACTATTGTTATATAAATTAATTGGTTAATTCTCGGGTTATTCATTGGACATTTTTTGACGAGTTTATCAACCCCTTACCGTCGGCCTCCTTCAGGAGGGAATAGAGCGCAGACCGGATGCTGTGGTCGACATTGAAGAAGATCGTTCCATCCGTTAACAGCAAGAAGTACTGTTCCCGCCGCCACGGGTTCAAAGCGACGAACTGTAGTTGTCAACCAATTAGCATCCATATATTCAACCCGATTCGAAAAGTAGGCCTTACCTGGATTTTGGCGTTCTTATCTTTGTTTTTGAGGACCTCGCTGAGTTTTGTGTAGTTGGTCAGTTGCCACTCCACGCACCCATTCGAGAAGACCATCCAATCCCCTCCAAAACCTAATGCTACATGGCGAACGTTGTCCAGTTCGTATGACTTTTGGACAAGCTTCTCGTCGAGTCCGTGCTCCCAAAAGATATCCCTGCTCGGCACGCATGCAATGTAGCTGTCGCCGGGTCCGAGGGTCACGGAGATATTTGAGGCTCCAACTCTATCAATCCAGCGAGAAATAAAAGCTTGAAGCTTGGGATGCTTTGATTTGAGTTGGCTTGTAGTCCCTTGATTTGCAGGAAGTTTATCAGTTCCAAGTCACATCGGCGAGTTGCTTGGATTTGCACAAGGCAGGAGGAACACTGACATCCGGAGTCAGATCCATAGCGATTGAAGCAGAACGCTCCGTAACCCCTTTCATTGCACTGAGCGAAGTACACCTTTTTGGCCCTCCGCAACTCGTGGTCGACAGCCTCGTAGCAACCACCTCTGCATCAAGATATTAGTAGATCGCGAGTATTGCAGACACTGAGCTTGCTCGACCAAAACTCTTACGTTCGGTAATACCGGGGGCTGTAAAAAACAAAGCTCCCCGGATCAGGTCCGAAGGCAAAGTAGATGTCAGAATGGAGACAGGCCATTTGATCACTGGAAGTATCAAACTGAACCGAAAATCATGCCCGGTTGGTTGCTGTTTAATTGGCACAGCGCTAAGTGGAAGTGACTGTGTGGTATCTTGATCAAAGTTTGGCTCTCTCGAAGCACGGAAAAGAGGATAGATAATTCAAAAGCGAGATTTATGTCTTCTTATGGACAGGCGGCTGATACTTCGTTGCGAACAGCCCACACGATCAGAGTGGGACGACATCTCCAGATTTGGGAACCATCACGTTTGACAGAAGCTGGCCTAGCCAACACGCGAGGCTGGGAGGGTGCTCATGATCAATGTTATCTTATTCTGTGACCGAATACGGGGATAAACTTGATGACTATCATGCCTGAGGTCGTCAGACAAGGGCTTCCAAATGGAAAGAGCACCGTTGTTCAAACCTGCGCAGCAGTTCGGACACAGGGGCAACACCGCAAAGCTTGAATCACTCCGACGAGATCCTGCTCAGGAGTTCAAAGCCTCAACGTGGCGTGCTCAAATGAGCCTTCTCTTTTTATAGAAAAAAAATTCCTATTGTCGAAGCGGGAAATTTCTAAGCATTCTCACGGAACATACTCCAGTAACCGATACGCCTCGGCTAGAAGGAATTAAGTAATCCTTTCGGACTAATGCGTTTGATTAAGCTGTTGTAGTTCCATCATACTGGCCTAGGAGGTGTTACTTGACACAGAATCAAAAACTTCTGGGCTCCCAAGGCAGACTCATCGGAGAACAGGAACAGAGGGGCAACCTACAAGGCCTTACCGCCCTGCCATTAGCCGAACCATCCCGATGAAGTTGCGTTCAGCTTTGACTTGGGGCGAACACCTTGCTTCCTTGTTTGGATAGTAGCAAAATGACGTGGTGTTTTCATCAAATGCCGAAAAGCAGCCAAGCATTGTTAAGAATCGCTGTAGCCTGTCGAAAAGGCAACGACGTGCGATCAACTAGGTGTCATCTTGACAGGGTACAACCCTGTTAACATGCGTTCCAAGATGACGTCTATGTGCCATATCAAAGAGACACAGAGTTGGTATGCATCAGTCAAGTTCTGGCTCAAGTAGATATATCCATCCCCCGTTTTCGTCATGGTAAAGGGCAACAATCGAGTAGGAACTCGGGGCACGCAAAGTGGGGTTAAAGACGGCTCTGGGCCTCGTAAGAAAGCTCCCATCAACCATGCGATTCTTTGACGTCATTTACCGTAAGGATCAAAAAGTGTTTCCAAGTAAGCAACGTCAGTTGTCGTCTCCATGGGATTTCTAAGGGACGTGCCATAACCGGCTTGATCATATCAATGACGTTTGGCTGCACGTGGCCCTTTTCATCGCCCGGGATGTCGCAGTCAATGTTGGCCTGATATTCTGTATAAAACGGTTGTCATGGTCTCGAAGAGAGTGAGATTTTTCAGAGCATTAGACAAGTTCAACTCATTATCATCAAGCCTTTTAAGATCATCTCACCTTGGTTTCGATTACCATATAAGCTACATATAAACATGGATACACTCAAGAACACCGCAAACTATGTCTCTGACAAGATGAAGAGCGCCACGTCTGGTGCCTCTAAGGAGGCCAATAAGGAAGTGGCCAAGGACAGCAGTGCTGGTCTTGGCAGCCGGTGAATTAATCCTCTTACCTATCAGTTCTGCATTTATGAAATTACTGATTCAACTATGTGTAGCCTCCAAGCTACCGGCGACATGATCTCGGACAAGGCAAAGGAGACTAAGCACAGCGCTTCCGCGGAGGCTAACAAGGAGGCTGCGAAACACTAAACAAAGCAACGATACATTTTGATGGTATGTGTCAACGTTGTATGTGCGATATGTCGATGAGGAAATTTCTCGAACTGTTCTGAGATATAAAGGCTTTTCAAGTTAGAAACCAAACAAAGGATGTCTTTTGGTGCCTCTTCAACAGTGTAACCGGGTGGTCAGCCAAAGTCGATACCCGATAAACTGGTTATCATATCTGTATAAATGAACTTTAATTACACACAGCTCCAATGCTATAGCTTAACTTGATATGCCGAATTGAAGCTGTGATCAGTGCTGCCTCTAAAGGGTCTTGGACTCGGGTTTTGTGTGGTGAACATTTCGGCACCGATCATCAATGGCAGCTTGGCCGGCTAAAGTCAATGACGTCGTCGGATAAAATCTGATCCACTTATGCGCCAAGCCGCCAAGGAACGAATCCTCTCCATAAGTTCGGCCATGAACCAATAGCCGTTGATTTTGAGGACCAGGGTAAGGACTCTCCCAAAGCCAAGACTGGAGTTGTCTTGGCACCAGCCGCCGCACACCACGTTGGCTTTTTGTTTTGGTTCTATCGGACTCTCCACGTCGATCTCTTCGTGATCTTCTCTCGCTTTCATGTTCAATCGTCATTTTTAGATCTTATACTGACTCACTCACTGATAAGAACTAGACCAAGATGACATATACGCTACCCTCGGAGCCGACCCTCGACTCCACGACCCTCTTCTCCCTCCTCTCCACCGTCGCGATTCTCATCGCGGCGCTGGCCCTCTCACGCGTGGTGTTGCCATCTAACATGGCAACGCGCTGGCGCTTTCTGTTTGTCTGGCACGCGTTTGATGCCCTTATACACTTTATCTTGGAGGGCTCGTTCATCTACCACTGCTACTTCAGTGTCGCACCTGTCCCCAAGGATGGTAGTCTGTACTGGCCGGATCCTGAGAACTATCTGGGTTCTGGTCTCACGGCGCGATTCAGGAAGATTCATGGCCCCCAAGCTGCCCCTCAGAATGCTCTGGCCAACTTATGGATAGTGTACGCCAGAGCGGATCGGAGATGGGCCGGCGTTGATTTGGTGAGTCCCATTGTTTGTTTCATAGGATGGGTACAAAAATGAGAACAAATAGCGACGCTAACAGTTAGTTAGACGGTGCTCAGCATTGAGACCATAACTGTTCTCTTTGCCGGTTCATTGGCTTGCTTTGTATGCTACGACATCGCACGCCGCAACCCACGTGCGAGCCTGAGCGCTATCATTCTGGCCGTTGCTGAGATCTATGGAGGTAGGTTGCTCTGTTGCTAACTGTACGTGATGTCGTGCTCACCATTTTTGTAGGCTACATGACTTTCATGCCTGAGTGGCTGTCGGGTAACATCAACCTCGACACCAGCAACTGGATGTACAAGTGGCTGTTCCTCACCTTCTTCAACGGTCTCTGGGTTGTCGTCCCGCTCTATTCTATCTATGTCGCGGCTGATGACATTTTTGAGGCCTTCCGCGTGCGCCAGGCTACCCTCGGCAGGAAGAAACAGAAATAGGAAAATTTCATTGAGGATGATGTTATGACTGTTCATAGCAATGACACTTGGGGTTGGTATCGTAAGCAGTGGTGAGGTTCTTGGGCGGCATTTTGGAATAGATGGCGAACGAACTCAGGCTTAGATGGGAGTTGTATACTTTATGAAGATTTATCAACATCTCACCGTTGTTGTGTTGGCAATGGTGATGTTTGGTTGTTGGCTACCTTTGTAAACGCAGCGACGCCGATCTTCTCGCAACAGTCACCCGACATTACTCTCCCTAGCTAGGTCCTTTGCCACTCAGCTAATAGGGATTGCCTGATGTTGACGCTCAACCAATGGGTGAGGGACATGGGCGGCTTTATCAAACCCCATGTTCATGGTTAGTCTCAACTCTTATGAGCCATCTCAGTCCGAAACAGTCGGTTTCCATTTTCATTTTCCTTCCCAAAAGTCGTAGCTTGGCGCTCATTAATGCTTGTCTTGAGCCTGAACAAATGGCCTGCTAAATAGCCCTTTCAGGCAGATGACAGCTGTAGCGAGTATCTCCCGGGCGACATCGCCACCTACCAATTCCTACACGCTAGTATCGGACCGCGTCGGGGCCGTGCTCGCTACCTCTCCCTTGTGTTCAATGGATGGTTGCGGTGGGATGGAACTTCAGTCAAGGGACAATTCCCCGACTATCCGAGCTACGCCGGCCAGCTTACTTGCTTCAACCCAACATAATGATTCCGAACTTGGCATGAATTCCCCAAGATGTTGGTCCAGGTCAGGCTTGGCTCATGCAGGATAGGTAAGGTCCGGTCTCCAGGTGAAAGGTAATGGGATGTGAGAGTGTATAGTCTTCAGTAGTTCGTTTGCAGATTGATATAAAAGGTTACTAAACAAAGTTACGAAGCCGGGGGGGTTCATCCTTATTGAAGCGTGTAGTTTCTTTCTTTCGTTGCTCACCATTCATGTCATCATCTGGCAGCCTACCTAGTTTTGACTGCACTCGAAGATCAGATCACTACCACTCCTCGTCTAGCCATCAGGTTCATTACAACGTTAGGCCATTCTCGCCCTCAATCAAGCTAGGTCTGCTCCAGCCCCACATACGTTGCATGCTGATCATGGAAAGTCTTCTTTCCGGTGTCTTTGACACAAGCTCTGCTTCAAGCGGGGGCTGTATCAAACGTGGCTGTTAGCATGAACAAGACGGTTAGGTCCGAGCTGAGCAGGGGATTACATTGGTGCCCCTTCGTTTGGCTTCTGGACAAGGCAAAACGCCAGAACTCTGGTGTTTCTTGTGTGCCACTCAGACATTACACTAAGGGAGAGCTCTGAGAAAGGCTAGGTTAAGAGCGGAAAGTGTTTGCGCCGAGGCCCTGGTCCTGGTTAGCGGCAAGCATATTTGGTGGTATTGATGGTGACAGGCTGCTGAAATTTTTGCAGTTAAGACTTGAGAGCTTTGGGCCTAACATTTGAAAAGGAAGCTAGACTCAGCGAAATACGATAAAAACTGCCTAAGGTGTTCATGAGCGTTGCTAACTTGGTCCTCGCAATATTCGAAGATTCAAACAGAGCAACTGCAGACGGTTCAGATCATCGCTGGATGCGCAATGGCGATCATAAAGTGTTGCTGATAACTGGGTTCAATAAATTGACAATACCGTATACATGTGACCCTTGATAGGTAGCTCTCTTGTTGTCAAGCTTGGATGATGGCTCAGAGTTGAGGGGTTGAAAGTTGGATTCAGGGTACATGTTTGATCACCAATCAGGGGGTATGGGTTGCTACGGTGCTTGTCTTGGCTCTACCAAACGCACAGGTTATTGTGTGGCCCATGCTCCAAAGCGTAGCAGCAGGTTGGCTGGAGCGAAACTTGGGGCTGTCTGAAAAGTGCTTCACAACAACAACAACCCTGCGCTGTGATAATGCCCCGCCATGGTTGCCCTCCCTCACCTTTCCCTAAACCAACTGTTTAGCTTGGGTGCTGCATCGGATCGTGCTCATTCCAGTGGTCGGTGTGCCAATGAGCCATGCAAAACATGCCTGGCTTGGAAAATGGTGGATCGGGCGCACAGCGTGCCGCAGTCACACACAACCACAAGCTGAGAGCTCCCAGCAGCAGCATTAGAATTCCCTAGCGATCTCGCCGCCAATGTCAGCGACATCGCCTCTGGGTTGGTATTCAGCATTCAGTTTAACTATTCAATAAAGTTCGTCATCAGTATGCTCAGATTTAATTGTTGTTTGCGGTTGCTAAGTGCTCTTTCGCTGGCCTACGAGAATGAACCGTGATGAACTGCTCAGAGCCCCAACCCATCAAAGCGTTCACTAAGATCTTGGCTGATGCAAGATATCGCCGACACTACGGTGTACTACATTTTTCAGTACATAGCATCCAAAACGCGAGCCGTGAGCCCGTTCCCCATCCCACTTTGCGATACACCCTGGTCGGCTCTGCGATGAACCGTCCCCTCCCCACGCGGCAGCCACCCGCCCTAGCACGTTCCTTGGGCGGACCGGGGATATCAAGTGACGTCTTTGTTTACGCCTTTATGCATCTTAATCCCAAGACTCAGCTCAAGACTCAGCTCAAGACTCAGCTCAAGCCCAGGACAACCCCCATCCAACTTTCCTCCTGGAAGAGCCCTGCAGTACTGAGGCCAGGCCGCCTGTCGTTCTGCCACTCGTTCGTCCACATTTTGCCCCTGTCCCTGTTTATTCCCAGACGAGCCTGAGCTGCATGCAGGTGCTCTATGTGTGGATGTGTGCGTATGCGCTAATGGCCCCTGGTTTTCATGGCTTTCCCCAAAGAAGGTCTGTAATGAGCATTGGGTGTTGCACTCCCGCGAATCTTCTGTCCGTTTGTCATCCTTGCTCTGCTTTCTCCTCCCTCACTCTCGCCTCTCGGCCGACGACAATCGTGTCTGCGATACTATTGACGACGAAAACATCTAGATGACTTGACGACAGACGGCGTCGACGGTGCTGCTGTTCGACGGCTTCATCGCCCTTCTGCCAGGCCTCGTGGTCGTCCTGTCCGAGAGCTTTTCATCGAACAATGTCGTCACCATTTGTGGCATTTCATCATAGGGGTGCGGGGTGGTTGGAGTCGCGGGACGACACAACAACGACGACATCGACATCAACATCAACATGGACGATTCAAGGAGGAAGCTTTAATCAAACTAGATTCCTTTACCAAACAGCAACCAACCAAACCCAGCATATGTTCTTCAACGAGTTACGATTTGCTGCCGCCAAGTCCATCAGAACGTCTACCATCATTCTCGCATCGTTCAACATGGTTGCTGCATTTGCGACAGCAGTTGGAATTCTTTGCGACTCCTACTTCAGATCACGGAGGAACAGAAGACTCCAATTAAGACCAAATGGCTTTTGGGACTTTGTGCCGGAGGGCGAGCTTTATCCTCTTATACTCTCCATTGCCATTGTCATTCAGAGTGCTACCTTCGCCGGTGCTCAGTCTACTGGGCTCAAGAGCCTGTTTGGATTAGGATGCACCACAATGGCTCAACTGATGCTGCCAGGTAGGTAGTGCCCAAGAAATCAGAGTTGGTCAGGATCGCTAATGTCTTTCAGCGGTGTTTCTCGTCCCCTACATTCAACTTGTGTTCGCTGTCGAGATTGCCATCCGCGGGCTCAAGAAGAGTCCATTTGCCCCGAGGGGCAAGTACGATGTGTCTATCTGCCTTGCTATCGTTGGTTTGTTGACCCTCGCGAAGTTTCTAGTGGCCGGTTTTGACCGATCTCCAAACTTTTGTTTAACTTCTCTCTTTTGGTTTGTCGCCCATTACTCGGTCATGTGCTTCGGTCTTTTCGTCTCTATTGCCGCCATCATTCTTGGTTGCATCGTTGTCGTTTTTACGAGGCTCTATCGCAGCATCAAAGTAGAAGTTACCGCGCGTGTTTCGGCGTCGAAGATGATATACTATATGGCCCATTCCGTCATCTCACTTGGCTTCATGATCCCATTTTTCTTTGTCCAGGGTTTCAGGGACCGATTGGGCCAACCTTCTAACGCGCTGACACTGGCAATGGTTGCCTCGGTTGTCGCTAATGTGTCGGGGCTCATGACCGGGGGTCTATATCTGTTCCTGAAGTCTAGCACCCTATCAACAATTGGACCCATGGATAAGGCTGGCGAGTACGAGGATCGGCAACTGAGATACAAAATCCAGCGTGTCGAGACAAGCGATGACGACAGGTCTGAGGATTTCGACTTCCAGATCACCCATCCAGTCGGCAGGCCAGGCAGGTTCACCAGCGAGTCTACCTTGATTAATACTGAGAAAGAGGAGGAAGCAGCATTGGACTCCCAGTCGGCTAAATGGAGGAGAACTCCGGAGTCGACACGGTCCAGCAAGCTGGCAGCTATGGCCGCTGCCATCCTGCCAAAAGCCCCTCAGCCAGCACGTATCCCAGCTGCTGCATCCATAGCTGGCCACATGCGTAAACGCTCCTATTCGCTTTTCCCAAAGACCGCTTCGAGAGTTCCCGGGACCACCCTCCCAGCAACAACCTATGTTCCTACCGAAGATGACCTTAAGCCACCTCCGTCGATGGCTAACCTGGTCAACACGCGTCATAAGCGCGATTCCTCGCTGGTTTCATCGGCGACTGTTCAGATCGGCCTCCGGCTCTCATCTGTCGACGATATCCCACCAGCAGCAGCGACTACCCCTGATAATGTGGTACATACATTGGACTGTCCAAACTTGATGAAGGAAAAGGGCATGACACGTCCACAGGCTGTGGTCTTTAGCCCCACCACAGCTACGTCGAATGGTGGCACCAATGTGCAGGACGAACCGGTAAAAGATGCGAGGATGAAAACGCTGCCGCCGGTGCCAAAATTGGACACAGCTGTTGGGGTTGCTGTAAAGGTGGATCAACCACTACCAAAGTCACAAGATGAAGTCTTGACGCTTAGCTCATCAGTGTATACCCCGGTCTCTGGAGAAAAGCCGGCAAAGCAGCAAGAAGTTTTCACCCTCAGCCCGACTGTGTACACTCCTCCTTCTCCTTCGAAGAAGACAAAGCAAAAGCAAGAGGAGCCGGTTACTCTTAGCCCGACGGTTTATACTCCGTCAAGCAACACGCCAAAGCAACAGCAATCGAAACAAGAACCCGTCACCCTCAGCCCAACAGTTTACACACCCCCATTCGTTGAACCGAAGCCAGGGACTCAGCCGCCACCACCGCCCCAACTTGATGAGCCGATTACCCTCACCTCAGCCGCCTACAAACAGACTACTCCAACTACAGCTCGTGTGAAGCTGCCCAGCCCTAAAGGCGTGGGCTTCAGCATGCCGGTGCCGAAACGCTCGGCGTCAAGTACGGGTACCGACAATAGCACGAACGCTAATATGCCGAAGAGAACAATTTCGAACGCTAGCAGTCACGAAAAAACCTTGCCCAGGAGGGCGACATCCAATACAAGCACTCGAGCACAGCAGCCAGCACTGAGAAGCCCACCCCGGAAGAAGGAAACTGAAGAGAAGGAGCCAAAAGGCGGGGATTGGATTTGAACGGTTGTCAGCGCCAGTCGTTGGTGATGGATGAATAAACAGGGAGGAATAAACACACGAGATGACACCAACGATACCCCTTACCTACGTACTGCTGGGAAGATTGTGCCTGGAAGTACCTGGAAGTACAGCACATTTCAGCAGTGAGTTTCCTAACACTTATGATACCTCGAAAAAACTTGTTGATGACACGGTTGCCAAACATCCGGGTTGGGTTGGTTGGTTTGGTTGCTTAAAGGATGAGATGGATAGGAAGGCAATTGTCACTTGTACAATACCAATCACTTTTTTTCCCCATTCTTTTCTTTTCTGCTGGATTCTGGCTATTCCCCGAGGTCATTCTTTTTCCCCTTCATTTGCCTGTGGGCTGTTTGGTTCCATACATTCCGCCCTCTATTTTTTTATTTTCCTTATGATGTATCTACAAGGCTGGCGCCGGAGAGGAGGCATAAATTCCCTTGTTTGTGTCGTTTGGTACATAGTTGTTTGCTGTGCATTCCGTACAGCCTCATTGGATATATTACCCTTGACGGAATAGCCCGTGGCAAATGAGCCCGGTAGATAAGATGGAGTCAAAACAGATAGGGTGAAGATCTGATATTTTTGCAAGGTTGCAGGGAAAGTATGCAAGATGATACCAAATTGAGTAAGATAGTGGGAAATCAAAAGAGATACACTAGACTTCTTTGTAGACCATTTTCATCTTTCATGAAGTATTCAAGCGCCGACGCATCCCCTGGGGACAAGGGCGGAGCAAACAACTCGAGAGTCTTCAAAGCCGAAACTTTATGTTGAAGAGATAACGACCACCATACGGATTACATGGTCACTTTTGTTAACTTGTTCCCTAACAATTGCAGGTATAGTCACCAAGTTTTCCCTGCTATAGATACTCCAAAATTATTGTTTTGTAGTCTCCAGAGCGTCCAGCAAACTCCCCGCTTTGCGTGTGCCTTTAGAAGAGTGAAAACGTGCGGTCTAGTCGGATCTTTGTAATCGGTTGTGACATAACACCACTCATACATCCTATTCTTGCCATCTGGAGTGAAAGGACCAAGTAATTTGATCAATATCATTTCCCTTGTGATAGCTTTGTACTCCTTAACTGTACTTGCCACTGTCCGGAACATTATGTTTCGACGAAAGCGCCAAAACTGCGCCAAGCACGAATCAAGCCATAATCCATCCATGTTTGTGCGGTTTTGTGCTATCGCTAGGATTTAACTTGCTCAGTGTTCTGTTGATGACCAAGCAGATGCTGGTCATGACGATAGTAAGAAGAATCAAACTCAAGAGAGAATCGTAGTCGTTAAGTTTTTTTTTTTCTCATTTTTGAACCCTAGGCTGAGCCAACGGGCATTCGCGTTCTCTGGAATATGTGGCAGGAGCCAATCAGCACAACATGATCATCCCTAGCCAGGGCTTCTGGCTAATTCATAGTTGGTTCGGGATGTATATATTGACTGGAGACCGGTTGTATTGGGTGGTTGAGTTCGGTTGTGGCTATTTCACCTGGTGCATGATTCGAAGCAAGTCCCAGCAAGATATAGTGTGAAAGGACGCTCTTAAAGATTGCAGACCTTCTAGTCTGGTGATGCTAGAACCTCATTGTTGCTCCCATTCCCGACCTCGAACCATCGCAGCGTCTTCAGGAATCAGAAATTCGACAACACCATGGAAAAAAAAGCAGTGACGCCTGCATGCTGCCTAGTTCGTCTCTTCGAATCTTACAAGGTAGCATATGGGATAGTCTAGCGTTAGCGCATCGGCCAGACAATCGAGCAAAGACATGAGTAAATATGGAGTCACACTGAGCCAAAACACAGCGTCGCCATATGTAGAGAGTTGGTCTCCTCGTGCTTGGTACATGGAATAACCTGCCGTAGTGGCTTTTGACGTACCAAGCAAAGCTTTCGGGAGGTTAGCTTCGATTGTAAAATGGTCGGGTGATGTGCATGGTGATGATTGAGGAACGGTAAACACCTGAGACCGCGACTCACTCCGACACGAAACCAGATTGCACTTGGTAGGGATTCAACGCCACATTCTCTGTTCGCCAACCCAGACACTTCCGATTCCTTCATCCCCAACCTTCATGTTCCCACTGTCCAGCCTCCTCTTCATTAGCCTGGCCCTCTCTCTCCCTTTGCAACCAACCCATCAAGTCGGCCTTCTCCAACTCCCGCATAAAGAAGTCCTGTTCTTCCCTCAAAACCTCTTCCCTCAACCCACCGGCCAGCATGCTCTCAGGATACCTCCTCAAATTAAACCAATGGGTCAGACTCCTCAGAGCCTGCTCCAACGGCAGTGCCTCCTCAAGCTCAGTGTCCAAATCCACACCAGCAAGCCACTCATCCCTTAGCTCTGGCCTACAATGCAGATAAACAGCCGTGATCACCCTCATGTTGGACTGACGCCACTTGCGACCACAGTAGGGCACCTGGCTTTTGAACAGCTTCAGAGCATATAGCCGTAGCTCGTGCTGTGGCACCTTGAGAATCTTGCGCAGGATCTGCGAAGACTTGTACTGCACCATGAGCAGGTTTCGGTGGGCTTTGCGCTTGCATATCTTTTGCACAATGCGCAGGTGGTTGATGAGGGTATAAAGGTTGCGCCGGGAGAAGTCGGTGATTGGCTCTTTGGGCAGGGGGTGCACTGGATAGCCGAGCTCGTCGACTTCAGGGCGGCCCGGAGGGTCCGGAGAGGAGGATGTAGAGTCAAGCGCTTGGGCTGAAAGAGGGTCGCTGTCCGCGAGGGCTGAGGGGGCCAGCACGGGAGAACGACGGCGCTTGATAGGCGGAGGAATGGCCTCTCCGTCACTGTCATCCTCGAACTCTGTAGCCGTCGGGTTCGGCATGGTCGGTCGCTGGATGATAACACCAGCCCGTTGTCCGCAGAAGTAGAAGAAGCTGTGCTCCAGGCGATCGATCCTGCTCTCAACCATCTGCTGAACGTCGTGGACGGCAAAGATCTTAAGTGCCATCGGGATATAGCTACAATCCAGCAATAGTTGGGTCAAGTATTCGAATTTGAGCACGTCTATGTATCGTTAGTATCAAGCCATCGTGGACCAGGAGCTTGTTGACTTACGAGAAAGCTTGAACCACTTTAGAAGCAAAATGAGAATGCCAGTAGCTGCCTTGCATGCAATCTCCTTATTCCGGAGCTCCTCGATTTCGGCATCGGTGGGCGACGTTGGCTCGCCCCTAGCAGTACTACCTATCCCGTACAAGCCTTTTTGGGCTGGGCCTTGAGGCCTCTGGCCAGCGATTCCCTGGTCCTGCTGCGCTTGGGGAGCGCCATTGGCCATTGTCATGACCTGCTTAAGGAGAACAATGACCAGAGACTGGAGATGTGGCAACGCTTCTTTCTGCAAAAAACGAATCAGTACGATCTCTTTAACCACAATGGAAACGTCACTCACATAGAATGCCTCAACGGCATCGAGTCTCCTCTTCGTTTCTTCGTCCACAGGTCGCGGCCCGTAATCAACCTCTGGAACAGCAGACTTCTTCTGTTGGTCATTGGTCAAGGGGAGTCCGAGCTCCTCTCGATCCTCTAACGTCAAAGAGGATAGGTCGAGCTCATCTATAATGTCCGCATCAGGACCCTCCCAGCCGCGCTCATGTTTGAGAAACTCTTCACGCTCAGCCCACAACTGCCTCGTCGCACGGGTCATGCGCACGCGCTTGTGGAACAGTTCACCAGCTTCAAGTATGGAAGCAGGAACATCGCTACCCTCCCACTTCCGGCCAACCAATTGGTCCTGCAGCGCAGCAGCACCTTTGCCGCCAGTGTTGGTACTTGTTTCATCCAGCGGAGGGTACATAAATGGGAAGTTTTGGTTTGTCTGGTAACTCTGCTTCTTGCCGCCCTTACCCACGCCGGGACTGGGAGGGGGCGAAGGAGCAGGCGTGGCGATGTGAACAGGTTGATGAAGGATAGAAGAACCCGCAGGGCCGGGTGGGGGTTGGATAATCCCATTGGAGCCGTCGTTTTTAATTGGATGGTTAGGAAGACGTGGGAGTATAGATGTCTGATCGGCTTCAAGGGGGAGAAACGGTTGAGGTGGAACATAAGCAGGGTATTTTGAAGTGATCTCCTGCCGAAAGACGTGGTAGTCCAGCGGGGAGGCAGTAATGACCTCTTTTTCGCTGTTCACTTCCATCTCGCAGGTAGCCTTCTTGGTCTCGGCTATCTCATGAATGCCACCGAAGACCAGCAGAATAGACTTCCAGAAGAGAAGGAATACTTGGGGGTGAGGAAGAGCGCCTGTGTCGTCCCATCGCAACTGGACGGTTGCGCGGAACATGTAATTAACAAGACTGGGCTCCAGTGCAACTAATTCATGTCAGCTAGTCATCGTCAAGTTATGTAGAGTCTTGACTTACGAAGCTTGTCCCTGACAAAGGCCATCTCCAGGGGGCTATCGAGAGCCTCGGAAATGAGCACGTACATGATAGTCATCAAGTTCAGCAACTCTTCGACATGTAGCTGAATATTAGACGGCGTATCGGGACCCCAGAGGATATTAAATGCGTCCTTCAAGGCATCCCAAACAGCCTCGATACCACCACACTCGGTCAACAGCCTGACGCCCTCCCGCATCGCGCTGAGTTGTTCCCAGGTAGCCGCAGAACGGGCCTTTCCATCCGCAAGATTGGGACTTGCAGCTCCCTTAACGCTTTCCATCCACCTACCCAAGACCAGATACATCAACGCGCCCACAGCTTCGCTCTTTAGAGCTTTATCTCCACCCCGAACCCCGTTTACCAACTCTTTCACAAACTCCATCTTCCTCTTTTCAACCTCTTCGCCTTCCCCATCCCATCGTACAGTCCCAGAACGCTCGGCAGTAGGCGGGTACGTCCGATTCCATGCCGCATCAAATGCTTGGTTCGCTGTCGTCAACCGCATCAACTGACGGAAGGTGTACACAAACCACTCGTCAATCTCCTCTTCCAGTGGGGCGATATCCTCATACACATAGTCGTAGGCAATCGGTTCAGCGGGGGGCATAGGGGCTCCTTGGGCATTGCGGGGCACCTCGGCGACCAGGCGACGGAGCTGAGCCAAAGAGAGGGAGTCCTGGCCCTGAGGCGAGGAGCCATCTTGTTGCTGCGACGGTTGGGGCCTTTGGTACTGGGACGCCTGCTGATCCGGGGGCTGTGACTGCTGTTGGAGCTTGATCGCATTGTTAATGTTATTTTTGATCTCGACCGAGGAGCGAAAGGGGGGCAGAGGAGGGATGCGGGCGGGCGGGATCAGAGGCGACGGAGCCGGAGGTTGCTGGTTTCGGTGTAGCGATGGACGACGCTGTTGGGGCTGGCGTAGCTGTTGCGGAGAGGACTGGCCTGGGATCGGCACTGCCTCAGGGCCCGGACTTGGGGTTGCTGCTGTTGCTGCTGTAGTTTTTGTTGTTGTTGTCGTCGTCGTCGTCGTCGTCGTCGTCGTCGTCGTTGTTATCTGATCGCTGGATTCGGCATCCCCTCGAGGAGCATCGGCAGCCGCGGCACCATCGGGCGCGGGTCGTAACGGGAGGACCGTATTCATCGTTATGGCTTCATTGTTTGTTGTTCGTCGATCCGAGATGTGGTCTCCTTGGCGAAACCCAAGTTCCAAACTGATGGATCGCTACGACTGCGGCTCCCGCTGTCGTTGTCCCACCCCCACCTCCTAGTTGCGATCGGCGATCGGGAGGAGATAACCCGCGCCATGGCCCGTGCGTCAGGCGTGGATGCGCTGATCCTATTTCGGAAGCATCAAAACGTGAGATGGCGAGAAATCGGGAACTCAGATCGGAGACCGAAATGGAGGGTCACAGTTTCAGGTTTACAATTGACTCATAAATATCACTTATAATTTGGTAGAAAGATAATTTCCTGAGCGAGATACTCAGAAGACTGTCGCACGGAAGAGCAAAGAGTGCCTCTTCAATGTTTAACGATTCAAACTGAATAATTTTGACCCAAGTTCTAGGCCTCCCTGTTTGTAGGAGGGTCACCTAGACTACGTTAATGTCTCCGAAATAAGTTGTTTGAGTAGAAATATATCGGTATTATGTATAGCTCTAAAAGTTTGTCTTCGTCTTCAACAAGGTTCCCTGTCGAATCTCGAGATCCAGATAGTTTCCGGCTTCTGCCAAGACCGATGATGTCATAGGAGCCTACCTTATCGGTTGTTATCGTTTGTCCAAGGAACTCATTTCAAGTTTCACGAGCAACCATTTAGGAGCTCCCTCTCATGCTCAGTGTCCCGTTTTCTTCAGCAAAGAATGGTTATGGAGGCAAAAAACCAGGGGATGAATGAAGTCACGCCCACACACTTATGGCATATCGGCTGACCTCACGGTCACTTGCTGTGAGTCTTCGACATAGTTCTTTGAAGATCGCATACCTTTCGTTGAGTTGTTTGCAGGGTGTTCGATCAGCCGACTCAATCTCGCAACAAGGCATGGCCCTCAAGACAGGGATCAGCTGATGGGCAATTACATGTTCAACACCTACTTGGGACTCGGGGACTCCGGTGAACAGGGTGAGCTTGTCATGGGTACTTCGTCCTTTCAGATACCTTCAGCAGGACATTTGTACCGATACCTCCATCGTTTTCATCATGTTCAGCGTTTTGACGTCATGAAGAGGCGCTTTTCATCAGTGTAAGGAACGTACAATCACATCAAATCAGACGATCCACCTTTTCCGAAGCCTCGCGAGTAGTTGCTCATGTCATGGACCAGGCGCTGAACCCTATCAAACTTCTTCCATGAATGCGTTCATTTCGGCTTCCAGTTTCTGTCTTACTATCAAGATTTGGTCAAGTGGCATATTCTGTCAATCGTATCGTAGATCTCATGGCAGGTTACCTGCATCATGCCATGAAACATTGTTTCCGTGTAGTGAATAACACTGCTGACGCGAGATCCCGCGTTGATCTCCCGCATGTCCAAAGGCCAGATCCTCATCCCATCCGCGACGTGTTCGCCGGTAATTGCGATGGCTCTCGAAAACGCCTCCAAGTGGAGTGATGAGCCAACTGACGTTACCATACATTACAGATAGACCTATGGTTATGGGAGATGCTGTTTATGCCTGCCAGTCCCGATCCGTTCATTCCGGGTGTCATAATGCAGATATTACCTCGCTTCCTTCTTTCCTCGATTCCAAAAGCATTCGATCCCCCTAAATAGGCATTCAACTAGTATCACTTTCAATCCAGAATCACGTCGTTAACATCATCTCCTCTACAACCCTATTGGAGGACCAATGGCGGGCACAAATACCGACCCAAGATATTTCCCTCCTCCCCCCCCACCCGATCTTGAGACGTATTCCCGCTCAATGCAGGAACACACTCGTCGGCAGCTAGAGGCCATCTTACCCCTGCCATCACCATCACCTCCCCCATCCCAACAGCGACAAAACACAACGGGCCGCGATAGCAGCAACAGCAGCCAGGGCAGTTGGAATAGCGCAAGCACCGGCACCAGCAGCACAAGCCGAACCTGTGGTGATATCCACGAGCGGGGTAGGAACATTAATCGACGGCTCATTCGTTGCGCGCGGGCTCAAGCTGCCGCTGCGGGGCTGCCTCATCCATCAAGAATTGTAAGGGAGTTGTCGGATGGCGTAGAGGGCATCAGCCTGGGTGATGGGGATTGATTGGAGGATTGCCAGCGTAGCAAGACGACTGTTTACTTGAGAGAGATACGAAACAATGGTTCAGTTCCGGGTTGTCGGGCGCAAGGTACGAAGCACGGCCGTGAGGACGTTGGTGACAGCTGTCGGCAACGTTGGCGGTACGGAGAACGGGAGTAGGCAGGGACACAATCTGACCCATAAAGGGATGTGGTAAATGCATAGTTTGTGGAGGATAAGCGGTCTTTTGTTGGGTGAGGAGGGGGGGGGGGCAAAAGTGGTACATAAAATAGTAGTTCTCAACCGAGAACAGTATACTACAGGCTGATGATGAGCCGCTGCCTGGTCTCGTCAGTTTAACCCAGGAAGGACTCACCTTATGGTGCTAGAAGACCTCAACATAGTTATGGCAATGTCTTTTCCTCTCTCCAACGTGCTGTGCATCCAAGGCCTTCGCTCAATTTCTCGCCCTTCAATCATCATCTTCGTCTGAGCCGTACGCCACAAGAGGCTTCTTCTTGATCCCCAAGAGTGCTGAATGGTCCTTCTTTTTCTTCACTTGCCGCTTAAAGCTCGGTGCTGGCATCGTATCGGCAACCGTCGCGGACGGAGTCAGAGTCCCGCCCACAGCAGGAGAAGCAACTGTCTCCGAGCTTGTCCCCGACCCTTCACCATTCTCCCCAGTAGCCTCTTCTCCGTCTTCCACAATCACCTCTTCCAACGCTTCATGCCTTCTGGCCCAAGCAAAAGCCCTCCTTGCAGCTTCAGCATCCTCCTCTTCTTCCTTTCTTCTCCTCTCCTCCTCGTCCCTACCGCCAGGTACCAAAAACGCACTCCCATCTTCCCCATCAAACACGCCTTCTCTCTCTCTCCTTGCCCGATCCAGCCTTTCATTACGCTGTCGAATCTCATCCAACATATCCGCAACCTCCATCTCCCTCTTTGCCTCAGCCGTCTTGGCTTCGAGCTCCTCCATTGCATTTTTCTCCTCCGCGGCCCGACCTTCCCTCTCAGCCAGCTCTCTTTCAAGTCGATCCAGCCTCTGCTCGTCTGTCTCCTCCTCCCCGTTCTCCCCCAACCCGCGCTTCCACGGCTCCGTATTCCTCTTCGCTCCCCGCTCAACCATGTAATCCTGATTCTTGGGGTCCGTGCGGAAGACGATCTCGGCCGAGCAGCGCGTGCACCGAATGTAGAAGCGGTAGATCTGGATGCCGAGGTACTTTTCCCCTGGCGGTGTTTCTTTGCGCGCGTTGAACTTGCGCCCGCGGTACATGTACTCGCCGCATTTGATGCAGCGCAGGGAGAAGGGGGCCATCAAACGGACGGTTTGTACTTTTGGGCCGGTGGACTTTGGCTTGCGCGACCGCCCGACAAGAGACGGGTCGAAATCTGGGGGGTAGTACTTCCTGGATGGAGGGTTAGTAGGTGATTGCGCAGGGTGATGATGAGGTGCGAACGTACGTGAGAACCTTGCGTTCTGACATTGCGACTGTCTAACGTGAAGCTTATGAATAAAATCTGAGAAGACCTTGTTGTGAGACCCTGTGAAGCACAACGGATGATGTACTGAGTTAATGTTAGAGTGGTGGGTTGATTGGAAGTTGGCGATAAGATGGGCGATAACCAAACGCGCCAAGCCTCGCCACGTTCGTTCGAAACTGGAAGTAGAAGGGTTAGGGTTAGATACTTGTTGATTACGTCATCAAGCAACCTCTCAGTTCAGGGCTCAGCGCCAGCAGCCCGGACTGTACCATAACTACTGCAGAGGGTGATGAATTTGACACAGTTAACCGTGCATGCTTTCCTTAATGCCTGCTTCCAGCATCTCAGCCAGCATATCCCACTTAGAAGCCGCTTCATCCTTGCTAGCCCTGGCTGTTCCCCTCAGTGCAGCCGCTACAAACCTCAATAACCTCTCGAACTCTTTCTGAGAATCCCTCAACATCGCCCCATACGACTTCCCCTCCTCCGCTCTCCCCACCTCATCGGTCTGGTCATCCCAGTCCTCCTCACTAACTGAAATGCCTCTACTTCTCCGGGCCCTTCTCGGCGGCAAAGCAAGCAATCTCCTCTTCTTCTCAGGCGACGTATAAGGCGAAGCCATAACCTCTAAACGCTCCCTTTCACTCTTCTCTCTTTCCCATCTCTCTGCCTCCTTATGGTGGACCCCCTCCACACGGATTGCCAGATCCAACACGTCTAGGATCGCCTCGCGGATGGGCGCCATCGCCGGCGTGAGACCCGACTCTGCCAAAATACGCGATACAAACGCCCCGTGCGCGGCCACCATCTCGTCGATATCTTCTGCAGCATCAAGGGCGGTGGTGAGCTGCGCCGTGTTGGGGGCTAGAACAAATGTCGTTAGGTAGGTCAAGAGCGTATTGGTGAACCAGAGGAGATGAGTGTGTAGGCGATAGTACAGACGCTGTTCCTTGGCAGGACTGGGCTTACGGAATGTAAAGATAGGTTGATGAAGAGCAGACAAGGCACGGTGAAGTTGGAGTTGGTAAGTGAAAACCGTTTGGTAAGCACGGATGCTGTCTTCAGGGACGACGATCTGCACGGGCCAAGGCAGGCGATAGCGAAGACGGATCGCAGGCAAGAAAAAGCGGACTGAGTTGCGTGGAGCAGAGACATGGTCGGCCAGGATTCGTAGGTCTATTTCTGCGGATAGCCGTTCGCGGATAATGCATGAAGATAGAGCATCCTGCGCGAGCTCTGTGAGAGCGAAGCGGTCCTGCCAGCTGTCGTTAACGGTATCGATATGTCGGAAAATAGATGAAGTAAAGTCGTTAACAACAGAGTAGTTCGACATGAAATAGACATGTTGAAGGGCCCTGAGCTCTTCGGAGAGACCATAAGAGGTAAAAAGCAGCTCGCGAAGCGTAACGGCTGCTGTGTGGTGCTTGCTCTCAATCCAATTTTGAAAAGCTGTGTTAAACAGTTCACTAAATGGCGCAAACTCGAGCTCGGGCGGACAAACAGTCTCGAAATCCATCTTCGGCTCGGCCGCGCTCACGCCATATTTCGTAACTGGTTCATGCCGCTTCATATGCTTCAACACGACAATGCTCTTACCAGCCGTGAAGATGCGATGAAGAGCGAATTTCAAGAAACGGGGTGCGTGCAAGGCACCGTCGGGTGTCTGGCGCAGGTTAAATTGACCCTTCCAGACCTGCGACAGAGGCAACTTTGTGGGCGACTCTGAGACGAAGAATGTCCGATCACCCGGCAAGACCCTCCCCTCCTCCATCCAGAGTCGGATCGGCCGAAGATAGACCTGAAAGCAGTCAAAAAAAGCGCGCCCAAGAAGCTTATATGTGTCCATCTGACCTTGCAGTTGGGCAAGCTCCACGGAATCGTAGAGTAGCTCGAGATAGCGGAAGGCGTGTGGGTTCCGTTCCTCACCCAACTGGCGCACAATGCCAGAGAGGGCATGGAGTGGAACCACTGCTTTTGACACTTCCTCCAAAACGCTCATGGCACTGACAATCGTGTCAGCTTGAATGGAAACGAAACGCTCCTGAATCGAGGACAGCGTTCTGTCAAAGGAAGCCAGAGCCTTTTGTGCGGAGTCCTGGAATACCTGCAGGAGGGGAGACTGTTCTTTTGTTTTAATAAAAGAGCGTAGGGGGATAAGCTTCCGGCCACACTCCGAGAAGGAGGTGGCAAGCGCTTTGTAGGTGGTCCACGCGACCCCATGCAACTGATAGTCGAGTGCTGGAGCGCAATCCTGATCAAAGAGGGTTGTTTCAAGCCCGGACAGCATGAAGAGAGCTTCTCGAAGCAGATGAATCGTGGAGATCGGCGTCTTCTTCGGTGGTCCTTCTGCGTCAAGCGCAGGCATGTTTCTCCATGACTGGGCCTTTTGAATCTGTCGTAGAAGGTCGGCACCATCTGGTTCAACGACCAGGTCCTCCGGGGTCAGGCGACAACTTTCGTCTTCAGTAGTCGCAGTGGTCAGGGACTCGAGTGATATTACCGACTGGCTATCAGCCGGCTGGTCAGCGCGCGACCGGTCGTCATCGCTCGAGTCTTCGCGGTAGCTGATGAAACGCCAGATTTCCGGATCGTCCTTCCAGTTATCTTCCTTAGCGATCTGGCGCCAGGTTAGTGGAGGCGCCTCCTCCTTCTTTGGTTTATCAAGACCACCAAGATCACTGAGACGCGCTTTCTGAGCGGGCTGGTCGGCAAGCTCGAGAAGGAGATGGAGGAGCTCAGGGGTGAACTGGTTTTGATGCGGCTCGAGGGCATCTAACCGGGTGCGCAGGGCATCGGCTAGAGCATCGCGGCCAACTATGGAGAAGCGTTCCTCTAGGCCGTTCAAACGGTCTTGGACCTCAAACTGGTTCGTGCGACCAAAGTTGTGGTGGCGCAGAGAGCGCAGCACAAAATCGCGACAAGCATCGCGTTGGGTGGTCTGGTCCTCTGGGATGCCGACGATGGCGCTCACGAGGTCGTCAGCCAACGCTCCCAGCTGCGCGAGAAAAGCCATGCCGTACTGGGCATTGCGGGCTGGGGAGAAAGGTGTGGGCGAGTTTCGATCTGTTTGCGTCTCAGTAAATCGGGCAATACGTAATTAGAACGCGGTTACGCGACGTCTTAAGGCATAGCGCGTAGCCCGTGATCTGTCCACGGGACTGATGAGTGAAATAGGCTGAGCGAGATACAGAAGTTTTCAGAAGGAGTCGTGAAGGAAAAGTGGTAGGAAGCTGAATTATCTTCCGTCGAGAAGGAAGGCCTCATCTTATAAAGTACAATAAACTTTCAGCGCCGAGAGAGATTGCTTGACGTGCGTTGTTGCAGCTCTCAGCGGGTCTTGGCTTGGCACGGCAAACGGCCGGGGACCCCTGCATCAATGCCAAGACAGAAAAGAAGAGCCCCAAGGGGCTTGGCGAAGTGGGGACAGTCGCGTCAAATGACATCAAGCACCGCGCGCCCCTTTTCGAGACGGAAGGTTTGGACTTCAACAATTTTGGGAGGCAACAGCAAAGCAAAGGCCCGCGTCCACCGCCCAAGAGTACACAACATTTTCCCAAAGATTCCGAGTGGACTGTTGCTCCTCAGCACAGCACACCTGAAACCTCGACTCCCGAGCGGCGAACGCGAACAGTGAGACAGTGACACGAAGACAATTCGAGTCTTCAAAGGGTGGAAGCCCGACATCTCGATATCTCGATGCTACTGCCTGTAACGTCCAGATAATCATCGCCATCGCCATCGTCATCAGCATCGACCCAACATAGGGATTTTCCCAGGTTGATCTTTGAATGCCGCAACATTAAAAGATCATTCGAGTGTCTCGCATAGCGATAGCGATTATCCACTGCCATGGCCATCGCTCGCCCCGCCAGGGCCCTGAGCCTGGCTGCCATCGTGCTATGGTTCTTCTTCCTTTGGCAGATCTTCCACCCGCCGCGGCCAACAGATCAATGGGCCAAATGGCGCATGGAGCACGACCCCAACCTGGACCGTACGCTTCTCGGCTTTCTGGATATTGTGCTGAAAGCATCTAGAACTCCGCTAACTTATGACGACAGCTACCGGCGAGCCCGAGGGCATTCTTACACGTGCCGGTCCAGGCTACGAACCCGGCCCCAAGGGCACCGCCCGCATCAACGCTACCCTGCTTGCTCTCGTGCGTAACGAGGAGCTTGAGGGTATGCTTCAGGCGATGCGCGATCTTGAACGTACCTGGAACCGAAAGTTCAACTACCCGTGGACCTTCTTCAATGACGTGCCGTTCACCGAAGAGTTCATGCGCAAGACTCAAGCCGAAACCAACGCCGAGTGTCGCTACGAAGTTATCCCGAAGGAGCATTGGGAAATGCCGAGCTGGATTAACAGAGAGCTGTTTAAGGAATCCACAAAGCTTTTGAAGGAACAGGGCGTGCAGTATGCCGACATGGTGTCATATCATCAGATGTGCCGCTGGAACTCGGGCATGTTCTACAAGCACCCCGCCCTGGAACACGTTCAGTACTACTGGCGCGTTGAGCCTAAGGTGCACTTCTTTTGCGACATCGACTACGACGTGTTCCGCTACATGCGCGATAACAACAAAACCTACGGCTTCACTATCAATCTCTATGACTCTCCTGAGTCTATTCCAACTCTGTGGCCCGAGACCCTCAAGTTTCTGGCTGATCATCCCGATTATATCCATCCCAACAATGCTATGGATTGGTTGACCGACAAGGTCCGCCGTCCCGACCACAACGAGAAGGCCAACGGCTATTCTACGTGTCATTTCTGGAGCAACTTTGAGATCGCCGATATGAATTTCTGGCGCAGCAAGGCCTATGAAGACTATTTTAATCATCTGGACCGGGCTGGTGGCTTCTTTTACGAACGCTGGGGCGATGCTCCTGTCCACAGCATTGCTCTTGGTCTGTTTGAGGACAAGAACAAGATTCACTGGTGGGTACTCCTCCTTTCAGTTTCTCCTCCTAAGCGCTGCTAACTATCATTAGGTTCCGCGATATCGGCTATCAGCACATCCCCTTCTTCAACTGCCCCAATTCGCCCAAGTGTAAGGGCTGCAAGACCGGCCTGCTCACCGACGGCGAACCCTTCCTCTACATGGAGGACTGCCGGCCGAACTGGTTCAAGTATGTTGGCATGGGCTGAAAGTTTCCTTGCCTCGATTCCTTTTTTATCATAGATAGTCCACTTCTCCACTTTTGGAGTATACACGCAACACACATTGTATACGGGAAGGCAGACGGTAAGCAGAGGGTGTCCGGCGCAGGCGGTCTGTTTCAGGGTCTAGATCATATCTACGCATAATCATGATTCTCCGGTAAAATGTGACGAAGAGAGGGGGGCCATTGTTTGGGTAGCTGCTCATGATGATGGCCAAATGGCTGCACAGGGGTAGATGATGAACAAACGACCTATGCTTAACTGTCCATCTATCTATTAGGTCTCATGGTCGCTAATTTAATTACGATGCTCAGGCTTGCCAGGGATTCATCTTTTATCTTTCACCAAATACCGTAACCACACTTGACGTCCCCCCTACACAAAACTGGTCCCCAAAACCGCTCTCCTTCCACGCAATACAGCTCACGACGTTCTTCCGTTCCTTCTCCCTCCCATCTCTGCCAATTGCTTTCTTCCCCGTCTCCCCAGCCCCCCACGGCACGTTCACCTTGGCGACCAATTTCCCCGTGAGCAAATCCCATGCCCAAACTCTCCCTTCTCCGTTCGAAAAGTTAACCTCTCCTGCACCAGTCATCTCATCACCAACAACCACCCATCGCTCCCCACCACCAAACACACTCTGCACCCTCAACTCCTCATTCCTCCATGCCCCATCTTCGCCCCCATTTTGGCCGGGAAACGTCCTCAAACATGTCCCCTCCCCTCGATCCAACACCCGCATCTTACTATCCAACGTCCCAACTAACACCGTCCTCCCATCCCTCGACACACAGACACTAGTCACCGCCGCAGGCATAGTATCCGCAATACACTTCCCCATCCTCACATCATACGTCCTCAGCCGCCCATCCACACTCCCCGCCAGGATAGCGGGACCATGCACTGCAAGACAAGTTACCGCATCCCGGGCCTCAGTAAGAATCTGAATCGGCTTGGGGTTCGACGAGCGCACGTCCCACAGGCGGACGGTGGCGTCCACGCCGGCGGAGACGACCATGTTCTCGGCGACGGCGTCGTTCTGGTTCTCAACGGTGTCGCCCGCAAAGAGAACGGCGTTGACACGGCCCGTGTGGGAGTGTGCTATGGAGGAGGCGCCGAAGCGTCGGATGGTCTGAGCAGTAGATACGTCCCAGAGGAGAACAGCGCGGTCGCCGCCGGAGGAGACGAAGTGAGCGTTGGAGCGGGAGACGGCAATGGAAAGGACAGCGTAGGCGTGGGAGGTGTATGTTTGGATCGGGGTTGAGATGGGGATTGAAGGGGTACTGCTTGTTGATTTGGTGACGTATGAGGAGGAGGATAAAGGGGGGAGGGTCGCGTTAGTTGGGTTGTACAGCCGTATGGAGCGGTCGGATGAGCCACTCAGGATGTAGGTTGAGGGGGAAGCCGAATAGGTAAGGGCATGGACCGGGCCTGGAGGTGTTAGCAAATTGTTTGTTAGAATGAATATAAGGATAAGGGAAGAGGTAGGTTTGGACAAGCCCCATCGTTTGCGTTGGGAAAACGGGCAGGGTGTCCTGAGCATGTCACTCCCTCGGTCACTGAAGTGGCATCGTTTCTTGGAGTCTTTCTTCCGGGCCGGTGCTCGCAACCACCTACAGTTCTGCTAAGAGCTGGTGGAACAAATGTACCAAGATTACTCCCAACAGCACTCTCTCATCACCCTTATGAGAAGTCAAAAGACCACAGACAGCTCGATACTCATAACACCGTAGTGACAAAAAATACGGCAAAGGGAGCAGAAAACCTACCATTTGACCCGACCAGCTGGGCTACCGGCCTGGAGGGAAACTTTGGCGCCCGTTGTGCCATGGGTTGCTGTGGTATCCTGCGAGATTAATGCTAAGCCTATACCGCCGGCCGGCTATCTGCGTGGGACTTGTGGTAGGGGCGTTGGTTCTTGTTCGTGCTGGCCACTCCTTCGATCTCTGCCGAGTGAGCTGCTGCCAGCAAACTCATTTGTTGTTTAAAATTGCCGCTCAACTCTCATAAACTGTCACACTAGAGCAGGCTACGAGCCACAAGTGAGTGACTTGACGCTGGCGCTTCTCTTTTTTATGCCCCCAACGACAAACTGCCCATAGAACTGGCCGATACTACCTGTCAACGCCAATACACTCCAGCCCGGTTGGCCGAGGAGGAAGCTAGGGCGGAGGAATGCTTCCCAGCGTAAAAGTAAACGATGTGATGGTGGCCGGCGGTGAGGCTTTGCTTTTTCACCGTTCCTTAGCGGGCGCTAAACGCGTGCATACCACGATGCGGCCGATCCTGACTGCCCTTTGGCGTCTTCCTTTCCCGCCAGTAATCGAAGCAAGTAAGATGAATGATAGTAGGAACGTATGCAGAGTGTTTTGCTAGCCGGCTGGAGGAATCAGGCACAAAGGCGCTGCCGCAGCACTTCGAGAGCTAACAGGATGCCGAGACGCACCCCGCCCGCCCCCGTTGTGGGTACTGTTCAATAGAAGAGCCGGCACCTGAGGCCAAACTGATGCCTGGGCGAGATTTGGTTGGTGATGTTCAGCCTGATGGATGAATTCGCTGCTAAGCGTATATTTGTTGTAATGCTACCCACCGTATTGAATCACCGCGCGGCTTGTACATAGAGTGTGGCGCTTAATAGGATGAGGGGAACAAGCGAAGTCTCTTGCAAGAGTCGAATCGAACCATGACAAAAACCACAACTCCAGCCCCGTGGCGCGCCAGAAACCTTCTAGGTCACCGATAACGCAACCTTTCAGTAATCTCCGATCCCGCGGCCGCAGCACCCAGTTCCACGTACTTGGGGTGGCAGGCGTCAAATGGTGCGTTGTCGTGGTTGTTGTTCTTGGATGGCGAAGCTCTCGTCGACCAACAATGCAAACTGTCAAATGTTGATTTGACAGCCCGGCGCCAACTGCCAAGTCCCCCCCTTTGCCGCGCTTAAATCGACGATCCATGGAGGCACGCCCACTCTCCCACCCCTCAGCCTTGCACCCCAGTCCAGTTCAGGCAACCTTCCAGAAGGCCGACCGAAGCTGTGGGGGGGCCTGGAGGGGTTGTTGTGCGCAACGCACGGGCCCAATCAAAGCCATCTTCGGCAGCCAGCAAAGGCAACTCGAGAGGAGTTGTTGGTGTATCTTGCATCTGCAAGGTCGCAAAACGCTTGCCCCTCGGGCGGGGTGTCCGGGATGAGAAAAAGAGGGAACTTCTTGAGAACCAAACAGATGACCCGTGCAGATGCGCTTGAGTGCCCTTTTGCCTGCCTGGGGATGAAGTGGGAGGCAAAGTGACAACAAGGTTTGTAAGACAGCCAATCCTACACCTTTGCGCTGACAGAGACAGCCAAGGATGCATGCACACTCCCGCAGCGTACGGGTTCCCCTGTAGCCTACGAGTGCTGTCAGTCCACTACCACAGTACGAGTTTTGTTGCCTTGTCGATGAGACAGCCACATAGCGTCGGAACTACCAAACGGCAGGTCAAACCAACCCTTGTGACAACTACCTAATCCGCTAGAAGCAAAGGGATGGAACGTTAAGCTTAAGTGTAGTGTACTTGGATTTACTTTAAACATCGACGACATGGATACCAAATACAGCAAATGCGCCATGCAAAATACCCGCAGATTCTCCTGCAGCTGAAGTTACCCGTCGGCGAAAGAGTGCCTAGGCGTTGATGATCCTGAGAGTCTGGCCGCCCCTTGTTCTGACTCCTTCTCCACCATTCACCTTGTCCCAGGTCCCGTCAGGTTGATCCCTTCTCTCCTCTCTCTCCCCTCTGTTTGTAGAGCAGCCGCCATTTCCTCTAAAGACAAACGCATCCAAAAGTATGTACATAATTTAAGATAAAACTAAGCCAAACGCCGATGATGATGCTTGTTCAACCAAAACACGGTGAGTGAATAACAATACAATACAGCAAAAGCAACAAGTGGAAAAAGGAAAGCGCGTAGTGAAAAGCTCTGCCGCCCGATACCAGCCTAAACCTAAGGCAAGAAAAAAACAAGCATGCGTGCAAATGTGTGCATACATCCTCCACACATTATGAAATAGACAGTTAGTAGACCTATTAGGTCGGGATATAAGACATCCGCGTTGTATCTTCGTTTTATTCCCTGTCGATCCCTTGGAGTGATGACAAAGGGGCTGGGCTATAAAACGCAGTGCTGCTCGTCGTAATAATGATCGTTGGGGAGTCGCTGGAACATCGTTTCAGGCTTTCAGGATGCAATCTCCTGATCCGTTTTTACCCAATCCAGGAAACCACTCCGTTTATCGACCTTGCTATTAAATGTCCACTTGGCCTTAGGATTCTCAATTGTCCAAGTTGTGCCCTGTTCGCGCCGTAGCACATCGTTATCCCGTTGCTGCATTTGTATTGATGTTCCTTTCCACTTGCAGAATGAACATGTCACTCTGCCCTCTTCAATCCATAGTGACGCCAGTTTGCGTAAACTGCGATCTTTGTCATACCAACTGCAAATCGAATTTGCAGATGCGCCACGTAAATGTCCGTGGTAGATGGCACGGCTGGCTGACACTCGTGCCGCTGACAGCATCATAGCGCTGACTAACCCAGCCATACATCCATGAGGAGAGCCAACCAGAGCAAGATAACCAAAAATTTCCAGAGGAGCCCTTCAGCCGCAGGGCTGCGCCGGAAGGCTATCCCGTCATCATAAGCCGAGATATGCTGTTCAAAGAGTCTGTCCACTTCAGTCATCGCAAAAAGCCCATATGCAAAGAGGGCATGCTCTTGAAATTCCAATCGCTTGCTAGGTCAGTTACTTCTTCTTACACTCGTGCATCCGATCTCCTGAAAGCACGTTAGCTCTCTGTGACACTCTCGTCGATACGTTCGGGGGACATACGGCTCCCACGACCTTGACAGGACCTGTTCATGGATCCTTGGTAATGTTGGCGGCTCGGGTTGCCTCCATGAGTATGGTTGTGTTGCAGTAGGTGCAGAGATTGTAGAAGGTGCAGATCGCGGGATTTCAGGTGTAACGGACATAGGTGAAGTGGTGCCAGCAGTAGGGCTGTAGTGCTCGTAGCCTACTCGCGGCTGCTTGCGAGGCAGCGAAGACGACGGATCAGGACTGGCTGGCCTTAGTGCTGTTCTCGGTGAGATTGAAGATTCATTAGAAAGACTGCGTGGCCGCGTGAGATCGGCCGTCGGCGTCCTCGATAACGATGGTACTGGCGGCACGGGTGGAACGGGCTCCGTAGGAGGTGTCGACGGAGCCGTGGCGCTCGCGCCTCGAGCCCTGGACCGCACAATGTTAAAGGTTTTAGAACACACGCCGCACAGGCGAGGAGGCTATCTAATGTACTTACGCATTCTTGAATTTGCATACTCTGCCGAACTTCTCACACTGAAGACAACGCGGATAATCCGGATCGCACTTGATTTTCTTCTCACGGCAAGTCATGCATGCAATGGCCAAGCGTTTCCTGGGCTTTCCGGCTTTGGTCACGCCCCACTGGGCATTGACTGCCTCTCCATCAATCACCGTTTTGCAGTGGCTGCCATCATCGTAGAAGTAGCACAAGCCTTCACCTGGGACTTCAGCTGCCCGAACGAACCGCGGTAGGTAGTGAGTGCCAGCCCAAATCTTTGGTCCCAACGCATCCTTAGCCGGAGGGACCTCATCGGGCACATCGCTTGGCGGTGGGACTTGTGAGTTGTTGACCGGAGTTGATGGCGTCAGCTGCTCCCGATAACTCATCCTCCGGCTCTCGTCCATCCCTGCCCCTGATACGTTGGCTGAGGAGTACCTATCGGCAGTCGGCTGATAGAGTTGTGGTTCGCGATCCCTGGACGAGTATGTTCGTGAAGCATCCTGGGGTGTCGGGGCAGGCCACCGATTTGTCGAAGAGGTGTAGTCGAAGCGGATATCTGACCTCTGCTCATACCGTGGTTGAAGCTCGAGAGTCTGTGAGAATACCTGAGAGAGCGGTGGAATTTGCGGGCGCTCTTGATGCCTCAAGTCCTGAAAGCTCCTAGGCTGTGAAAAGGCAGAAGATGTCGTCGATGGTGGGAAGTAGGCCGACGACCCGAGGGGACGATCGAGCGAGGACGAAGGGGTATAGGAGCTAGAACGATCAGAATATGTGAAATGAAAGGGAGGGTCTCTAGCGATCGAAGCAAGGATACTGCTCAGGGGTGGAAGCTGTTGTCGTGGTGTCCTCTGGTCAAATGTGCTCTCACTCCGGCTCAGGGCCTCCTCAGAGCCTCTGGTAGAGGAGGAGGTCGATGTGTCTCTCGACTTGACCGGGTCATAGTTGGACATCGGAGGGGATGGGGGAGCACGCGGGTTCCAAGAGGCTCTTTCCTCAGATGCCTTGGAAGGAAAAGAGGCAGAGTCAGGAGTGAGCAGCTCAGGTGGTGTGTCAGGGAGAGTCGGGCGGGGTCGAGGCTCAATGTAGGTAGCAAACCCCATTGAGAACAGCGGTATTTGTTTCAGTCCGGCCAATGTGTATAGTCAGATAGCTTTGTGTTGTAGCCCTCCCAAGAGCTAGAGTAGCCAGGGAAATCACGGCTATTGAGGATGGGGTGAAGTAAATGGCCGTGCGACAGTAGCTGAGCGAGAATGTTGAAAGCAGAGGGTGACGAGCACGTAGATATTTGGCCGGGTAAAGTTGTATAAAGGTACACAGGCGGCGCAGTCGATAGGTCAGCCGCTCAGAACAGTATCCTGGGCAGTAGAGGGCACTGCCCGAAACCCGGATAATTGATCAATAACGGCGAAATGCACGAATGAGCTGTTGGAAGGCCTGTCTCCGGACACCGGGGGGGGTGTGGACCAACACTGCCTAAGGTGGGTGCAGCAAGCCACAGATCTAATGTTCGAGGAACTGCCAGGGTGTGTGGTGTTGTTCCTGGGCGGCAGTGTCTCTCTCACTGTCTCTCCTTTCTCTCGTCTGGTTCGCTCTCCAGGCCCGAGGAGACGGATGGGATGATTGTTAGCACAAGGAGAGGGGGGGGGGGGAGCGGGCAGCAATTCACAAATCACGGGGCAACTAAGTGATATGTATGCATGCGGAGAAAGACAGATGGATGGGGGCTGCAGGTAAGTAGTGTGTAATAGAGAAAGGGAAGAGGACCGGGACTTGCGTCGGCTAGATCGCCCGTCTCCAGAATGTGCTCCGTCCCAAATAGACGATGTCAACGGCGGGCCGTGACGAGGCAGGGGAGAGGTAGCAGACGAAACAGAACGACTTTGGGGAAGCCCGCCTGAACTCTCTGGACTGGGGAGTCCTGGTCGTGGTACTGGGGCGTGCTGTTCGTGCGCCGGTACTGGAGTTCTAGTGTGCCGATTAGTGTACGATCAAGGCCTACCCGGCCCGAGGGATGCTGTTCACCAGCGCTCAGAAAGCCACCGACAACTGCCCTTTTGGTGTAGGGCCCCGCGCCTCCATGGTGAAGGGGCCCTGCACACCATTCCTGCGCATGTGGGCCAGTCAGGGAGAGCTCCTCCAGAGTCTCCAGTGGAGGTCAACACTAGTGCAGCATAGTGTTGTTGCGACGCCCCAGGTCCATATGGCTTTCGGCAGTGCGGCATGGCGTTGTCTTGCTCCAAGGCGCTGCATGCAGCCATGAGCGAAAAAGGAAGGGAAATCGGACAGCGAGCAAGCAGGCGCCATAGGATGCTGCAAATGCTGCAACCCGAGGCAGAGAGAAGCCTCGGCGGCTAGGCGATAAGTAATCCGCAGCCATGTACTTACCGGTTGGGAAAAAGGCCGTTAGAATTTGGGCCTTTTCCCCATCTCTCCTTTTACGTGCGTCCGCGCCGTTCATGCCATTCACGCCATCCCACCACGAGGTGATGAGCAACAGCTGGAGCATTCTTCATGGTTGGCTCTCCTTTCGGTGGCTTGTGGCTTGGGGAGAGTGGGGGTAGACTGAGGGTATCAAAGATGTCGTTAATGAACGGCGTAAGCCAGCCAGGGCTGACCCCCTATGGTCATTACACTGAGTGGTGTAGGTGGCAGGCGCCCAAAGAAGAGTGCACTACACTAGGTATCTGGTGCTCGAGGACCCCTGTGAGGAACCTCCCTCCGAGCTGGGCTCGCACTGAGCGTCGCGGAGATGGAGGGCTACCACGAGGCAAAAAAACGGTTCGGGAAGATAAGAGGACTGGGGGTGGGTGTGCCTTGGAACCAGGGCCAGGCCTGCCCAGTGGTAACTCAGAGGTGAACCCAGAGCCCAGCCAGGGGCAAGGACATGGGTCACAAGCGAGACCCGCTGCGGGTGGCCAACGCCAAGCAAGAGTCGTGGAAAAGGCGTCGTTTAGATCGGGATCAACCTGGGACGCCGCTGTGTTCTCGGGTGAATTTTCCGTGGGGTGAGCACTGCTGCTGTTCAAGAATCGGCCCGCCTCCAGGTCATGGATGAGCATTACCAATCCTTCGCCCTCAGTACTTGACAGGTTGGCGAGATGTGGGATCGTGAGAAGACTTGTGTGCGAGAAGATATCTGTGTGTGGAAGCCGTATGGATGTAACTGCTGGAAGCTGGCTGCCGAGCCGGGAGGGTAGAGGTAGCAGTCGCAGAGCCTTGCTGACGCTGCGCAGAATCTCAACTGACACGCCCTGGTGGTGTCTGTAAGCAGCCTCATCTTTACATCCCATCCCATCGGGCAGCCGTTCCGCATTTGCCAGAGCGCTGTGGTCACTGTGGAGGTTGCGTCAGGGTCAAAAGCTTCTGGAACTCCCGTCCTGCTTGGCCTGCAAGGAAGCACGGCGCAAGGCGACCGTCAGTGCGACTCTGTTCGCCTGGGGTTTCCAGGTTGGCACGCGAGGTCTGTTGACGACTTGGCTGAGCACCAAAATATTGCATTCGCCAACCAGTGGTTAGACAACAACAACCTGGCCCATGCAAATGGACGCCAGGACGGTGCTGCGTGGCACCCTACCGGCGGTCGGCGCCGCTAATGGAACGCTGGACATCTGTCACCACCGTCACTGTGGGACACAGGCTACAGCAGCCCAGGGACCCAGGAACTGACCGTTTCTGCAAATTTGCTGGTTTAAGTTCGTCTCGTCTCGATTCTCGACCCGACTCGACCCATCGTCTCGTCATCTGCAAGAAACGAATCACGGCCGCACGGGCTGGTTGCTGATCGGATCTCGTAACGGGACCAGCCCAGCGAGCGCAGCAGCCCGTCCCAACATACAGGCGCCACGGATCCAACACCCGCGGGATGAAATGGCCAGAGATGAAGGCAATAAAGATGGCGCGCTCTGTTTTGGGTCGTTTGCAGATTTGCTCTGTCCGGGCAACTGATGAAATTTAGGCGGGGTGTCTCGGCGTGCGCCATGCGAACTGCGGCTGTGGAAGAAGACGATGGGATGGATACGATGCCATGCCATGCGATGGCTCAGGGAGGGGCCCGCGGGTGTTGGAAGAAATGAGTGAAATGGACACACACTTGAACCGGAAACTGGAAACCCTGGGCTGGCAGTCGTGATGCTTAGTGCAACGGCATGGTTCGGTTTTTGCCTTGGTGCCTGCCTTTCCAGATCTGCGTCGGCCGAGTGTGGATGGGGCGCTTATCACCGATTCTACGATGCTCCTTCCTCCTGTCAAAACGCCTTCCCAATTCAATCTGCGTTCAGGACGCTATCGAGGGTTGTCAACCCTGGTGTGCGTACGGATCAAGGTAGGAGTCGGGCCCAAGCTCCTCGTTGCCCTTAACCATGAGAAGGCCCAAGGGCCGGGGCCAAGGAAGGATTATGCAAAAACCGTTTACCTTACTTTTCAAGGGAGCTGGATGATCTCGATCGCTGCACAGCAGGCGGCTTGCCATCAACGGACATGCCATGCGCATGAAATCAAGCACTGTCAACTAAACATTGTGCCCAGACCCTGCAAGCGGCTGGACTCGATATCACAGGCTAATATGATGTGGTGGGCTCGGCACGCCGCGAGGCATGTTTGTTGCTACTAGTCCGATCCCAAGACCCCGGAACTCTCCTGGCAATATCGTGCTCATCGATCAGGCCCCTCCCTGGCGTCGCCGGTGTGGGCGTGTAGGGTGGGACTGGTCGTGCGCCTGTCCGTCTCATATGCCGACCAGGCAGCCTGGGCAATCTGGGCTGCGCCCATGGGGGTGCTGTGGATGCTGTGGATCTCCTGGAGCGCTCAGGCCCCATGGGAAAGAGCTCGTTTGTCAAGAACCAACGAAGAACCTTTCCAGATCGACAGACGAGAACCCGAGAGAGAACATTAATGGCTTCTCCGGTTCTGAGGCCCCTTCTCGTTCGCTTGCTCGCGTCATGAGCAGAACATAAGCTTTCCCCGATTCTGCCAGTCGCGTCATGCTGCATAAAGGATCGCAGGTTGTATCGGAGCAGACGGGCAGCATTACCATTTTCCGCAGCCGTTGAACATCTACCGTTGCTTGCCAGTTGCATGTTGTTTGGTCTGGTCTGGTCATAGGATGCATCTGCCCCGCGAAACGCCACAGACTCGCTTCGGCGCCCGCTCGCCATCTGTCGATACAAAACTACCGGCACCGACGGCTCTTGTGGTCGAAGCCCTGAACTAGCTATCCATGTGTCACGCTTGGCCGATCTCTGAGCCACTGCCGGCGTCGTTCAGATGCAGCCGCTAAGGTCGAGGTGCAGAAGCTGATGCCGCTTTCACACGCGCACCCATCTTTACTAAGGATAGCCGAGCTTCAGACACGTGCGAGCGCTGCAGCTCTGAGTGTCTAGTCAAACATTCCCTAAGAAGCCTCAGAAGAGGCTCTACAAATCGTAGTTGTCTCTCCTCAACATGAACCCCTCGCCTGCGATCCATACCATCACTACAGGCAGCCAAAGCGATAACGACCCCTCCAGCACATCCAACAGACACCGAAACGCAAAACATAGATCATGACAGCCCGCTGACCGAGCCTCCGGTGGATGCGGTGGAGCTATCGGACCATCTGCCGCCGCCCACACGTCCTCCGTTTCTCCACCCGTCAGCCCATTGTTTTGAGCCAACGCAAGGCGAGGGGGAGTGGTCAAAGGGACGTCATTTGATTGCCGATGTGCCCGGTTTTGACTCTCTGCCGCTGCCAGCAACAAACATCCAAAATTCGACAATCGCTGAGTTATCGAGTTTTAGGGCTACTTGCTTGTCTCTTCCTGGAAACTCTCTTGCACGCGATGCATTTGCTGCAGAGCCCAATATGTTCCAGTCGTCCACTATGTTGCTCTTGACTCGAATTGCCGTCCCGTTGTACCTCCGCTTATGTACTCACTTTTGACGAGCTGGCAGGACCACCCAGCAGAGTGTTACCTAAAAAACGGGGTTAACCGCCTTAGCGCTCGGCTTGTGATGCAGATCACCCGGTGTTCTTTCGTCCTTGCGCCCGCTGTCGCGGTCGTCGGGCCGGTAAAGCTGTAGGGCTTCTCAATCGGCTGACTGAGTGTAACTGCTTGTCAATTGC